TGTTTAGGGTCTGCTTCAACTCCACCTCTTTGCTTGTTTCTAGGACAACTGAAAGTCAGGTTGGGTCAACATATATGATATGTTGATTGCCATTGATCAAAACTCTGCTTCTAACTACTTAGACGCTGTCTGTCTTATTCAGTTTGTAGTAATATTGCTGTTTTGTGGCACCTACCATCCTACCTGAAACCTTCATACTGATAGGTGTTTCGTGACTTCAACTTGATGGACGATCTTTGCTTTATCAGTACACCTCTGTGATGTTTACCTTGACCAGAAAGGGTTAAACAGGGGGATAACAGCCCTGTAATCTTGGCCTTGATACCTTTAACGTCTTTCCAAATACTGCTAGTTGTTGTTGATAGCCAACATTTTGGTTGTTGCCATCGATACCTGTGCAGCTCCCATGACCAGTTTCCTCTTTATTATAGTACATAAATTGAGGATACATAACATGGCACTATTACTGAGAGAACAATCTATCTTTACAGGTATTCATTTTCTATTTTTTGGTCTGTGTACCATCAACATTCAGGTTTCCACTCCAGAAAACCAAAGCTAGGTGAAACAGGAAAAGAAAGAAAGAAAACAGAGAGGGAGCAACAAAGGCAGGAGGACTGATTGAATGAAGGGGAGCACACAAACAAGGGTTGTCACTAATAGAGAGTTTTATGAGCTCCAGACCTGCTGAAATGGAGTGCCGTGCGTGTGCAGCAGCTCTTATCGGCTCGCTGGCAGCAGGGGAGGGTGAGAGCTTCCACACTTGCGCTCCGTAAAAATGGTCTGATTCATTTTCCGCATGAGAGGGTCTCACTGGGGCGGCATCAGACCAGCCAGTCCACACAGATTTATGGACCATTAAAGCAGCAGGCCTCCTGACCGCTGTGCCACCATAGGCTTGGCTGCAAAGACACACTGCACCCTCATTCATGCATGGTCACTACTCTCCATCATGGGCCAGCTTCCTCATTGTTCATCCCTTCATCAGGACCACTTTACTGCCTTACATGAACTCCTCTCATGGTCTATAATCCTGCTATCCCCCACTTCATAGACAGTGGGCTGTTTATTCTGGTTTTCCTCACCTAGTTTTAGGTCTGTGAATTTTTGGGGTATTCTTTCATGACACAAAACAAATTATCCCCCATATCCGCATTATATTGTCCAGGTAATGCTGCAGTACTGTTATGAACACATCTGATGGTGGTCAGTGGGGCATGTTGTTTTAGCCTAACAGTTTTACAATCAGATTAGCACCATCACAGGCACACACACTAATGGGTCTGTCCTTTCAAGGCATCCTCAATCAACTGTTTCTCTCTGATTGATGCATCTTTTCCACTCCTCTCTCTCTCTCTCTCTCTCTCTCTCTCTCTCTCTCTCTCTCTCTCTCTCTCTCTCTCTCTCTCCTTTGCTAGCTTTGCAACTTCGTCATCCAGAGGAGTTGTACAGGAAGGGAAAAATGGGGCAGAGTCTATGCAGCATGCAGGCCCTAATAATAGCTCAGTGTTGCAGGAAAATGATGCCACAGCAACCTCAGCAGAGCTTGAAAACCATGAATGAATGAATACAATGGTGCTCTGCAACCGCCGATAAATCACTTCATCACTGTCTTCTTGAATGCCACTTTTTCACCCTCTTTGTACTTAGAAATTACGCTCAAGTGTTTCCATTTACAGCCAACCTAAACAAACCAAGAGGAGACAAACAAGAAATTTACTGAAACAGCCTGGTGTTGGCGGAGCAAAACAAAGATAAGCAGACAAACTGTAAAGCTGACTGCACACACAAAAAATGAAAATGAAACACCTGGTCCACAATAAAAGTTCGATTTTCAGATTTGTAATCTTTTCTGTATGGACTCAAACACACCTTAATAAATATCTTACACTAAACAAACACAGCTGTGTACTTTGTTTTTGTACCCTTGTATATGGATTGAATCCACAAGTCTTTCTCTCCTCAGTGAACCTGCTGCTGAAAACCTAATTTAATTTAATGTGCACAAGATTTTAGCTCACAAACAAGTGAGGAATTTCATCATCTTGTGGGCAAGAAAATTTTCATATTGGGTAAACATGTTATCCTCTTATGTACACAAAGTAATCATATTGTTCAAAAAGGTTGGTAAAAAATACACACAAGCAAATCACTTGTTCTTACAAAAGAGTTACACTCACAACATCACAACTACATGTGTTATGTAATTTCATAAGTTACTGAGTTGTGTGCAGAGGTTAATTTCTTGTATGCACAGGCTAAGAACTCGCCACATGGTAATTACATTGTGTGCATATGACAGTTTACTTTTTTTGCAAAATGATAATTTGTTAGCACAAGATTTAGGACTTATTCCTTTAAGGTAATCATATTGTGATCACTAAGATACTAAACTTGTCTGATGATAGCGTGCACACTTGCTATCTTATGGTTAGATCTTATTATCTTGTGCGCAAGAGAGATGATACTTGTGCACCCAAGATGAGTTTTTTACTTGAAGGTAATCACAATGTGCTCACAAGATGATACATTTGCATACAAGATATGAATTTGTTGCACCAGTATTTATTTTTGCACACAAGATAATAACATGTGTGAGTGTTCACAACTATAATTATATTTTGCATACGGAATAATTGACTGTTTTTCTAAGATAACAAGTTGTGTACACAGTTTTATGATCTTGTTGGAACAAGGTATTATCCCTTGGATCGAATCTTGTGTGTGCGTAAGACAACGCACCAGTTGCCACAAGATTGTTAAATTGAGCACACAATGATTAATACTGTATTTGGCTTTTTCAGGAGCTTTAGGGACCTTCCAACCTAAAATCCAAGACACTGGCCATAGAGGAGACAAAACTAAGTGTAGATTTACAACTTTATTGGTTATATTGCCAAAGTTTTATTGACACTCTTTGCCTTCTTTTGGGCAGGATTAGGGGTAAATAAATTAATGATACATTAATGATAAGTTTTCGATTTGAGATAAAAATATTATGTTTTAAGCTGGATTGATGATTTTTACATGACCTTATAAACTAAGCCGTGCCTTGTCTTATTAATGCCAAAAAAATTAGGTTAAAAAAAACACTTAAAAGACGTTGACCCTGTAATAGTTTTGAGTTGTGTACTTTCCACAGTATCAGTCTGGTATTCACTGACGTTACGCAGCTGCAGAGCCTGTTTGTCCAGTTAAAAGAAGGAGAAAAACAAGGGTGTGCATCGTCACAGGTGCAGAAGTATTTACTGCACTGTTGCGTGGCAGGTATTCGGGGTTTATACAGAGTAAAAGCAAATAGAGAGGCTATTAGATCAGTCCACAGAGAGCTACTCCTGTGCGCTTATGAAATGAAGAGGCTGAGATGAGTAAGGTATCACTGCCATGTGAAAGTTACAGTTTGGTGTGAAGTCGGTTGGCCGGGAAAGTGTCACTCATCAGATAGCCTGGAAAAGATACAAAACAGGCCTGTTGTAGCACACTCTTCTCCCAGAAAAACACATTTTGTTAGTAGCAGGTATGTGCAATTTGGGTTTTCACACTTGCATAGCGATAGGAAAATTACAATCTCACTTGATAGGCTTTATAAAACACACTCTTTGGGACAATGACTGTTACATGGTGTTCCTTTTAGGTCTGAAATGGGATAAAACAGCTTTTTGTGCCTCATAAAAAATCAGCATCTCCTCAAAGTCGATCACATTCCCCTTTTAGACATTATACAGATCTTATTTTAAACCTCTCAACCTCTATTTGTAGTAAGACATTAGTGTAGGGGAGACCGGGGCTAGTTGTCACACATAAAACCATGTTTAATACATCTTACAACAGTCAGCAGTCAAGCTTGAGGTCTTGCATTGAAAAGAGTATCTGTTTCATTATGAGTAAAGGTTTGTAAATCAAGGATTTTATTTGATTAAACTGTTTACTTTGTGGGAGGTTGTGTGTGAGAGAAACAGGGATCTTGTGTGTGTTATATTATCAAAATTTGAGACCTTATGAATGTAAACACAGATGTTAAAGACAGAGGTCAGTATTTCAACTCAGTGATAAATGATTTTGGGTGTTTGAATGATGTTCTGTAGCTTGGCACATGTCCACTTTGATCTCAAAAAGTTGCAGGTCCAACTTCCACCTGCTCTTGCATCTATGAGGCTTTGACTGTGTTTGTGCTGTTGGAGGTCCACTGTGTCTGTAGCCAGACAGTGGGAATGGGAATAAGTGTTAGAAAAATGGATGGATATAAAAAAAAAATTCGAAACCGTATCCTGTCAATACAAGCGTTCACATTAGCAACATTTTCCCGTCCTGCAATATTGCGGCATTTATTTTTTCGGCTCACGGTCAATTTTTCTAAAGTTTTGCATACTGTGTGTCCACTTCTGACCAATCAGATTGCGACGTCAGATTCACCGGTATATCCAACATGGCCGACTGGCTGATTGTTTATGTGTCGGAGAACAGAGTGCTTTTTGATAAAAACACAAACATTACAAAAGTAAGGACAACTTTAAAAGTTTGCGAAATGTCTTTGTTTTAACTTTCATCTGTGCTAAGTAACTTTAGCACATAAGCTAACCTGTTTAGATACAACATACCATATGTATTTTCACTGTCTCAAACTCAATTGCGTTGCTGTCACAACACCATTAGGTCTTGGTTGTTACCTTATGTTTATGGATTATAGTTTAATGTGCTTATCTGATACTGGCCCCAACTCAGTACATGCTATCATGACAGACAGCCATCTCAACACTAGTGATTAATCAGAACTGAAAAACACTCAGTCTGCTGTTGTGTCAGTCTTCTCGCTTCCACCCAGGACGCGTCTTTTTTCCCCCCGGAAAGTTGCTAAATCGCATCGGGCTTGATGTTTATCGTCAGGCGCGTCAAAATTCGCCTCCGAATATTTCATAATTTCGTGTTCTATATTCACGTCAGTCCTGGTGTGTAAGAACCTTAAGAATGAATTTTGGTCTATTTCATGAATGTGAAAAAACATCTCATAGGAGCTTTAATGATATTCAAGTCAGAATATAGGGCAATCTGCTGCTTCTTATGATATTTGTCTAATAATTGCATATAGTGCTGGCTTCATATCATAATAAATTAAGGTTGTGCCTCACTAATCTTTAAATAAATTTTGATTGGTTAATTGATTAATTGAAAAATGTAATCTACAGCTGTTAAAGAAGCTGCATTATTGAGCTCTTGTCTCTTTTCCTTTGAACCCTTTCTTTGCTTTGTCCAAATGCTCAGGCATCAGCCAGCATGTGTCTGTTGTGTATACAACTAATGTTAACCCCTTGTATCACCGTTTACTCTAGGAGGGGCCCTGTTGAGGGTCCATATCGTCATGAGGCTGGGTGTGGTGACACATCCTTTCTCTCCGCCCCGAGGTGTTTGTGTAGCCCAAATAATGCGGGGATATTTGAGCAGGAATTGACACACGTACACTTTATTTTATTTCAAACTAAAAAAAGCTTTAAAAGTCTGTTAATCTGTTCAAAACACTGCCTTTTTCCCTCCTCTCTGTGTTACGTTACAAGCAGCTGGCGATAAAAGTGAAAGCACAGCGCGCCATGCAAAACAGGATCGCGTGCGCGTTCGCGGGGCTCCAGCGCTGCGGCAGTTGCCAGGGGAGATAGGAGGGGAGGGGTTTTGATTGGCTGAAGTGGGCCTGTTGCCATGACGACGGCTAGGGGTTTTGGTAGCGTTGCCGTGCGCTTGTGTGATCCGCGCGCTGCGTGTATGGAGGAAGCAGCTGCTGATCTGATCTCTGACATTGTGTGAGACAGACATCTGAATAAAACTGCGCACAGACGTGTCTTTTTAAAACTCCGGACCGAGGCACGCCGTGGATGATTGTGAGTAATTCATATCGTTTTTTTAATTTTTCTTTTTTTTATTTTAATGAAGTGTTTTTCCGCGCTCGGCTGAATAGGGTTTGTGTCTCGAACAAGCTAAAAGTAAATGTGGTCAAGTGACTTTGCTTAGAGCAGACAGCATGGCAGATCAAGCGACAGCATGTGGCCAGCTAGCTCCTGTTTGTGTTACTTCTCTGTTCTTTAAGCTTCACGAGTACAGACGGACGCGAACAGACTCGTAAAAAACGCCGCTTTTCGGTGTCTGAAAGTGGGATAACGATAACACACTTAGGGGAGTTAAAATGTTATGCTAACGCTAGCCGTACATTTACCTTCACTGACCCGTCGAGCAGCTGCTAACGCTGCTCTGTCTCACGGTTGTCGGTGGGCTAACGCTGGTAACGCTACAGCTTATCAACCACGTTAAAACTCAACAAATTTAAACTAACTATAAGGTTATAAATAACTTCACAACGAGTCCCGTGTGTCGGGATGTGTTGTGCAATTGTCCACGTCATTACGTGTAACTTTGTATTCCTCATTGTGTTACTGCTTCAACTCCGTGGTGGTTTAATGTCTCAGTAAATCAGAAAAAGCTTCAAAGCTGCAAGTTTTCCTTTGTTGGAAACTCTGTGGGTTTGTATTTCCCCTCATCTCCAGGCTTCGTGTTTGATATTTAGTCTGTTTTCGCTGCCTAGTTTCTCAGGTTGTTGTTGTGGAGTCTGTGATAAATAGGGGAGACAGGGGACAGATGCAACACGTCTTTGGATTTCACTTAAGGGGCTTTTCCACTGTGAGAACTTAGCTCAGGAATTTGGGACATTTTGAAGAAGCTTTTTAATCACAGGAACCAAGGTCTAAATGTAACTTATTTTAATTGAACAAAAAGCTTGTTTTTTTTTAAATATTTTTTTAAAATAATGGTACCACAGATGCTAACAGAAGACGGAGTAGACATTCAGGATTACGTCCAACTAGTGATGGGCACAGCAGTTCTTTTAGATGTACTGAATCACTAGAATCAGTTCACTAAAAAGATTTGTTCACTAAATCACCAAATCATTTAGCACTTGGCGGGAGAAGCCTGCGACTCTGACCTCTTGAACTGATACACAGCTAAATGTTTTAGGTTTTAGTTCAGTTCATAGCTTCTGGGACCGGGAGACAAGAGTGTTTGTAATAATGAACTTGTTTATAAGTCATGATGTTTAAAGTATAGTGTTCTATGGTATGCTATTTACCAGGTCTGCTCGGTCAGTGAGTGATTTGTTAACTGAACGTTTAAAAGAATTTACACTGAACATGCACCGTTCCCTTGCAAACTGCTACAATGATAGGATGCTGCGGGTTTAATGCGCTACTTGTCACATGCTGTGTCCTATTGTATGGAAATTGTTTTGGTGGCAATTGAGCAGTGGAAAAAAAGTAGTTTTGTCCAACAAAAATGATTCCAGAGAGTGTAGTTCAATGTGTGATTCGTTCACCAAGTGATTCAGGCGTCGATGCATGTGGTCCTTGTTCACCGGCTGCTGGCCTGGCAATGCTGTTTCTCACTTCAGCTCAAATGAAGTGAGCACTGAACGAATCACTCCAGGAAGTGATTCTGATCAGTGCATTCACTTAAAAGATTTGGTTCTTTTGAACAAGTCGTTCGGGAACAACATGACACGAGGTCCAACATGACCATTTTTGAGGCTTTGGGATGTTAAAATAATTGTGTTTGCATTAAAAGCTGGGACACACAGACACCAGCTGAGCAGAGATAAGGATAGACAGGTAGAAGCGCCAGTAACCTGATGCTATTTAAAAATCAATACACCATAGTGGCTGCCAGTGTGATTTGTGACAGCTTCTCTAGGAATAAAAAAAAAGACTCAAATAAAGAGCTGTATAAGTTACTTCATTTCCATTTACCACCCCTGAATGTCATTCGCCGAATTGAAATTATTTACCCCAAACTTCAGGCCCCCTAGTGGAAAAACGGAAAACAGTTTGCCTCAGGGTTCCTATAGTCCCTGGAATTAAAAGCTCTGGGTCCTTTGGTCCTAAAGCATCTTTAGGAAGAGTTCTCGGGGAGTTTTTGCTGGGAAGTGATTGGCATTGAACAAAAAACAGGAACCTCCCTGCCTGTATTTACTGTATTACAATTAACATGCAACTCAAGGTAATGTAAAATGACAATTTTTCAAATACCTCTCAACACAGCAGAGTTTCTACAGCAGTAAATCAGTATTTTTGTGTAATATCACAGCCATTATGAGTTGTGATTGGTCTAAGTAGGTGTGGAAAAAAAAACCATTAATTATTGAGAATATGATTCATCTCTATGACTCACACTGGAATAGTTTATGCAATAAGGAAGTTATCCTTTTATTCATTTATGAAACCTTATTTTGATAAACCTTGGGGTCAGGGATGATTCTGCAGACACCGAGCGCATGTAATTGTACGACCAGCTCATCATTTCGAGCAGAAAGTGACTGAATCTCTCTTGTCTGTTTAAAAAGTGCCAATCTATGAATAGTGCTAGTAGACATCAGACGCCCTTGGTAACAAATATTTTTTGTTTTATTTATTTTTTAGACCTCTGGTTATGTTTCCATGGATGCAAATTTGATTATCCTGTGATAATCAATGCCGATCATGGCTATTATATTCCTGAGTTGCATCATTTCTCTGTTGATTGCCAGCTTTTCTATCCAGTGTTGGTTTCCCCACAATATTGAGATAAATTAATCCATTGTGATAAAAAACAACAGCTTTGCCTTCCCAAAATGAGACACATGGAGTGCTGGTTTGACTGAGGAGAAAATTTAGCATTAAACAGTGACCAGCAGATGAGGATGGGGACCCGCAGGTCTTGACGACTCGGTAGCTGGAAGTAGGTTTGTCCATACCTGTTTACTTCTAACATTACTGCTTCTGAGACCATTTGATGGGGAAAACAGGGGTATTGAAAAGAGCTCCACAGTCGCACAGAAACTGCACATTGCTGACTGCTTCATATGTGCCAGTGCATAATTTTAGTATGGATGTTATGGCACCTCTTACCATGTTTAAATAAAGTGTATGGATGCATGTCAGCTTTGAGCCTCTGTATGAACAGGACCCAACCAGTCATATTAACTCTGTATATTTAAATCACAACTTCATGCAAATACAGGCATGTGATTACATATGATGTATTTTTTGCAATATTTATTTAGATGCAACAAAAGTTTAATTATGCAACAAAAATTCAGAAAAAGCTTCAAAGTGTTTAGTAATGCAATAAATTTGAGCATAGTATTCTGAAATTGTATTTTTGATTTAATGTAATAATATGTAATAAGTAATCCCCCCAGTGTGTCAGTGTGTGACTGGAGATTTAATGCCATTCTTGAAACCAATAGAAAGTTCCTTGAATCGATAATCAAATCTCCTCCAGCCATGACAGAACATCATGTGCTAGATTCACTTCCTGACTTTGACATGTGCTGTTCATGTCACCGAGTCGAACAAATCAAAGAGCTCAACTAAGTGTGTTTTGAATTATTCATAAAAAGGTCAAGGGGAAAAAAAATCAGCAGGGCTCAATGTGTCTTCTGTCTTCTTGGGGAGGGGGTGGACCTTTCAACTGAGCATGAGCGGCTTCTGATTGGAGAAGTAAGACTTGTTGCAACCTCCCCTTGCCTTAACTGTCCTAGCAGGGATTCTCTGTAGTGTGTTTACTGTCAGTTTGAGACACAAATATCCTCTTCTCATTTGTATAAGTTGGTCTGTATTTTACAGTATTAATGCTATATGAAGGCAGCAGAGGTCAGGAGGCGTCACACAGGAGCTAAGCACATGATGTAATGGATTATCACAAGATTGTCCCAGATATGGAGCGCTTTACAAACAATGCCAGAGAGGAAAAACACCGCTTTTACACCCATTTTTATACACTTTTGTACATTGCTGTTGAATAGATCTTTGTGTGCTTTATGTTGTTTCAAGTGTCTCAGCTTTTTTCCCAGCACCCCTGTCAGTTTCATATTTACCCAACTGGAGGAAGCTCATCTAAAATTCATCGTGAGCGCTGAGGTTTATGTGTATATTTGGAAAAAGGTTGTGACATTAATGTAGACTGACGTGTCTTTCTTCTCGCTTGTCAGTTTGTAAAGCCTCGGCAGCTACAGAGAAGACAAAGTCAGGAAGAACTGAGGAGAAGAGGAAGATGAAAAAGCGGCAGATGTTGTCGATGGGCCATTATTTTGCACCCACAACCTCTACGCTTGTGTTGTAGGTCAAACCATCTGCTGTTTGTAGTTGTAGCGTGAATCCTCCTGTACATGCAAACATGTACAGGAGCCTCTGGAGGGTAACTATTCCTGCCTCCCAGAATAGACCAGGGTCTGCTAAGTTTACGGACATTCATTACTATAAATAAACCTCGTGGAAGCCCAGTGATGTGGTTATCACTGCTGACATAAAATGGCTTTAATAAGGACATGGAGTTCAAATATTGTTGAATTATTTTTAGTTGAGGACCATGGTGAAGTTATTCAAACTGCTCAGAGGCATTGTAGTCAACATGATAGCATTACTCTGTCATTTCAGGTTCTTTTCTACCTCAACGAGAAGTGAAATGCAGCTGAAATAGGAGTCAGATAGAGTAGTTGTGATTATTTTCTTTTTTTGGGCGGCTCTCAATGTTTGAGAACTTGAAACCGAAATTTACAACCAGTTCACGAGGCACTTGACAACATGAGTCATGTTATTGTGTGTTGTTTTAGTCATATAATCCTGACAGGAAACCCTGCAGTGCTGGCCTACTTGTTAAATTCGTTTAATGATATAAGGTCAAAGTCTAGTCATTTTTTCAAGGCAGTTATCGTCACACACTTCAATCTATGAATCTACCGTACACAAGTGCTATCAAACAGATCTCAACCTGCGGTCTTGAACTCTGGAGAATGCCACACGTCTTTTTTTTACCGCTTTGTAAACACCCTGGTGTCACTTTTCTGAGAAGTCAGCCTATTGAACTGTGTAGATGACAAACCGGGGAAATATGTCTCTTACAATGGAGCGATGGCTACATACTGAACACAGTCACATATCTGATATTGTCCTATAGTGTGAGCGTGAAGGAATAGCTCAGAGGCTGAAGATCTGCCCTTCAAAATGGTGCTACTGCCGTGTAATCAGTCTTATCACACACAGTGTGTACTCTGACCCAGAGTAAATGAAAGGTTGTGTCCTCTAAAATCCACCATGTTGTGTGGAGCTGTACCAGCAGGTTGAAAACTTCGCACAATAGCTGACTCAAACTTTTAAATCGCTTAACACAGTTTTAACTGGATTTCTGTTCATATTAGCAGGACAGAAAAAAAGCCTCAAAGTTTCATAACCTGGTGTTTTCACAAAACCCTATAATTACCAAGGCGTTTGTGACTTTGATTTCTCTGACTATTTTAAGGCTGTTTGATTGAGGTAGCTATTATTGTTGTAATGAGAGAGGTTGAATAATTCCATGATTGGCAGAATGAGGAAGCTGACAGTTTCTGGTTCTTTCGGTTTGCTCTAATTATGTTGTTGTGTGGTTGTAGAAGAGTTTGCAGACATGCAAAGTGAAAGGGAGTTGAAAATACATCAACAATATGAGCTGAAAATGGAGTTAGAATAGAAGATTGAGCCTTTTTTTTTTGGCTTTTTTTTCAAGATTTTGAACTAAATTAAGTTGGCAGCACTCTGAAAAGTTCACCTGATTTCATCTTACATAGTCCAGCTGGCACTGTTGTAAAACCTATGATATTGGTATGGGTACTGAATCACATTGGTGGGTTTTTTTATGCTCATGTTTTTTTTTTTACAAGAAATATAACACATAAAATTCTTGCAAAAACATGATGATGTGCTCAAAATTTCCCAGTGACTGCTCCCAAATGAGACACAAAAATAACACTAAGTATGAGATCCCAAAAAACTGGCATGCATGTAATAACGCACACAGCAATTCTAGAGTAGAAAGGAGACGAGTTGTATATCTCTGTTGTTATTGTAGCTTGTACAGTGAAATGAAGTCTGCAGATCTTAATTGTGCAACATTCAGAAATATAAGAGATATAAAAAAGACACAGTGGTGCAAAAAAAGTGACAATAATGAATAAAAAGAATAAATTAAAGCAGAACATCAGCTATAGAGCTGCTAATAAGAGGATTGGAGATTCGCAGTATTGGTATATAGGGCTGGGCGATATGGCCTCAAATCAATATCACAATATATTGAGTAGTTCACCTGGATAACGATAAATGAACGATAACTTCTCCACAAGCTGCTCACCCCCTCGTACATTAACTTTGTCTACTTCAGCCGCCGCTCCAGCCACTTCAACTTTTGAACCGTCCTCCATCTCCTCACCTGTCTTTCCCTCTTTGTTACGGACTGGATGGGGTGGAGTCACATCCCTGACATAGGACAGCATCTTGGAGGGACATGAGACCATAGCCTACCTACACACATTCAAAACCAACTTTTATTATTTATTTATTATTTATTTTGACACCGAATATATTGACATGGGCAAAGTGACGTCGGTTATTGTCGTAAATTTCGGTATCTGTAAATCTTCGGTTTATCGCCCAGCCCTAGTGGTACACAGCTGCTGCACCAAGAATGTAAATATTGGACATTACCTTGACTTTCTTAAATAATTTTCCCCTTTTTTTCTCTGTTTTTTTTTCTCCACAAACCGTTTTACAACACTAACTAACCCATATCACCTTAAACTCAGGGATTTAGGAATCAATCCAGGTTGCAGTGAAGCTCAGCAGGGACAAACACCGGAGCTCTAAATGTCTGTTGTGAAACAAACAGCTGTCCTGTCATGTTTTAAATCTTCCAGTGTCTGTCTGTTGGATCTTAGTTCAGGTTATTTCCACACTGAGGCCTCAGGTTTGGTAATGCTTAGTTACTCGCTCTTGTGTTTGCATCCTGACACAAATAGTGCTCAGTTCATGACAGCAGATGCAAATGATGTGAAGAGATCGTCTCACATTACCGATCCTTGATGGGTTAAAAAAGTCCTGGATTGGCTCCCAACTGGGACTGAAGTTTTTCAACTGAATTAAAAAAGAACTGTTCAAAGGTTCATGCTCATCTCCTATGTTGAAAACCTGAATATTGATTTTGAACAGTTGCAGCCCATCAGCCGTGACTGCTTGTTGGTGACCTCTCTGGCTGCTTGGTGTTTGTGTCGGTTGGCTTGAAAGATTGAAACCACATGTTTCTTCACCTGCTCACACCCACTGTGTGTGTGTATTTGTGTGTGTTTGTTTGTGTGTTTCTGTGAAGGGGGGGTATCCCCGGGAGTGTGTCGTCTTCTGTTGTCTCAGCTCTGTGACACTCCAGTTAATCAAACATTGGCAGGATCTCTGAATTGAAGACGTTAACGCCCGTAGAGTTTACACCCTCATGCCACCTCTTCTCTAAATTTAACTCAGGTGATCGTCATGTCTTGTTTTTTGGTTACACTTTGCATATTTTTATCTAACATCTCTTGAAAAAACACGGGTACGACTAAATGCCATCTATTTTTACTCCCCCGAGCTTCCCTCTTCGCGGCTGTCACTGTTTCACAAACCGAGGTCAACCCATTGTTAATGTCATGACAGGAAAAACAAGACAGGACAGGATGATATTGAAGTCTGCAAATCCAAACATAGAAATCGGAAAAGTTTGTCCTCCTTGTGACGCCCCTCCTCCTCCTCCTCCTTCAGTCTTTGTTTTACATGTCTGTATTGGTCACTCTGGCTGTGCACAGGCTCTATAATGAGCACCCCTCCTTTCCTCCCTCTTTAACCCCTTAACTGTCCCTGTGTCTGTCCTGCTGGTAACGGGTCACCCTCAACACTCAGCTCATTAGGGGCTGCCTCCTTGAAGGCAGGGCTGCCGTAACAGTTTCCTCGACTCAGAGAAAGGAAGAGAGCAGCACGACTGTGTCCTGTGTCACAATGAGTCTTTGTCCCGTCACCCCCCAGCTGAATTAACGGGACTTCTTTAATGGATGATAGTATGACAACAAGAAAGCAGGCTGATCAAGTTTAAAAGTTCGTAAGAGAGCGCTGATAAAGACCTGTGTGAGAAAACACAAAGACGACGATGTTAAACACTTTTATTTGAATGAGACTGTTTATGAAAAGGTACAAAGCTCAGTTTACTGGAGTGTTCTTATCACATCACCATGGCGATTTATTGCGAAACAAAGATACACAACAAAACAAAAACTCAACCTGAGCTGTTTTGTTGTGTTTCTCCTGTTTGTAATTATTACACTCAATCAGCTGCAGTCAGTATAAAGTAGATTCTGATTCATAAAAACCTTGACTGTTTATTTTTTAATCATCGCAGCATACTGAATCTTTCCTCAAACTTTTATTACAAGGTGATTAAACTTCAAAACTGTGCAGTGATGGTTTATAATGTAACTGCTGTTTTCAGAGAGACTATCATGAGATGACAGAGAGACACAGCATGTGACAGAACGGTTGTAGAGAGACAGAAAATGTGAGGTAGATGTGCAGCAAAGGGTCATAGCTTGTAGGGCTGGGTGATAAACCGAAAACTTACCGATACCAGAATTTATGACGTCATTTTGCCCATGTGAACATATTACGTGTCAAAACTATAACTAAATAAAAGTTGGTTTTGGATGTGTTTAGCAAGGCTATGCTCTCATGTCCCTTTAAGACGCTGTCCTACATCAGAGACATACTCCACCCCATAACAAACAAAGAGGGAAAGACAGGTGAGGAGATGGAGGATGGTTCAAAAATTGTAGTGGCTGAAGTAGATGAAGTTAATGTGGGAGGGGGTGAGCAGCTTGTGGAGTAGTAATCGTCCATTTGTCATTATCAAGGTGAACTGTGCAATATATTGTGATATTGATTTGAAGCCATATCGCCCAGCCCTAGTAGACATGCAGTAAAAGGTCATAGCTGGTAATCAAACCTCTATACATAGGGCATTTAGACCACCAGGCCTTGAGCGCCCCTCTTCTTTGGTTGTATGAGATATTTGTGAGGTTGTTAAAATAACTCGAAAGTCTTTGATTTGTGCTTTAAAATGAAAATCTGTGTTGACGTGACAGTGTGATAGAAACGCTTCGAGTGCACGGTGCTCACGGATCAGCAAGAACAACTGAATATGCTGGAGTATGCGTGCCAGGCTGTTAGCTGGCAGTAAAACTTTATAATGAAACACAGCTGAAGAACACCACGCACCTACGCACGCAGAGAGGTGCTCTTCAAAGGCAAATGGGTCTGCAACATCACTGTTTTCATAGGATCTGTGCAGCAGTTTACACGGCAACAAAGGAAGAGAAGAATCCACTCTGGAATCGCAGTAATAGATTATACCTTTCTGTACCCACATGGGGCGCCAGTTGCTCCGCCCCTTTGTCAAGAAACCAGTTGGAAGGATGCAAAATGCAAATCTGGCAGCAAAGTAAATGACCAAAGTGCTCCAAATACACTGTCATGACTGTTTGGGTTTGAGTTTATTAATATTATCTAAACAATAAGGTGGAGTTGACCCCATTAGCAGCTGTTTCAGTTCTCCAGTCTAGTTCTCAAGCTGACCAGGATCCTCTGCGGCTGAAACACTTACTGTACTATCCAACCACACTTCCAAAAAAAGGGGAACTGTCCCTTTAAGGTATAAGCAGAAAACCTGCAATAATGCTGTAAAAATCTTTGGCAGAATCAAACACCAGAGTCAGGCCAAACACTAATAACAGCAATAATCTCACATCCATTCAGAGATACAGAAGCTGTTAAACATATGATGATTAAATAATGACTAATTTATGGCGCTGGTATCACAGATACTGAAACTGAAAAACAGGTTTTAAACCGGCTCTAATTAAAAGCAATGAAAAGAAAGGTAAAAGCTTTTTAGTACCTTCATATTTAAACTCTAAAAAGAAAAGAACGTATGCACTTAGGCTACATTCACACTGCAGGTTATGATGCACAATTCAGATTCGGATTTTGCGGCATCGAATGTGAACGAAATGCGTCCGTGAAGTGACCCGCATGCGCACAAAGCACAAATTGATTTCCGCGCCTGTTTGTGTTGTCGAATAATGATGACGTTTGTAGCATATTGATGACGTATAGGTCGGATGAACGCACCTGAGCGTCCACACTGCAGTCACATCAGATACGTATCTGTTCACACTTATATGAAAAAGTCAGATATGTGTCACATATGGTTAAAAAATCAGAATTGACCTGCAATGTGAACATAACCTAAGTTGGGCTTTGAGTGCAGCACATAAAGAGAGCTGCGGTCATATTTTTGTTTGTCTTTTGTGACATGCTTTTTTGGTTGATTTGCAAATTTTAGAGTAGTCCTCCAGAGCAATTCATTTGAGTCTGTCGTCACGCTCTTTCTCCTGTCGTATCTTTTTGGAAACTACTATTTTACGTCTTAATTTAACACAGATTCATACGGGAGCGATGATGAAAATGATGGTAGATTTTGCCTCCTGCGGGGCCACGCTGCTAGTTTTTAGTGTTTTCTTGTACATAACATTTTCATTTGCAAACACTCGCAGTATTTACATGGAAAATAATCTCTTCCAAAGCACATTCCTGGAAGGGCTTATGTTGAAACTTCAGCTGAACTGTTAAAGGGGACATTCACTTTTGTTTCTAAAAATACAGACAGCGTAAAATCATCTCCTCCGTTATGTATTCGGAGGATTATGAGCATAAGTGTGCCTTTTTAGTCGCCCGTGTTTGAAAGTGCACATGTGAGGTTGTTGCATATGTTGTTTGGCGTTGTGTGTATGTGTGTGTGTGTTTGTACACTGAACTCAGAGCCACATGACCCATGAGATAAGGTTTCACTGTTGGCTGAGGGCTGGCATGTACTTTTACAGGCCTCCCCTCGTAGCTCACTCTAAATCTCAGTGTGAAGTTAATGCCTCTGATGAACAACACAATCATTATCTATTGTCTTGTTTGCTCATTTCGTCCCCTGACTGTTTGGTGATTGCATCAGTCAATTCATTAGATTCTGCTCGGGTGTTTGTCAGCAGTCTGTAAGCTACACGCTGCTGGAATTCATAGATTGCCAAAGTAAACTCTGCTGCTTCAATAACCGCTACCTCCCTCGGCCTCTCGCTGCTCAGAGTCCACTGTTCGGGAGTAGAGCGGGCCGAACCGTCTCTGTGTGAAGTCTGAAATTGTTTTCTGAAAATGAACTTCCTCAACAGGCAGGAGGTGTTTCCTTCCCATCCCAGTCCTCTGTTTGAAACTGTGAGGTGAATACTGAGCACAGCCGAAACATGACTAGAGCAAAAACAACTGCTCCTTTGTGCGAGCCGAGCGTGAGGAGGCCAATCCTGTTAGCTTTTTTCATTCACTTTTACTCGGAGACTCTTTGAAACCATTCAGCATTTCTATTTTGGAAAAAGTCTCATTTTATCAATATTCTGATTAGCTTTCACACCGGCGGATTTATTATGACATAATTTGACTCTCCCATGATATAAGGGACAGCTACTTGGCTGCCTCGCTCTGGAAAACCCTCTCTCTCCCTCTCCCCCTCTCTAATTCACTCCTCCTTTGTCTCATTCACATTTTTAGAGCTCCAGCCAGACTGGGTAGTCACCTAAATATCAGTTAGGGTTTCAAATAACAGCCTTCGCCATGGGGCTTTGCGACACACCTTTGTGTATCTGTTACAGAGGAGTAACTGGTTTGTGTCGGCTGGTTTACCTCGTGTGAAATAGGTGGGGCAACAAGAGGCAGTTACTAATACATAAAAACAGAATTAGGTGGTTTGTAGATGATGGTAATTGAAAGTAGAGAGATTCAGTTTTAGAAATACAAGCTCGTTTGAATTTGGAAAGTTGTGACGAAAACAAAAAGACTGACAAAGTGTCTGAACTATTTGGATTAATTTGCAACAGGTTAGTAACATAACCAGATACAAAGAGTAGAGTCTCACAGAAGTAAAGATGGGAAGAGGTTCAGCTTTCTGTGAGGGACCAGGTGAGGAGGTAAAGTTTGTTTGTTTAGCACGGTTAAGAATAAAGTGTTTACAGGAGTATGATCCTGAGCGTCAAGTTGCAAAGAATTTTGGATTTCAGCGTCTACAGTCCAGATTCAGAGTCAAAGGGACAAGGCCTGGATGGCTGTGATCTTTGAGCCCTGCAGTAAAAAAACAGACATGACTCTGTAGTGGAAATCACTGCATGGGCTCAAAATCACCTCCCATTGATGCATGTACAAATGCAGCTTACAATCCAAAGAGGAAACAAGATTCTAAACATGATCCTGAAACAACAGTGACTTCTCTTGGCTCCAGTCCATTTAAGATAGATTAAGGTGAAGTGGAAAACTTTCCAGAGGTCTGATAAATCTGAATTTGATGTTCTTTTCTGAGGTCGTAGATGCCAGATCCTCTGCACTAAAACAGGGTTTCTGCTGGGTCTTAAACAGTCTGCAGACATCTAAAATCCAATAATTTGAATTTAGGGCCTTAAAATGTTAAATTCTCTTAAAATGTCTTAAATACAAATTTGAAAGTTCTTTAAAATGTGTTGATGTTACTTACAAATACAGATTGATTTGAAGTTAGTTTAAAATGTTCCGATTTCCCTTCATGTCTTTTGTACTTTTTTGCCAGTATGGATGTAAAAATGACCTTAAATTGTTTCATTATGGTCTTAAAAAAGTCTTCAAGTCTTAAATTTGACGTGTTGAAACCTGCAGAAACCCTGAAAATGGGAGAGACCACCTGGATTGATTCTGTCAAACTGGACGGTACCTCTACAGCTGAACAGTATACAGGTTTTGGATTGACATGCGCTGCCTTCCAGATGTTGACTTTTTCAGAGTAGAATTCGCATAATGCCAAACTATACGTATTCGCTGCATATCCCAACAGCATGGCTCCACAGCAGAAGAGTCAGGGTGCAAAACTGGCCGGTCTACAGTAACAGCTTCAAACAAAGAAACCCTGAACCGCAGCAAAACAGAAGCTGAAACCCTGTAAAAAGCTAGAAACGGTGCAAACTGGTCTCCTTGGTTCCTCAACTTTGAGACATCGGATTTAAAACGAGTACAAATTGTTCAGTTTCAGGTTGTATATTTTCTCTGTGTTTATTTCTAATTTACCTTTGTGTGGTATTTACAACAAAGCCAAAGTGTAGGTTATTTTTGTTGCTGTGTGTCACGTTGAATAGCTGTAATAAAGTAAGCCCTAATGGCACTTAGTAATTAGTGCCATGACATCCAGGTTGGCTGTGGCCTTTCCCTCTGCTCTTTGTCAGACAGGTTTGTGGAGAACAGCAGCAGACTGCTGGCCTCAGCATTTTCCGCCTGTATTGATCTCCCCACATTAGCTCTCTCTTCATGCACAGACATGAGCACAATTGCTTCCCTTACAACATTGGCTGCCTTGGCAACTGAGTCCTGATCGTGAGATTTGCTCCCAGAAAACATCTCAAACCAGTACCTCTTCATTTCGCGGCGCTACCGTCTCCTTTACATTCCCCCGTACGTGTTTGACACATCCACGGCTTGATTTGCCACTTACAGCCATCTCCGTATGTCTTTGTGTATTTTGAATAGGGTAAGTGCTTAACAGGATAAAAGAGCAGTTTGAAAAGGGGGGGATATGTGGCTTGGCACCTGCTGTTAGTGCCTGCCTGTTTGCACATGAATATGATGAGGCTGGCGGTGTGCGAGGCTATTTTAACTTGCAGATGAGCCATCAGGTCAGCACCGTTGCAGCTTTGGTGTATTTTCAAGGATGAGCTGCAGTCAACAGGCCAGCGCAGCTTATTAGTTCCCTCTCCCCTTTCCACTCTTTACACACTAGTGTCCCATTATTCACTGCATTCCCAGCCGCTTCCCTTTGATGCCTTTTCATAAGAGCAATGATAACCGCGATCAGCGCAACAGCAGAAGTAATTGACCAGCTGCAGTCACAGTAAAACACTTCCTGTGTTTGGCTGCAGCTCTCTCAGCCGTCCACCCTGCCTCCGTTGATATTTAAATTGGCGGTCTTCTGGAGGAGCTACTCGACAGAGGATAAGTGCTCTCTTGCACCCGAGGGTCCGGCTGAGAGGTCAGGACTGTGGAGACGGACTGAGGTGCAGCTCTCTTGTTTCTGTAAGGTTAATCAGCGGCCTGACACCTCTCCCCGGACTGGGACTTCTTCTCAACCCCCCCCCCAGCCCTGCCTCAAAACCAAATAAAGTCAGCTCACTCACTCATGGCCTGTGGGGGAAGAAAGGTGGACCTTATGGAGTGTTTACAGCTGACCCCGGGTTCATAAAACACTCCAGCCCCACCTTTTTATCAAACAAAGAGGCCTCTCTGCCACACCCCTGTTGGCTTGTGGTTAACTGTGACTTAAGTGTTTGTCATCCACATGAATTGGGTAACACATCCACGGATGAAGCATCATGAAGTGAAGCTTTGAGACAGAGTTTCTTTTTCTAGTCTGCGTGCACAAAAACTCAAAAGAAAAGACTGTGCCCCTAATTGTGCTGTTAGGGGGCGCCTACATGTGGTGTAACACGGCTGAATTGGTTGTAATGAAGCGACAACCTCTGGTCTTGAGAAAGAAACAGGTGCGGAGGTGCTAAAAACTGCAGTTCCCAGAATGCCCACTATAAAGGCTGGCTGCAGAAGCACCGCAAACCACACACAGAGCCAATAAAGTCAGAAATAAACGAACTCAAAAACAGTTTTAGTCTGAATAGCTGCCACGGCAACCACGGTACAGAGATTCATTTATTCTGTCGTGCGTTCAGGTTACATGATTGGCAAATAAGAGGCATGGCTGACTTGACTGGCAGACCGACACGCTAGCTGTTTACGTGGTCTTTTGTAGGTTAACTGTAGGTTGAGTCAGCATTGACAACATGGCGATCACTGCCGACAGGCTTTAAAACTCGTCACCTGTTACTCGTCGGTTATTATACAGTCTCTGGTTGTGATACACTGCATCACAGTCACCGACAAAGAAAGTAAAAGAGAGCAGCAGAACTGAATCTGATGACTTCATAATCACCTCTTGCTCTCCATCGTTGGCTGTTTAGCTGTTAAAAATGTTGTCTGGCAGTCATCAGATAACTATATTTGCATCCTCCTTCATTCAACCACCTTTTTTAGAGGCGCACAACCAAAGTTCCTGTACACTAGGGTTGGGAATCACCAGTGGCCCAACGATGCAATATTATCACGATACTTGGGCCGCGATACGATATTAATACAATACAGTTTATTGCGATCTATACAGTTTTATCAGCTGTTTATCTAATTTAGCATTTATGTTTTTCTTATTTATACAGTATTTTTTTTTTCATGTAGCACATCTTGCAAACCCTATGTGTGTCAGGTCCATCTCATTTGCGCCCTGCTTGCATTCCCTATGTCTTTCCCCAGGTGCTGCTATATTTGTTGCACTAATTTTCTCCTGCTCTATAATGACACCTCTGCCGACCTCACTGGACAAACACTTGATTTTATTTTTCCATTATCATGGATTTGACTTCATATGAACAATTAATGTGAAAAAAACAATACTTGGTCAGTAAGTCGATACGATATATCACCAGACAAAATATCCCGATACTATGCTGCATCGCTTTTTTGTACTCGTAAGATTTTTCTCCTGAGGTGGGAAACTTTAAGTGCTCACTTTACGATAAAAATCCATCTTTGGAGAGATAGACCTCAACTACAACTGGAAAAAGTTTAGAGAGAAACAAGCAAAGCCAGACTGACTCTAAAAGTGGGATATTTATATAGTTATACCTACCTATGATGCCTTTATATGTATAACAGTGTGATGGTGCAGCTCGGCTCGCAGCCCCAAACTCATTAAGAGACCCATATCTTTATCATTACACTGTTTTAGTCTCTGTTTTTGTAACCAGGAGGTCTGTTGGACCTGAAGGATACTCCTCCACATGGCAAAACCCTGTGAGTGACGGGCACCAAGCAGTCCTGTAAACTCTGTTATCATCAGAAATGGCAGCTCAGTTAGCAGCCCCTCCTAACACACTCCGATTATCATCATTTCAAAGGGCTTTTATGCCTCTATTTGTAGGACAGCTGATAGAGTCGAAAACTAGGAGAGATTGTGGGAAATGACAAACAGCGAGGGGCCGCCCACTTCGAGGCCTGTTGCCTCTGTATTTATGACACGCAAATTTAAGCACAAGGCTAAACTGGCGCCCCAGAACATTAATTTTAAATATTCAATCAGCGTTTTACTTGATCGTGCTGTCTTTTACTATCATGACCAGATAGAACAAAGCCTTAAAATGTATGATAGAAATCTTCAGGTCACGCTGATTTAATATATTTCAAGGATAAATCTGCTCCTCTCTGTAAATATCTTTCATGAACCGGTTGCTTTTCCAACAGGTATCATTATCAAATCATAAGGTGATAAATAAAATAAAAGATATTTGAGCTCAGATAAATCAAAGCATGTGTAATTTTTTTAAAAGCACTGGATGTTTCTTTTTTTTTTTTTTGAGCTGAAATTCTTGGAAGTAGGAATGATATTGTCCTCCAAACCTGCGGGCCTGTCTGTCTGTCTGTCTGTCTGCACGGTCCCCTCTTTCTCTTTGCGAATTCACACAGAGTAGGAACCTGTCATGTTGAGGGATATCTTTTCGTGTTTTGGTCTCTTGAGCAGAGATTTTCTTTTAACACAAATGGGCAGTTCTCTCGCTGGCTGACACATCTGATTGCTCTACTTTGCTGAGAGCTGTGATTCATCCTAGACTGAGGATAACTTACATAGCCCACCTCGCTGAGTCTCAGCTCTCTCTCTCTGTCTCTCTGTCTTGGTCTCATGTTCACTCTCTTCTGTCGTGCTCTGTCCTTCCATAAAAGGATTTCCCTATTGTTGTGTCCCTTCCTACGCTCACTCATCCTGTCCCCTTCCCTTTAGCCTGGAAAGCTCTTTGACTTCCTCGTTTTTCCACAGAGGTACAAGCGATACACGAAGATGATTTCAGTGACACTAGCATGTAACAGAAACACAATGGAGAGGCAGAACTCAGGACAAAATGTAGCTCACATGACGTCACCTAAAGAGCTGAACGAAGCGCTGAATAAATCATGATGTTGGATTTAGGAGTCACGCTATACAAAACGGGATCTGTCCTTGTGTGTTTATCCTGTCATTGAGAGCTGAGTGGTCATTTTGTAAATGCACTAACGCCTCCTTCTTCCCCCCTCACGTCCTCATTGACAAACTGATTTGTGCGTGTGTTTCTGTGAGTGCGTACACTCCCTCTCCTGTCTCACCCACTGTGCAAATACTCTCGAGGTTGACCCAATTCTTATCTTATCAGAGAAATGAAAAGATATCCGCCTCACAAACCTCCCAACCATAGTCTCGTCTTGGTCTCGATCCAGAGTGACCCAGAACCCTCATAGTCAGGGGCATCTGGTGTCCTCCCCAGCCCCCCCAGTGTGGATTACTTATTCTTGTAGTGTATCTATATATTGTTCACGGGATTTCTGCTCCAAATCGAGAGGACAGTTTTGTTTTCATGGTGACACTCTGCACATAGAGCTTGTTGAGCGGAGCCAAAGAGGGATCTCTGTGTGCTCCGGCCTCATCAGCCCAGTGTTAAAAGAGACCACAGCTTGTTGTCAGCGCCATGGAGGAATGTAGTCTGCCTCTCATTGGTCCTGCTATCGTTAAATAACAGCTAATCGGAGTAAATTAGCATGCTGTGAGTTTGTATGATTAGGAATAACTCGCCTTTGTAGCTTAAAGCCAGCAGCAGCATCTGGTCTTGAGAAGTGAAGAGAGTGCAGAAGTGCTGTAAGGTGTAGTTCCTTAAGTGTCCACTAGGGGCCGGCTCCGAAAGCTTTGGATGCCACATACACACCCATTTAAAATCACAGTAAAATTAAACATGTCTTGTACAGAAAAGTAGTTTGATCTCTTAACTCTTTCTGTCCACACACACGAAACAGAGAGTGACAGTTTTATGACTCAGTAGCTTTGAAGATTTCAAGATGAGACGTTCCTTTAGTAGTCCCTAGGGGGGAATTTCCAAATTTACAGCAGCATATACAGATACAGTAAGAGAAAAATTGAAAGATAAAGAAACTTTGAGTTAAAAAAAGATACATGAGTCAAGGTCAAGAGTTTGGCCAAACTAGCAGGCGTAGTTTTGCTGCTAGCTAAGAGGCTAAAGGTTAGGCTCAACGCATTTTTCTACTTTGCCAAACCTAAAGAATGTTGGGTCAGCATTTCTACTATGCCGATTGCCATTGACCTTTTTTTTTTATTTTTTTCATATTATTTTTTTGGTCGATTTTTGGCTTTTGTTGATAGGACAGGGTGAAATGTGGGGAGATATGGGGGATAAGGGAGGACATTCAGCACATGGTTGGGGCCAGACTCGACCCCCGTGACCGCTGCGGGGACCATGGTCCCCGTACATGGGGCACGCTAACCCGCTCGGCCATCTGCGCGCCCCCGTTGACCAGTTTTTAAAGTCAGCTTTAGGAACCAAAGGGTGTCGGCGTTGAGTCAAAGTCCGTGTTTCATAGAGTTTCAACACGTCATCGATCTGACTCCAGGTTAAAATACGGTTTTAGTTTGTATTCAGCCAAGTTGTCCTCATCAGTTAACAGACTAAACTAGCCGCTCTCTTTGGTAGATTCAATGAGGTTACCATCCGTCCTTAAAGAAATGCACTTTGTTGCCATGGTTACCAGAGGCATCATCTGTTTATTCACTGGTTCACAGACACGAGTCAAATTTCTCAGTGTTTAGTCAGATTCCAACAAAGCATGTCCATCACATATACTGAGAGAGCGGCTGCTTGTGTTTGCTGTAACGGACTCTCAGACTGAGAAAGTTGCTTTAATTACGTATTAATTAATCACATTGTGCTGAGAGTCGGACGCATATTTTGTGTCTGTTATTATTAATATCATAACCGAATAAATGAAGTCTCTCTCTCTCTCAAAATACCAATAACTCCTCCTCTGCAGACTAGAGTGTCATTGTCTTATTAATTACCCTACTTGGCTAATGATAGAGGGCTTAAGGCTGCATTAAATTTCCTGCTGCTGTTAAATGACTGACAACTCCTGGCTCTGCAGCCTCTTTACACTACTTAATCTGGCATGTGACAAATCGAGTCTTGATCCGGGCTGAATGCAGATCAGCCTGTAAGAGCCATCCTCTCAGTAAGATGGAGGCCCAGCACTCAGTCCCGCAGCCGCCTGATGGTCTCACGCTCATTTACACATAACGAGCAGCGGGGTCGCGTCTCAAACGAGGTGGGCGTCGAGGAGTGGAGCCTTAAGTCGGCGCAGTTTCTCGAGAGGTCCTCCTCAGAGGTCCTCCTCAGCTGGAATCAAGAGGAGGGGATGGCTGAGAGCCTCTCCTCCTGGGTCCTCGCCAGGCGTGAAGGAGAGGGACAGTGAGAGGGGCCGCGGGGAGAGCAGCGGAGGCAGACGGGCACAGCCGCGAGGGGGGCGTGGCCTCGGGGAAGACTTAAGAAAACAGGGTCAACGCTTGGGAGAGCACATCAGCCTAATATGTCACATCATGTTATTTCACCCTGCCAACCCTATTTTGTAATCAGGCCTCCATCAGAAACTGGGATTCTTGTCTATAAGCTGTCAAACATGAATGAAAACCTCTAAAAAGGGTGTCGGGTTAAGAGTTAAAAATGAGTCTCAGTCTGGATGAAGTTGAGTTAAACTGTCTGATAATGGGATTAGATGGGCCTGGTTTTCCATTCTCCAAACTTTCTCCTCAGCTGTCCCACAACCCTATTTGAAAAAAGTGCAAAATCAGACTATCAAAGAGGAAAATGTTATCTTTTATTTTGATGCTGCAACGTATTTCATAAAAGCCAGTACAAGAGCATGTTTGCCACTATGTCGTATCACTTCTTCTTTTAACAAAACTGAGTTGACCAGTTTCTGGAGTTTTGAAAGTGAAAACTGGTCCTAGTCTCTCCTGATACAGGATTTATAATGATATTATGTCTACATCAGTGTTGTTTTCGTGCCCCTTTTTTTCCAAGACGAAGACATAAAGTTGGCGAGCTAAACATAAGTCTTAGATGACTAAAATGTGACGAGACAAATGTGCGTTTACGTTGACTAGACGAAAACTTTGGTGGTGGACGACGAACAGAGTTGCCAAATTTTGTCAGTCAAACGCTAAACATATATTCGCAGTGTTGTTTTCGTTGATGATGACGACACTGGTCTACATAAGGGTTTGACCTGTATTTTTCAGGCAAATACAGATCTATTAGAGACTGATGATGGATTTGCAGTTTCGCTGTAACACCTGTTTCTCTCTTTTTCTCCTTAGACCTCTTTGATTTAATGGGTCCAATCATTGGGATGTCACCAGATAAGAAAACGGAAATTCCGGGTATGCAAGAGGAGCGGACGGGGCTCAGAGGTGTTTGCGGCGTGGGGACGCTGCCCGAGGCGGAGTGTGCATCCAGTCCGCTGGCGACCAGCGTGGATCGTACAGGAGGCATGGAGGACGAGGAGCTCACCAACCTCAACTGGCTGCATGAGAACCTGCTGCAGAACTTCACTCTGGGAGGTCCCGAGGCTCAGCCCAGCGGCAGCCCGCTCTTCGACATCGAGGGAGACTACGGGTCCAACCAGGGCCCGTCCTCCTCGTCCTCATCTTCGTCACACGGCAGAGGCAGGGAGCGGGACTCCATGAAGTCCAAACCTCCTTTCTCTTTTTCCCTCCTCATCTACATGGCCATCGAGCAGTCTCCCAGCAAGTCTTTGCCTGTGAAAGAAATCTACGGCTGGATCCTCGAGCACTTCCCGTATTTCTCCAACGCTCCCACCGGCTGGAAGAACTCAGTTCGTCACAACTTGTCCCTGAACAAATGCTTCCGCAAGGTCGAACGGAGTTTGGGAAAGGTATGTTCACACGCCAGAAAACCTTCAAACTTGCACCTTTTCCTTCTGTCTTCTCTGCAGCTTTGTTCTGATGATGCCATGAAACTTGATGAAACTCTTACAGGCCCAAATGCGCCTGCTCTGGCTAAAACACTGCGGGGGAAGAGCCCTTTGCGGTGTGAAGCTGCAGTTTGTCTCATGAGACGCTGCCTGTAACACAGTCGCAGGGACCTCTGACTCTGCTGAGATAAGGCTGGAATCCAGTCAAGGTCACAGATACTCCTTCAGAAGAACTGCAAACACAGCAAACACAGAGATAGGACTCTATCACCCAAAGCACCACAAGGCAGAGTAACTGTTTAAACCGGCCGAGAGAAGCACCTCACCCACTGATAGAAACTAAAACATCGCCCAGAGAAGAGGAAGCAAATGTGAACTCCAGCGCAGAGTTCAGTTTTTAGGAAGAATCTGTGTCACTCATGCTAATCAGGTAGTTTTCCTGTGTAGAAAGAGTCAAAAAAAAGGGGAAGTTGACCCAGTCAGAAGCACATGCTTATAACAACGAGACAAAGACACTCTGAATGAACAGGGTTAGATATTAGTAACCTTTTATTATGTAATAGCTCATGTAGTTCCTAATTACTGTCATATCCGTTCATTTTTCTTTGAGGGAGTGTGGTGATGACCCAAAAATAACGCAGAAGTAGATTTGGTTTGTGACTAAAGTAACATTTCAGTGCAACAGTGGAGCTGCTTCTCCAAGTCATCAAAAGCAAAAAATACAAATATTCAGATGTTACACACAGGTTTATATGTTCTGTTGAATATTTTATTCACTGTCTACCAAGTCTGTTCTGTAAAATTCTGCTTAATTTGATGAGCTGTTCCTTTAAGTCTTCAAGCAGTTAAGCGTCCCGTAGGGAACTTTAAACCAGATTTGCCAAAATCTCTTGTTTCTTCTAATGTCTCCCTGTCACCTGCAACAGGGAATGAGCCCATCTGTGTTAAGATGAGCTACTTCTTAATAGTGAAAACAGGGAAAACGGGAGCCAGTGGTCGGGTCGGGACCACGAACAAAACGATTTAAGGCACTCTGACCAGAGACGACACACGCATTTTTCTCTTTTATGATGCACTGAAAACGCACATATTACTGTCACTACACAGACTGCAGAGCTGCTCTGTGTCACTCACCTCAGTAGTCCTGCTGCTCCACGTCTGTCTCACTCTCCAGGGCAGGATGACCCAGACTCGCTTCCAATTTTAAATACATTTACAAAGTTAGTTGCCACAAACTGCTCACAACAAAAGTTAGTTTCTGGAGCCCTGACGTGCGAGCCAGATAAGTGTCTTTACGACAATAAAACACTACCGCTTTTGTCCATAGTGGTTACCAAAATCAACAGAAAATGAAAACTCCATCCAGCTGCTTTAACTTTCAATCAAGTTAGAAAACCTCTTTGTCAAGACTTCAAGAATTTACTTATCTCAGTTAGATTGGCAGCAACCTCGCTAAATCCAAATTGACTATTGTAAGTAGGAGATATCGAGCTTCACCTGCCCCACTGTGACTGAAAAAAGCAAAGCTCAACAAAATCCAGAAATGATTTAACACAGAACATTTAACTAAAAAAAATCTGTTTTCATGTCGGAGTTAAACCACTGAAAGCCAGCAGCTTATCACGCAGTCTGTTTTATTAGGAAGCTTATGCTAACATCACTTTAGTGCTTCTTTCTCTTTGGAATAGCAGTGGGAGGGTTTCTCTTTTTACAGTCAGACCTGTGTCAGACATGTTCATGCAACCTGATGTTCATGTAACTGTCCTGATCCACAGACTTAAACTGTCAGCTCTCATTATTCACACATTCAAAAACTGAAGGAGTCGACCCGGAGAGTTTCGCAATCAGAGCGTTTCAGGATTCACGGGATTACACAAGGAACAGAAACATGTCAATAAAGTCACGTAACAACAACCGTTAACTTTGTGATGAAATCAGAATCAAAGTCAGAAACTATGAATCAGGATGAAGAACGAGGGAAAAAGAAGAAGAGGAGGAGGAGGGAGAAAAATCTTTCTAATTTGATGTGAGATAGTGGGTGACAAACGGTGGCAGCCATATTGAGCTTCAGTGTGAGTTCATGTCTGTGACCGGCAGAGTCTGCGATGCCAAAGCTGTGTCTGGCTAAGACCTCATATTTTCCCACCGTGGGAGGGGATGGCGGTTAGCACTCAGCGAGCAGCGACATGGTGAGGCGCAGGCCGCTCAGCATGCAGGTGCGCAGCGTGAGCCCTTCGTCTGCCGAGACACCAGCGCCAGTTTCACATGACACTGGCTGGTGGTTTCCGTTGCCATGGAGACATTTCCTCCTTCCTGCATCAGAGCTGGTTGGTAATCTGAGTCAAGGTTATTCTCCTCCCTCCCTCCCGCTCTCTCTCTCTCTCTCTCTCTCGCTCCACCCTTCCCTCCCTCGCTCTGCTCTCCTCTCAGACTGGGCAAAGCGCCGCCATCAGATAAAGTGACAGTTAACACACTCCCGCACACATCACCAACAGACAAATGTATCCTCTCACAGCGTGTGGAGGACTTATTTCCTCCTTTTGTTGAGGCTGTTTAGGAATTCTTAGTGGAGCTTTCTCTACTTTCCACTGTTTGATTTCCTCGGAGGACTTTCCCTCTAAAGTTTTTTGCCTTTGTTTGTGCGGAGTGAGACTCGCTGAGAGTGTCGGCCTTTTGACTGATTCTTTAGTTCCCATTTTCACCGTCAAAAATACTTAAAATTTTCAGAGTTGTTTCATTTCTTATTTATTTAAAGCTCTTTTAAAGCTGCTTCAGAGTTTTTATAAGAGTGAGTTCTCACCCTAAAAGTTTGGGGTTAAATCTTCCTCATTTATACTGAGTCTTTGTTTCTCACATCGTAGCATTATGAAGGCAGGGTAAAGAATTTGAAGTATGCAAATGCGAAAAGGAAACAATGCATTATTTACAGTTGTGAATATCTGATGAAGAAGCAAACGCAAACAGTAAAGATGTCGATTTGGACTCGAGCGGCAGCCTCCAGTTTAGAGAAATGAGGCCAATGCAGAAGTGCTTAAAGCTGCTGCTGTTCCAGTGTACGCACTCACTCAAAAACAACTTTCTTTACAGTAAAATAAACACATTTATAACCTGCTTCAAAATAGAAATCTGCTCTGATAAGCTTAGTTCTCTCTCCCCACAATAACTCATTATTTAGAGATTTTAAGGGCAAGAGTTTGGCCACTTCTCCTCTTTGTTAGGAGTCAGTATTTACAGTTTGGTGACCATCTTAATGTTTCAAACTGCATCCACGTCTTATACAGTCTGCACTCGAACACAAAACATTGACAGTTAACATGATTTACTTTTCTTACTTGAGATCTTCATGAGCTCCTTTGACGTTGTTTGAAAAAAGTTCATGCACTTCTCTTCTAACTTTTAAAACAAGCTCAAAAAGGTGGATACAGCGTTGAACCAAGCGTTTGTGGTCCTAAACGCAAGAATCCTTTCTGTGTCAGCTGTTTATTGTCATTGTGGAGTTGAAAATAGTTGAATTACTGCACTTAATAAAACAAACGAAGGGTGGGACTCTTGATATCAGCTTCGATATCAGTCAAACTACCACTAGCAAATCACCCTTTTTCCTCACTTTTGCTTTTTTAAACCTGAGTTTATCTGAAGGAAGAGTTTTTCCTCTAAATCCTGATATTATATTGAAGATTTCATGTTAAACCACCTGTTTGTTTTTGATATTTTATTTGTAAAACTTTCAGTCCACTGACATAAGATTCAGGCAGCTAACAAATCACATCGAACATATGCCCACCACTCTAGAAGACTGAAGCAAACATACGGAGTTGGTGCAGAAATATAACACCTATCATTTCAGATTTTCACGTTTTAAAGGCTTGATACTCTATACTCTGTCAAATCACAGCTTAGTTCTTCCAGTCTGAGCGCTACTGCTGCCTTTTGAAGCCAAGGTATACAGCTATAGATTAAACTGATCTACTTTACTCCTCACCTACATTGATATCTTGAATATAAGATCAAGATACCTGTCGAATTCAAGCCTGGGCTCAAACTAGGGTGATACCAACTGTACCCAAGAAGCAGCACTTACTCCAGGACATTTCCTCGTCTTACTTTTTATGAACCTCTTGATTTGTTTTGCCACAAGTTTGATTTCCTCACTCTCTCCTGCAGGCCAATGGGAAAGGTTCTCTGTGGTGTGTGGACCCCGAGTACCGCCCCAACCTGATCCAAGCTCTTAAGAAGCAGCACTTCCCTGCCGCACATGCCTTCTGCACACCACCCGCCTCCCCACCCAGGTAAACGTCGATCCCCAACACTCGTTTTTTTTCTTCTGTCGCCGAAAGTGTAAAGAGTCACATCTAACTTTTGTCTTTCACTCCTCCTGCAGTGCCTCCTCACCCCCTCGTCATCTCTTTCTACAAGGCTGCTCATTCAAAGGTGAGACCGAAGCTGCGAACTTCCCTGCGTTCACAAATAAAAAAACTACGACCCGCTGATGTTACCAAACGTTCTCGATCTGTGCGGTTTTTTCCACTCTGTGTTTGTGCAGTATTTTGATTCTGTTGCCTTTGCACATTTCAGCCCCAGAACATTCAGCATCACTGTGCTTTTCAACTCCTCAACTCTTGGTTTTAATGTGTTGCTTTCAAGTCATTGATGCCTCATGAAGACCATAATAGTTGAGAGCTTCCAGTCGATGTCTCCCCTCTCCCCTCCCTCTGCCTCTTGGATTTGTAACCTTGACGACAGGCTGAGGTTCTGCCGGTGCAGAGGGTCGAGCACTCAGTCTCACAGTAATCATTAATAATTTAGAGCCCCAGAAGTGAGCTCTGAGGCTTTTAGACACTTTGTCAGCTCTGAAAAAAAAAACGGATGCACTCTCAGTATCAGTGGCTTGAATTTATTCTCTGGATTTTTTGTTTGTTGGAGCATACTCCACCCTCTGATTAGGCGCTGTGTTAAGGCTACTTAGATTTGTTGTAAAGTGGTGATATTATGAGAATTAACTTGTAATTTTAGGTAAAAATCCTCAAAATGGACATCGTGATTAAGTGTTAAGTTGCTTCAAAAAATCAAAGTACGGCTTCGCAAGATCGTCCTCATTTTCCTCTGAATATTACCACTTAACTCTCAAGTTCTGGTCCGTCTTGTTCAAGGTGTCCCCTGATACTCTGTTGTAGTTTCGGCTGCTTTGATTGTGGTCTAAAATGATCCAGACAAACCCGGTCCTCCCGGTCCCAGTTGCAGAGCAGAGATGCGGTGGCGATCACTTGCTTTCTTCACGCCGTAGGACTGACCATCATGCATGTTCTCTCCTCTTCCAGAGTCTGACATTGATGCTGCCACTGCCATGATGCTCTTAAACTCTGCCCCCGGGCACCACGTTGACCCATGTAAGAGAATCCACCAGCAGCCATATTCTCACCTGTACTTCTGTCTGTCTGTCTGTCTGTCTGTCTGTCTGAGACCCCTGACATACCACCTTTCATTGCTTTCTTATGATTTCCTGTATTTGTGCCTTTATTTGTGACACTGGATTGGTTCATGCACAGGAGAGGGTGCACAAGTCTTCCTGTGACACTTCTTTTAAAGATGTACTACAGAAGTCAATCAATCAATCAATCGAATTTTATTTATATAGCGCCAATTCACAACAGTCGTCATCCCATGACACTTCTCAAAGAACAAGAGCAGGTCTAGACCACGCTCATTGTTTGATGAATTATCAAGACCCAACCTAAGATGGGATTTGGCCCATCTCATCTAACATGAGTAACAGAGGCAAGAAAAAACTTCCTTTTAACAGGCAGAAACCTTGAGCAGGACCAGACTCATGCTAGACAGCCACCAAGCCGCTGCTGGGTTGGGGAGGAGGGAGGGAGGGAGAGAGAGAGAGAGAGAGAGAAAGAGAGGGCAGGGGGAGAGAAGGAGAACAAGATAGAGGGAAAAAGAGAGAGAATGAGTAAGGGAGAGGGAGGGAGAGAGAGTAGAGAACAAGGGTGAGAGAGAGAGACAAACAGGGGACAACAGCAACAACAACAGCAGCAGCTCATGTAATGGTGAAACAAAATGAATTCAGTTTACAGGGTAAAGATATGAGTAATTATGGACAATGTTAAATTAATGTAATGTGATTACAGTCAGCAGGCCTGATAGTAGTTACCTCTAGATTTATGTTATTAATGTCAGTGAGGCTGATGTTCACTGAAGTGAGTTTAGCTCTGCGAAAAAAACAGAAATAAAGGATGTTGAGGCCAGAAGGGCTCCAGTTACCAACTTACCTAATCCTCATGGTTGTTAAATAAACACACAGTGAAATAAAGTCAAACCTGGGACCATTTTTTAGGCCAGGGAATCATCAGAGAGTTGAGATACTGGTCCTGATCTTCACTGTCAAAACATGTGCATCACACTAAAGAGCTTTGGGGTATTTTAACATCAGCTAAATCTACGTCTGAGCGTGTTAGCACAGCAGAAACTGTTTCTCAAACGTCCTATATTTATTGAAACAGATAACTTTGTTTATTTTGAGCATGACTAGGTTTTGTTAAAGCTCCTCTTCCCCCTTCATGAATGCAGCCAGATATTTTTAAAGCCCGGGTCAGACGGTCTCAGTTCTGCTTTTCTCTCCTAAACAATCAGACTAAAGCTTCACAAACATCTTCCCATGCTCCTTCCATCTTCTTCTCTCCTTAGGCAACTCTGAAGGCCCGCTGGACCTCTCCCGGCCCGACTCGGTCCTGGTGAGCAGCGATCCAAAGCAGGACCACAACTACAGCAGCGTGGCCCTGCAGCGCTGCTCCTCCCGCTCCTCCTCCTCATCCCTCTCCTCTCTGGACGAAGGAGGCTGCGACCGGAGGCAGTCCCGCCGCGCCGGCAGCGAGGGCTTCCACAGCGACGAGGACTCCGACCTCTGGGACGAGAGGGGCGTCCAACAGACGACCCGGCGCCCCCCGGCGATCAAGTGGCCCGCCGTCAAAAGGCCGCGCCGAGAGGTGAAGCCGGAGCTGGATGAGGAGCTGAAGGAGGCGGCGGGCTCCTTGCTGCATCTCGCCGGTATACGCAGCTGCACAGAGGGCTCCAAACGCACTGTCAAGAGCACAAAACTTAACAGGAAATGAAGAATTTTTTTTGTTCATTTTAGGCCCCCATCAGACTCCGGACCCTGTGAACCCTAACCTCTGACCCCTGATCGTTTGTCCCAGTGTGCCTCCTTCTCCTTATCTGATCGTTCATTGACCATTTTGAGCCTTTTTTTGTTCGGGAATACCCCTGTCCAACGAAACAAATGGCAATAGTATCGTTCACACAGGAGAACAAAGCCATATAGAGACTTTTGTAACTCGGGGGTGACTGCCAGGGCGGGTTTTTGGGGCTATGGAGAACCATCAAGTAAGAGAAACCTATCCAAAATAAACTGCCTGCTTCTGTTGGATTAGACGATTGTGATTCAAGGATCTCCCTCTGAGAGACGAACTGGGAAAAGCTGAAGGTTTTATAACTCAAAGCGTTGCATGCTTCCTCCTCAAACCTGTATCCTCTTCCAAGTGAATCTATTTATGAAGCGAATGAGTGCATGTTTGTAACAGACAAAATCTAACCTCCTGGTGTTATCAGTTTCTCCTCTTTGTGCTAAAGAAAAAAAAAGATGCCACTGTTTTTTCCACAGGAATTCTCGCTCTACGAATCCTCCTCTGAGAGATGCAATAATTAATCCACAACCTTAACTTTTTTGACTTATTTCATGGTGTTGTTTTTTTTTTTTTTTTCCAAGGCGAGTATGTTAGTTTAACTTTACAATTAAGAAATGAACGAGCAGTACTATGATCTTGTTATGCGACAAACTCATAACGCACGGGCTCCCGGCTCAGATTCAGGATTAGCAAGACGATGAATAGTATTCCTCTGCCACTGCCAAATTTAGTTGCAAAGTTAGCTAAACTACTTGGCTCAGTTCTGAGTTCTGCCATCGCAGCGTGAAAGCTTGTTTTTATCTTTTTTTTTATTTTTTTACCATCGTGTTGGTCCCACCCATCATCCCACAGTGTGTGTTTTTTTTTTTTGGACATTGACTGTGCAGACACAGAACATTTAATCACATGTTTGGTGACCGCCTATGCAAAGTAAACATCTGCCGCGAGATGTGTGCTCATAGGTTAGCCTCCATAGGTTTTATTTAATTTAATTTTAGTGTGTGTGTGCGTGTGTGAGTGTGTGTATCATAGTGCATGTGGACTTGAGCTAACAGTGGTCAAACAAAACAGTCATTCTCCTCCTGATTGGTTTGACGATACGATGGGTCTCCTTATGACGGCTGTGTTGACACTCTGCTCGCTCCTGGAAGCAGAACTACCTATTAATCCGAAACGATCACAGCTTCCTTAAGTTTGGAGTTTGTTTGTTCTTTTTTTTGTTTGTTTTTTTTTAACCGTGTAGTTACGAAAATCACAGCACAGCTTATCATCCGCAGCCAAGTTCATTCACACACTGAGAGAAAGTGTGTCTGAAGCCTCTTTTACACTGCAGTCCTGCAAATTTTCCCATTGTGAGTTGCACGTGTGAACACAAGAGCCAAATTATTCACCCTGACTGTAAATCTCATATCTGATTTTTTTTCCTTACAGCCCAAAAACAGCTAATTGAATTGTGCAAATCTTTGACCTTCAGAAGCTAAATAAAGTCGTCACATCTGAGTGATCTGCGCTCATAGACACAAGCTAAAAAAGTTTGATGACGTCAGAAAGTTGCTCCTGTTGCGATGGAGGAGCAACATAATGTGTCCACCAGGGCTGTCACTTTTTAACCCAAAAGTTGAGTGTTAGCTGAAGGTATAAAGAGCCATTTTTAATTCAAAATATACAGTTTGTGAGTGCATATTAGAAGTAGCTTGAGGTTTAATCCAGCAGAGGGCGCCCTCCTCGTTACCTGACCATCGCATGGCTCTCTTGCCCTCAGTCAAAAAAACGGGCTTGATTTTCTAAAATTCAAGCTCTCCTAGGTGGTCACAAGACCAGATCATCTGGAAAACGCTTTGGGGAAGTATGTTGTTTTTTTGCACAGATAGCAAGAAGAAAAACAAAAGTGCTGTCATGGCAACAAATCTGCCTGCTCAGAGCAGCAGTGGTACATGCAGCATCAGAAAGTGAGCTATACTCAGTCCCGATCAAGTTGTAGACGAGAGTTTCAGGCTAATAATACTAAATAAAACTTTGTTCTATATTTATTGGAACTTTATTTTTTGGGGGAAAAAACTGACAGCCCTGATGTTCGATTTTGTGAATCCACTTCAAATGATCAGGTGGACACTGACACTGAGCAGAGAATATATTCGTACTCACAGGTATGATATAAACACAGATCACCCTCTAAATAAAGACAACCACTCTTCTGCACCACTCCCCTCACCCAAACAAAGAAACTGAGTTGATTCGACACTGAAAATCTCCCACTATGAGGTCCATTTTTAAAGCTTAAATGCTCTGTATCCTGCCGAAAATTTCAGGACTTCATGTGTGAAAAGGGCGTGTTTGTTTAGTAGTGAATGAAAAGTGCATAATGAGCACAGAACGGGGCAATGGCCTTGGTGCTTTTCGCCGCTCTCATGTTGTGCCCTCGGTTAGTTCTCGCAAGCTTCTAGTGTTTCCTCCTTGCCCTTCCTCTTAGAACAAAATAAGGAAGTGCACACTCTCTTCTCAAGCTGTGAAATGGAGTGTTGTTGCATGCAGTTCAGCGAGGGGAAGTTGTGTAAAAATGCCACAATTCCTATTCGAGCTTTTTGAAAAGGCTGCACACTCAGAGTACAATGCCAGGTAGCATGGAAGCACACGGACTGCTGATGTTTTATTCCCACAGTACTTGACCACATGGTGTCACATCCAATGATAGTATCGCATGCATGGCGGGTGCCAAATGCTTTCTCGTGCCACTGATTTAAAAACTGCAAGGGGCCACTGTTTCGTTTTTCCCCCCGCTGCCACGATAGTTGTGATTTAGAGTGACGATGCCCTACTTTTTCTGAATCATCTGAACAGGAAATGGGAGAGGACTCCGGTCGGCGCGGTGACTTAACCAATCACTTTGGTTTATTTTTGTCGCTCCGGAGTGGGAACCGCTCTCAGCAGAGAGAATAAGCTGCAGCTCTCAGAAGTAATAGTTGCAAACACTGGTCTCGTTTAGCTGTGAAAAAAAAGAACAAATGATTGTTCGTTAATCATCACCTTATTTATGACTTTAATTTATGGGATTATTGAATGCATACTCTATCAAACACTGGTCACTTGAAACTGACTAGGCACATTTATTTTCCTCCTCTGTGAACTCTTTTAAATAAGTTAATTTTCCTTGTTTTATTTTATAGCAATACGCCTTTTTTTCCTTTCACTATCTGTCATAGTGATTAAGTATTTTGCCAATGTTTATTGTCTTTAGAGCGGGTGTTTTTATTTTCACTTTAACCATGACTGCCAGGTTTTCTTGATGTTTTGTTTTGCTTTTTTGTTAGTCTGGATAGAGGACACTTAATTAACACTGATCCTGAAATCTTCTGTTGCCAAAATTAGCGTACGTACAGCCGGGGTTTAAAATTCAAAGTGAAGACATTCCCCGTGAACCTGAGAGGTTATTTAAAGATGATCGAATCGTATGTTTTACACTTGTCTCATGTTTATGTTTGGATCTCACCACAGATTAGAAACTAAAAACAAATACTGCCATCATAACTCATGCTTCCAGGTGTCGTTATGGGATGTTGAATTGTACTGAAATATACCTGAAAAGTGGAACTCGGCCCCTTTGTGTAGTTTGAGACCCACATTTGAGTTGCAGAGGAGTTATGGAGACTGTTTGGGAGAATTTCACTCATTCTTTCTGTAGCACTTGCAAAAGAATTGTAACGTTGTTCTCAAATGGGATGAGCCGCCGACTGAAACCCGGTCTCTCATCAGCTGTTCTGAAACGTTGGTTCAGAGAGTCTCAAACTTCTGTTGCAGTTTCTTTGGGTATGATGATGATGATGACGATGATGATGATGATCATTTTGTTGCATTTGACGAAGCTGCCAACCCAGTATCAGTTTGTGTCAGTTGTCTGCCATGTCTATCGGACCGACACACCTTTTGGTTTTTGTATGCTAACCTCTGTTGATAAAATGTTTATAAGATTTATTTTCGCCAAAGATATGCAATTGCATTATATATGGTATTACAAAATATTAATAAAAACCTGTTCTTGTTATTTCTGGGAGCTTCTCTTCTGTTCTTGTCTCAGCTGATTTACTCTCCAACGATATTTGCATCTGAAAAGCTCACCTACGTTATAGTTTTATAGTTTTTGCCTTATAGGTAACAATAGGCCACAGGAACCATTTAGGACTAAAGGTCCTTTCACACTGGGAATAACGCAAATATTCGACACGAAATTACAAAATACTGTGAGGCGAATTTTGACTGACTATAAACATCAAGCGCGATGCGATTTTGCAACTGTCCGGGGGAAAAAAGACGCGTCCCGGGTCGAAGTGAGTAGACTGACACAACAGCAGACTGAGTGTTCTGATTAGACACTAGTGTTGAGATGTCTGTCTGTCATGATAGCATGTACTGAGTCAAGGCCAGTACCAGATAAGCACATTAAACTATAATCCATAAATGTAAGGTAACACGATTGAGTTTGAGACAGTGAAAATACATATGGTATGTTGTATCTGAACAGGTTAGCTTATGTGCTAAAGTTACTTAGCACAGATGGAAGTTAAAACAAAGACGTTTAGCAAACTGTTAAAGCACACAAACCATTGTCATATGAGAGATCTGACGCTATGACTCTCCACAAGTTGTCCTTCAGGTCGTTATTTTTGTAATATTTGTGTCTTTTATCAAAAAGCACTCTGTTATCCAACACGTAAACAATCAGCCGGTTGGCCATGTTGGATATACCGGTGAATCAGACGTTGCAACAACACACAATCTGATTGGTCAGAAGTGGACACAGTATGCAAAACATTAGAAAAATCAACCATGATACAAAAAAAGAAATGCCGCAATATTGCAGGACAGCAAAACATCGCTGATGTGAACGCTTGTACTGACAGGATACGGGTTCGGAAAAAAAATTGATATCCGAAATAATCACACGAAAAAAATGCTTCTGGTGTGAAAGGACCTTAAAAGTTGAGGAGCTTTTGGTGGAGAAGCTCCTTAATTCTCTCTGTGGGGTGGGGTGGGGGCCCAGGCTTGGCTCTAATGTCCTTCAGTTGAGGATACGCCCCTGGACAAGGCTCTCGGCAGAAAGCTTGCTGCACTTCCAGCTGCATCTTCATCCTAAATGATTAAGAGTTGATCTTAACCGCAAAACTTCTGACTAAATGTGATCCTTTATTTATCTCCAAGACGAGGCTTTTGACATGCAGCTTTTTAGGAAAAGAAGCACTAAGGCAGAGAAGATTTGTAGATTCCTGCAGTGTGTAGTGTGATAAAGTTAACACTATGCTCCTAAACTTTCTGAGCTTGTTGCAGGAGTGCATTGCCATTTCAAGAAACAGATTAGGCTCTGATTTTCAGAGTCCGATGCTCCTCGTACCACATTTTTGTCTCGTCATTGTCTTGTTAAGGAAATAAGACTCCTACGATCGTCAGATTTTTCATCAGTGATGTTTTTTTTCATTCACATCGCCTCGTCTCGCTCATGGAAAAAAGGTCATTGACAACCTTAATGTCTCCTTGATTCAGAAAACAGCATGAATGAATTACAATAAAGTGAATGCAGTTTGCTTTCGTAGTTATCTTCTCAAAAGGGTAAAAAGACATCATGACCGTGTTTTATTCAGCATATGATCCTGGCTTTACTTTTAAGGAGCTGTCACGTCCTCCGTCTATTTATACTGACGATGATTCAGACAGCGCTGACATCATAAAACGTCACTGACTCCAGCTTTCAGACCGGTCACATTCGCTGCATCAGAGTTGGGAAAGTCTTTCATGTAATCAAGTGTTTCTGAAGCCAAAACATTAAAGTAAATTCTGAGGCTGTGTCAGTGATGGATGCATCATCAGATGTCCTAACGACACTCTGGGCTGTAAGTTAATTAGTCATGGAGGACTGTGGGATGAACACAGTGTGACCCTGAACAAGGGCTTGTCTGACTAGCCTCAGGCCCGCTGGCATGGCTCTATTGTTCAATAGAGTCCTGTGTGTGTGTCGACTGGAAGAGAAGGGGGGGGCTTCTCCCTGCTGACTGCCTCAATTCAGCTGGAAATCAGAGCAGCATCACCTCCCCCCCTCCCACACGGCCCTAGCAACCACGCCACGCCGACAGTTACCAGGCAACCAGACAATGCTGGAGCCACTGGCTGTGTGTGCGTGTTAAGAGAGTTTGAGTTCTGCCTGTATGCATTTAAGATCAGGAGAAACAGCAGCAGAGGAGACGTCTCTATTTAGCACAAAGCCTCTTTCCTGAAACATTTTGCATGTTTTCAAATTTAACGGCTGGTGGAGTAAAAATATGAACCCTTTAAAAGGACATAAATACAACCCCTGTGTGGTGAAAAGATGAAGAGATTATTATGGATTAGGTGAAATTAATCGTGCAGGATTTGAGCAGTGATGGCTGCATTAGCAACATGCCGTTTCACTTGTAGTCCCAAACCAGGTCATGTGAGTTTCAAAGGGGACTATCCATCACAGCGCCACAGCCCGCTTGTGATTTCTGGCCTTGTTTTTGTTAATGCATCTATAGCACACTAAAACCCAGCAGTTAATAATTCAAGGAGGACTTGGCAGTACTTCATTTTAATCGCCACAATGTCTATCAAGAGGAAAGGTTTGATTTTATGTTATTGAAATATTCCCTGCGTCACCAGTTTGAACACATAGTGCAGTATATATTAAACTTAGATTATATAACATGTGTATCACTGGCTAAATAAAGTATCCAGGACGGATATTTCCATTCAGATTTCATCTTCTCTATCAATTGAAAATTGGATTTAATGCTGTTATAAATATTACTCAATGATATATTCTGAGCAAACTTAAACATGTGAAAAAATTGACAAGGACTAAAGTTAAACTGCTTGTTCCAGCTTGACTCAAACATTGATGTAAACATGAGCGTGGTTCTAGTCAGACTAACGTGTTAACAAGGGTTTTAGAGTCCAGTTTCAGTGGTTCTCGTGCAATAAACAGATTAAATGTGGTTCTGAAAGGTCCAGAGCTCAATGAGAACCTGCGTCTCAGTCAAGAAGCTGGGTTAGTAGACCAAAGTGGCGAATTTCACCACCTTTAAGACCTCTGTGGCTTCTGTCTCCAGAATATGTGTGTCCAGAGTTTGATGCCACGCGAATTATGTATTTTCAGTCTGATTTAATATTGTTGGTGTGGCGCATTCAGTGACTGAGACACCTGCTGTGAACACATGAATCTTTTTAAAGTAGTTTAGAGTACAAAAGAGTAGTAGAGTGGTATATTAAGAAGAATGAAAACTTGTAAAAGAATGTTAAAGTAAAGAAATTGAAAAAAAAAGTAGAAAGGGAGAAAAAAACATGCATAAAATATTTCTACTGTTGTTGTCCTAACAAAATAGATGTTGCAATTTACATTTTAATTCCTTTCAATTGCACTTAAAACTAAATTCTTTCTGAAAAACTTTATTTTTTTGTATTTATTATGAGTAAGATTAATACTGTGATATCTATCTATCTATCTATCTATCTATCTATCTATCTATCTATCTATCTATCTATCTATCTATCTATCTATCTATCTATCTATCTAGCGTCATCACTCCATTCCAGCAGGTGGCACTAAAGCACTTCTAACTTTCCCCACCGTCAGCGAAGAAGACAAAGACCGCCAAACACAAGATGGCGCATTTTTTATCAACTAACACTTTTCAGTCAATTGACCTCTGACCGCTCTGCTTGTGTCGCTTGAAGACGCTGCGTTCAAGTCTCCTCGGAAAATTTAATATTTTAAGTTTTGTCTTTATACGCTGCATTTTCGATTAACAAACAGGTGTTAAAACTGTTTTAGAAGTGACTCCGAACAACGAAGATATGCACCCAAACCGAACAGAAACCAACAATATAAGAAACATGTAACGATTTGAGATGAATTGTAATACTGAAATAATTTAAAATAGAAATTATCAATAAAATTATAATTATAGTTTAAAAATGTGGAACTACAACCAGTATAACCCCTAAGGTAATTAAGAAAGCCTCAAAGCAAAAAAAAATTCACAAAAATTCAAGCTCTTTTAGATTCTTTGGGGTTTGTTTCGTTTTAATAACCTCCTTTGCCTCAATCAATCTGTAATACTGTCATATTTGGAGTGAGAGTCCTGGTTTGTATTTTTTATCAGAAGTTATTGTGGTTATTGAATTCGTGTTGTGTGATTATACTGAATCATTTGTACAAAAAAAAATCGAGTTTTCCTCAAATGTCACTGTTGTTGCTTATTAATGGAGCGTTCACGTGACTTCACCCATTCAGAAAGGGATTTTTCTGATTTTCCGATGGAACTTGAATGGAGCATCATTCGAGGAGGCTTTTGCGGGTCAGAAAATGAGAGGATTTCTTCACATGAATGGACTGTCAGGACTCTAACTTCGCTTAACACTGACTCTTATCGTCCTGTAAGACTGTTTACAGATGGACTCGACGGGTAACTGGGCTTCTGTCCGGTAACAGGACCCGCGTTTGTGCCTCGGAGTCGGGATTTGTTTTGCTACACTGTTAGCCTCGGTAGCTAGTCGCCGTCGCATTAACCGTCAGTGTTTAAGCCGTTAGCCGTCAGTCTCCTACGAGCTGAGGACGAAATAACGTTGAAAAACAGCAACAGTTTACGAGAAGATACCGTTTACAGCATCATGGCGAACGTTACAGACCTGCAGACTAAATACAGCAAACTGGCACAGGAGTACTCCAAGGTAAGAAACTGCTTATGTTCACATAGTTAATGCTAAAGGTGACCATTCTTGTCTATCTATCTGTCTGTCTGTCTGGTTTAGCTTTGTTGTGTAGGTGTGTACAAGCAGTATGGCTGATTTTACATTGTCCTCAGTGTACATACACACACATATACAAATAGTTTTAAATGTAGGGGACAGTGGAGTAAGTTGAGCCACCCCCTGTTGCTTGGAAATGGTCAAAGAAATTGATCATGTGACCAAATATTAAGGAGATGGGCATCAATTCATGGAGTCTGTGAAGGTTAGAGGCACATAGATGAAGGGGTTAGACATTTATCTCTTGGCATGCTGTATTATCAAGACAGTTCTGTTTACCCTCATTCTGTTGGTTTGCAGGGATGCCCAACATCTTGAAATATATGCAGATACACTAGTTAGAGACAAAACTATGATTGTCTTGATGTAGTGATCCGAAATATGAAAATGGCTCATCTTACCCCACTCTCCCTTATTTGTGTGAGAACCTCCCACAACCAGGGAAATGAACGCAGCTGATCAACGTCCTATTCAGCTGTCAAAGGAGAGGCAACACCACAAGGTCCTCATCCAACACAAATAAAGATGCAGACTAACCAGATCCAGGCTAGATTATCCTGGTGACTCTTTGAAAGGCAGTTTTAGATTTGTAAACATATGTATTATATGATGTTTCAAGAAAGAGCTAACTCCTCCTTTACTGTCAAGATCTCTTGGGTTAAAGTCCTGATCCACAATTATAATAGTTACACTTTTCCAGATTGGTCAAATCTTAAAGGGATATTCCAGCGTAAAATTCATTTAGGGTCAAACACACCGTAACACCAAGTTAGACACCCCCTCGAGAGATGAATATTGCCAACTGCTTGCTTCACTATTTATGCTAACTTTTGTAACAACCGCAAATAGCAATACAGAGAGCCATGCGCTCAACCAAAACACTACTCTATAGCCACAAATAATGCTCAAAACAGCAGCTAACTTCATCAACAGTACATATAGGGTCCCAGCTACCAAACATATTTTTAGCTTTGCCTGATTTCTTTAGCAAAGAGATTAAACACAACTCACCTACTCTCTTCCAGCAGCCTCTTGTTTGCAGACCACCAGACGAGTCCATCAACTGCAGCGGGGGGACGCAGCTCAAGGAAGAACATTTATGATCATTACTTCATGGAAATGCAATCAGACCGAGAAGCTAAGACAGAAGAACTGCCATGTTCACTGCAGTTCACAATGATTAATATGGTGATTATTACTTAAAGGAAATGAAAAAGAAATTATCATAAATGTTCTTCTTTGAGCTGCGTCACCCAGCAGCAGTCGATGGACTCGCCCAGAGGTTTAACTACAGACAAGCAGCTGCTGGAAGAGAGTGGGTGAGTTGTGTTTAGTCTCTTTAGTCTCTGATGGACTAGCAGTCTGGGAGTGAACCCCATGTGCAGAGGCTATAGTTCTTGTTGTAGCTGTTGCAAAGGCTTTATGTTCTTCATCGTGCAGAAACTTTCGGTGATGTTCAGGATGATGGAGTGCAGTTAAATTTCTTTACAGACAATGCAAATACTGAAAACCTTCCAGCAGAAACCTCCCCCAATTAACGGCAGGGTCCACTTCATCAGTAGTGACAAATGGTATAAAGGCAGGTCTGAATTTGCAGCTCCTCTACATCGATTCTTCGTCTTATTGTCTGTTAAATAAAGGCACCTGTTTATTGTTCCTTCCTCTAAAACGCAACGCGCCACATTTACTGATTTCTGCAGCGGCGCAGAGAAAACAGTGTAACCTGAATCTTGTCAGCCTGTCAAATACGCTCAACAAGAGCAGTAGGAAGAAACTTTTCTATTGATTTTTGTAAAAATAAGACAAAACAAAAACTTCAGTCTGGTAAAAAAGCCGACTGTCTGGTGGGAGGAGGAGGAGGAGGAGGAGGAAGGGGAACGATCTGCTGGAGTATATGCATGAGTGATTCCAGAGTGAGCCAGCTCATCATCAATCAAGGTTAAAGTCTCCCTCAAGTTGATCAGAGAGAAGGGGGAAGAAATTTATAACCCAATTAGGGAAAGGGAAGATTTGATGGCCTCAAAGATGTGGAAAAACAAAGAGATCAAAAACCCATTTTTGCTGGTTTTCAGAGCACCGGTGTTTTGGTTAGACCCTGTTAATTAGCAACTTTCAGCAAAATATGTCAGAATGAAACCTGCTGTTAGTTTTTTTATTGTAATGTCAAAATCAGAACATGAAAAACCAAAGGCACTTTAGAGAGGTGCATTTGGGATCAAGCCAGATCAATAGTTTTAATGCACCCTGCTGTGCTGCACATGCACCCCCACTACACTGTTAATGAGTCTAGGGCTGTCCTGATACAACATTGATATCTGATATCAGCCAAAAAATAAATATTAGATTATATCGGCCTGCATCTAAGATCTCCGATACCAGCACGCCGATACAAGTAGTCCATTCTAGACTCCGCTCCAGCACCTCTAGCTAGCAGAGCCTACTTGATCACAACAACAATGTGTACTAAGGTACAAACAAAGTAGCAAGGAGTAGGAGTGATGTCGGCCGTGTGACAGTATTTTTCATTTAAGTCCAAAAAAGACATTGCAGCTGAGTGCAAAACTTGTCATGCACAAGTTTGTGCCAATATCGGATCACTATCGGTATTGGCCGATACTGAAGGCTACAATATCGGTATCATATCGGAAGTAAAAAAGTTGTATTTGGGACACCCCTAAATGAGTCAATTGAGTTGATATTTAAACTGACAGTAATCAGACCCTAAATGATAGATGATCACGTTATGTACAGGTCATGCCGCAAGCTGTATGCACAAGCAAACGTCCTGTCTCACAGGTTGAGCATGTGTACAAATGAGTCTGCTTATTACCTCTATGTACTGCACACTTTGGTCAAACTCATCGCAGACTTCAAGCAGCTAAAAAAAAGGAGTGAAAAAAACACCACTTAAGGGATGAAGCTTGTGAGGTGGGAGTGAAATGCTTATTAATGAGAGAGTGAGTACTTTCTAATTACCCGAACCAAAACATCCTGCAATTAATCCTAACTGTATTATTAAGGTCTCATATTTGGCTAATTAACCTTGGTGTGCAGTCAAAGGATGTAGCTATTATTGGATTCAGTTCATTTTGTATTTTCAGTTTACCTGAGAAATTTTCTCTCTAAATTTAAAATGGTTCACTCACAGTTGTGGGATTTAGAAACATCTGTGAGTCTAACCCAGGATAAATCCTCCAAATCAACTCGAACGAAGAGAGAGTAAACTAAACTGGCTACAAACAGCTGTGAATCAGGCCGAGTTCAAAGTTTGATTTGTTAACAACAGACAGTCAAGTCAGTTCCCCTCTGCTTTCTCTCATGAGCCGTGTGCACCCTTTGTTTTTCGGTCAGCTGACTTCACGGGGAGGGCATGCAGTTTCCTGTTCAACTCTGATCTCCCAGTTAGCCAAACAGCATATCCTGCTCAGGAAGTGCTGACTCGGTAACTGTCACACAGGCTGTTATGTGGTTAAAGGCCAACAGCCATCCAGTTAGAAACATTTTGATGAGTCTACATTTTAAGCTGGAAAGAGTTAAAACAGTAACAACACAAAAATTGTTAATTGAATGTTAATTGATTAAGTGCATTACTTAATTTAAACTGTCTTCGTTCCTGGTAACTAATAACTTTTATGACCGCATTAATGTTTTATGTCTGATTGTTTTCTTTTGTGTGTTTTTACAGCTCCGTGCACAGAACCAGGTGCTGAAAAAGGGAGTAGTGGATGAACAAGCAAACTCTGCCTCACTGAAGGTAAAGCAAAATAAACACTCGGTTTTAAACTCTTAAACATTTACACTGTTCTCCTGCGATTAAGTCATTCAGCGACAGTACAGAGAGTGAGGCCATGATGAGTCAGAGGCAGTGATTTGAGTTATGTGCGGTAGTTTGTCTGAATTTTCCGTTCGGTATTGTCAGGCCTAACAGATTTATCATCCTCCTCATCCTCAGGAGCAGCTGAAGCAGCGGGACCAGAGCCTGAGGAAACAGGAGCAGGAGATGGACAGTCTCAGCTTCAGGAACCAACAGCTGGCCAAGAGGGTTGAGCTGCTGCAGGAGGAGCTCGCCGCGAGCGAAGCCAAGGGCAAAAAGGGGAAGGTAATCACAAGGGAGGGGGAAAAGTGCAACATTAGTGATGTTATCAATGATGATAAAAACACTTATATATGTAGAATAAAAAGGTCATACTGTGTCCTTGTCTCCTCTAGAATAAAGGAGACTCCCCCTCACAGCACGGCCTGCAGACTCAGAGCGTTTTTAACGAAGATCTGCAGAAAAAGATCGAAGAAAATGAGCGACTTCATATCCAAGTAAGAGGCCGTGTTGCGTCTCTATTGCTCAGTCATGGTTCTACATTTATTTTACTGGTGGGAATGTGCATGTCATGGCTCTGTTTTTATCTCAGTTTTATGAAGCAGACGAGCTGCACAAGAGGCAGGAGGGTGAGCTGAAGGCACGACTGGAGGTGCTGGAAAAAGACTCAGAGCAGCATCAAGCTGTCGTAGACGGACTCACGACTAAGTACATGGAAACGATCGAGCGGCTGCAGAGTGACAAAGCACGTTTAGAGGTGAGGATATGAAACAGGAGGAGAAGGGAGAAGCCTTTAATTAACTCCCATTTTATGAAGTTCATGAAGATGCTTCCTCTCTGTCTGTTAGGTAAAAGCACAGACCCTGGAGAGGGAGTCGAAGGAGTGCAGATTACGAGCAGAGGAATGGTAAGTGATTCTTTTCATGTTGAAATCCGCTGTCGTGAGCCCATTAAGGTTTGTTAAGACCTGAAGCTAAGCTTTTCAAGCCCATGTCAAGTCAGAAGATCAAACTGAATTCTGGAGGCGCTACATATTTTGGGAGCTACTTGACCCTTAAAGGTCCCTGATGTATTCATGTTGATGGACCAGAAGTTGTTCACTTGTCATTGCGGATACAAATGAACACATGGATTCACAAATCTGCTCTATAATACAATTTGACCCATTAATTGTGATTTATTGCCACGTACCTGTAACAGTGAAACCGTCACCCACCTGAAAAAAGTTGAAACTGTGCTGGTAGTAGCTGCTCCACAATAACAAGTCATCAAACTGGGTTCATCTTAAGTAGCAGGAAGCAGCTGTTAAAGTTAATCCAGACACTCCAGACTTTGAAGTACTGACTAACTGGTCCCATGTAATGGGAATAATGGTTTTTACTCTGGACTTTAACACCAGTAAAAGGGGTTCAAATCTGCGTGGGAACTTTTGAGGAGCTGAGGAGTCCAATTCCTGCCCCCATGCTGAAGTTGCCTGGGCAAGACAATAAACCCCCAGTATTTTCCATCAGTGTATAAATGTGGTGTAATGTAACGTGATGTTAAAGTGCGTTGAGTGGGGTCAGATTCTGATTAAAAGCAATTAATAGACTTATAATTAAGCTTTTGAACCAACAGGCATTGACAATAATTTTTTCGAATTTGGAGAGTTATGCAATCCTACACTGAACTTGATTTAAACGACTTTAGCAAATATTTAATCAAATCTGAAACGCCCATATACAAGCGTTAACGGTTAACCAGCAACACTAAGCCAATAACACAGTGTTGAGTTGAGTTAAAACAGAGCGGTGCAATAAAACAGACCCAGAGGGGAAGACACACTGACAGCTGGGTCGAAGTAGTAGATGTTATAGTTAAGTTTATTGGCCATCTGTAAAGTAAAACAAAAAATAGTATAGTCAAAGGCTAGAGGCCAAATAACGATCAAGACCAATAATCAGTTTACTTCTATTATAATAAGTACAGAATCTCCCTACTGTTGTTTATGCATCTTCAGAGGACACATTAGCATTTATTTCCATTCACAGACACTTTAAATATCAGATATTTTCTACTCTAGATGTGATTTTCAAATTAACGCAACATAAAAATATGAACTCAGTCCATCATACTCTGTATTTCTGTTCTCTCCGCAGTCAGCAGCAGCTGAGGCGGTGCCAGTCGGAGCTGAACAGACAGGTGAAACAGAGCAGCAGTGTTATCCAGGAGAAAGTGCCCTTCAATGACACCAGTGAGTATCTGGCGCCGAGCCACGTGGACAAAAACGATCGGCCACACAGAGGAGACATCTATTTGAGAACAGCCGTGTCTTTGTCATTGAAACCATAACAGCATTCTGCCCCGGAGTAAATAGTGTAACCCTACACTCGCACTGTAATAAAACACTCAAGGAGGCGGGAGGTGAAACCGTTTAAAGCTGTGTTTGTAGAGTCAGAGGGCTGAGGTTATGCTCTGCTCTTTTCTCTTCCTCTCTGCAGAATTTAGTGACTACAACAGCCTCAATGTGCCGCCACACAACCGAAGGCACCAGGTGAGTGACCAAACAACACTCCTTTTTTTATGTCTTTACAGCACATGTAATCTATTTTCTACGTCGACTATTAGGATTTATAAGCAGTTCAGAATATGGCAGACATTAGTAAACCATTCAGCACTTTCAATATGCAGCAGGGGATAGAGCAAGAGACCGGGAGAGAGAGTAGAAAGATGAAGGAGTTTTCCTGTCCTCCCCCATTTGTGCTTGATAAACAGATAAATGGTTTGGCCCCGACTCAAGTCACTCTACTTGATGCATCACTGTTTCGACTTGAACAGGCTCTAAAAACAATAAATATTTCCTTACCGAACCCTCCCAGCACTCTGACATCTCCCTCCAGCCAGATGGCACTTTGTTCAGGTTTATATGCGGAGGTGAAGAGGTATCAGACAGCTACTCCTCAGTGAACTTTATCAATGAACCGCTCCTCCTCCGTGTCCACACAAGCAACAGGATTGAGAATCGAACAGTTCTCCACATCATGCTGCTTTTAGGGTTGTTGCAGGCTTTATGGACACTGTGGACAACAAATTAAAACCATAATCTGGTGTATTCTCTTACAGCTCTTTTAACATGAGATGAAGAAAACTGGTTTGTAGTTTTTCTGTTGTTGAGTTTGTTTTTTTGTCTGTGTTTGCAGCTTAAAGCTCGGGACGTGGCCGGTCAAGCTCTGACCTTCATTCAGGACCTGGTGGCTGCTCTGTTGAACTTCCACTCTTACACAGAGCAGAGAGTTCACATTTATCCTCTGGACTCATCTATCGAGCCCATCACCCCTCTGAACCAGAAGGTAAATCATCCCCAAAACAGAAATACAGACGACATATCACAGCACACATGCAAAGAAACTAGACAGAGCAGCAGTTTTACAAAACACGTGTTATTCGCTTTAACTTTCTCTGTCTGTGTAGTTTTCTCAGTACCTACATGAAAATGCAGCCTATGTGCGCCCCCTTGAGGACACCTTCCTGCAGTTACACCAAAGCATCACAGAGGACACAGTCACAGTCCTGGTGAGTGTTTTCTGTTTTTTTTCTCCACAGGAAAATTGTGTCAGTTTTGCTTATTTTAAACCTCATTTTTTTTCTGTGACCCGAAGGAGACCGTGGTCAAGCTGAAGAGCTTTGCTGATAACTTCTCTACATACACCCACTTCCTGCAGAAGATTCTTCCCTACCAGCTGAAAAGGTCAGCCCCGTGTGTGTGTATGTGTGTGTGTGTGTTTGTGAAGAGAGATAAGAGAAATAGAGTGGATGTATTGATGGCTATCATCTCCTCTCCTTTCAGCTTGGAGGAGGAGTGTGAAGCACCTCTTTGTACCGCCGCCCTCACCGCGAAAAACCAGGAGCTGCAGAGCGACATGAAGAGAGTGACGTCTGTGTTCGAGAAACTGCAGAGCTACATCAACCTTCTGGCCCTACCTAGTAAGTAAACATGGGCAGAGAGACACACACCACATGGCACTGATTAGCTCACACAGCCAGTTTACTTCACTAACTTTACCGAAAACAAAAAAAAAAAACTGACTCCACAAACCTTTTTAAATCTATTTTAAAGGATTTATCTCCAGAATATTCAGTTTGTTTTTTCATGAACTTTTCAACAACATAATGGTTTGTCTGTAATTTGCCACTACCTACCTGTCTGCTGTCTACACTGCTTCCCGCTCCAAGTTTAGCCTGTAAAAGGATTAACTGTGCAGCTAAAAGGTCCACCTTCTGCACATCTCGCTGACTCTTAGATAAATCTGTTGGTTATCTGAAAAGTTGAAGATGATTGCTTTCCTTAAATTTCCCTTCCATCAGTTTTCCCTTCACTTCCTCATGTCAGTTACTGATCTGAGTGTGTTAAAAGAAGAGGAAGTTTGTTTTTTATTAATTTATTCACTTTTTTGAAGACTGCTGTTTATCAGTGTACAAGAACAACCTGCATGTTTCTGAAGAAATATCCTGTCTTGCTTAATACGGTAATATATTTTGCAATAATAAAATAAAATATAAACAGTATAACTTCTTTCTAAGAGCTTCTATCAGCCTCAGAAAAGAGGGCTGCTGGGTTCAGGGATACACACAAACAACTGCTTTGAGTTGCTGAATTAAAGAATAGGACACAAACAAAAATTCAAATAATGAGTTGGGAAAAAAAATCACATTGTTTCATGAAAAATTAATGCTCCTTTTAATCTGACGTATGAAGTTTTTTCAGAAAAGTTGAAAAAGTTGTCAAATACTAAAAAAAACATGTGGAAAAACTAATCCTAAAGGGCACCCCAGAGCGGCAGTGCTGTGAGAGACTGCGTGAGCAAATCGTTCAGAATAATGTTCCCGAGCGTGAAATTATAAAAACATTCAGGAAAATTCATCATCCATGAAAAATAGTATCATTAACCTGGAGAAACTACTATCCAGAAAACCAGGACCAAATGGTAGCTCTCTGTGACCCTTCTGCACACGCTCAAAACCACCCTCGTCTGTGAACACTGTTGCTGTCCTCTGTTTAATCAAAATTTGACCGTCTTTTTGGGAATCTTGGACACTGTGTTCTATGCTCCAAGCGCACAAATTATTCAAAATTAAAGAACTTATGCAAACAAACCAAATTCACACAATGACAAACATTCACGTCCCACAGAGCATAAATTAAACATTAAAACTTTAAAGCTTTAACATTAATTAGCAATTATAGAAACTGAGATGCAGCCAGCAATATATAAATAATTATATAAAAGATAAATAAATGATTGTTTTTCTTTTAAAAAGTTATTTTCCTTGAAGTTGTTTCTTTGTCTGTAGAAATAAAAAAAAGTGTTTTGAAGTGATGCGACACGCTTGTTTTACAAATGTGTGTCCCAGGTGTTCGACAGGATGCCCTGCCACAGAGCAGCACCTCAGCTGTCTTCACCCAGCTGGCTGCCTGTCTGCACAGTCTTCATGATGCCATTAAAGGTGAGCAGCGCCACCGAGCCATTTCTGACCTGCAGCCACTCACAACCGGCTCCACACATCACACCGATTCCTCTCACGTAGTCACGGAGCTGCTGTTGCCGTTCACAGACCCACTGTTTTTACAAACAATACCCACTGGCCCAGTTTATGATGGGTAAATATCCAGAGGCTTCAGCGCAGCATCCGTCTCGCTGCAGCGCCAAATGGGAGTGTAATTTAGCGCTCTCTGGCAGAGAGGAGTCACTTTGATACAGCTGGCACATTTAGGAGAGTGGAAATGAGTTTATGATTACCTTTGATTACCTTTGTCCGTTTGTCTTGGTTCTTATGTTGACAGTCATCGTGTTCAAATGTGCACTTAAAGACCTGCAGTTTATGAAATGAAAGTACAGTATGTGTTACACAGAGACAATAAAAATGTCGTATCTAACTTGTGAAGCAGTCTGTGGATTTAAATGTGATTTCTATTCCTCTGTTTGTGTTCAGAGATGTCAAAGCACTACAACCAGAAGGCCAGCTTAGAGCAGGAGCTCCCCACCGTCACCCAGAAGCTCTGCACCACCACAGAGTGCCTGCTGGGATCGTTGGGCTCTCTGACCAGCAGCACAGGCAAGGTACGACCATCAGGGGGCAGGCCTTAGCCAGGCTCAAGCAGCGAGCGAGTGTGCTCTGTAAGCTGTGATTCCTATAAGCTTAATTGTAAACAGCGATGAGTTTTCCTCACAACTGGATCCGTCGGCAATTTTCCCCCTAATGCAACATCACAGAGCGGCAGGACTCAGGTGGGCAGCGCTTAAATGTTCAAAGATACTGTCCAAATCACAGCTTTCACAGCTGCTCCCCACTCAGAGGAAAGGGAGAAATGATTTCCTCCTCTTGAATCAAGTGAAGCATTGGCTGAGATGTGTCTGCCGATGGGAGGCCCAGTTCGGTGGGCTGCAGTTTGAGAAGCACGCTGGCACAAGGCGTCTGGAACAAGCAGCTTTTTGAGAGTGATCATCTCTGCAGGCTAAAGCTCCGTGTCTGAGACATTTATCATCCTCAACACTCGGTGGTGTAATCATCTCTCTACTGTAAAAACACCGCCTAATTTGAAGGCAGACAGAACGCTGAGTGTCTGAGTTTGCTTGTGCATGAAAAGGTGGTAATTCCGGTGTTTCTGTATGAAAACAGGCTGCAGCGATTTTATTTATTTTTGCGGATGAGATGAGAAATAACGTCGCTGTTCTGTTGCAGATCGCCACTTTCTTCAGCAACAATTTGGACTTCTTCACGTCGCCAGGCTACAGTCCAAGAGGCAGCACAGTAGCACTTAACCCTCTACAAGCAGAGAGCATGCTGGCCAACAAGAAGAAAGCAGCTGCGTACGTACAGGCTATCAAGAAGGTCAGTGTACTTGTCTTTTTATGATATTTAAAAATCGACCACACTGACGGGGAAACTTTTGGTCTCTGGCAGAGTCCCTCACTTTCATCTGTCATCTCTGCCCACATGACGCAAAAGTAGCCAATCACTGTGCCAATACTAGCTGGCTCTCTGTCACTGTCATCTTCTGCTGATGCCGCCGCCGCTGCCTCTTTCCGCTTTGTGGCGAGTGGCAGCTGGCGTTAGGACGCAATATTGCCCCCTACTAAGAAAAACGAGTTACCCTGTATAATTCAATGTTTATTTTTAGCACAATATCAATAGTTCTATTTTTAAACCAGGGTGGTTGTTGTCACTTGAGGCTTATTGCAACAGTCCTACTTTAAATCAATTTGCCCGTGTGGGTTACAAAACCCTTGATTAAAGGAATTTGAATCATAGTTTAAAAGAAGTTTCTACATTTTTTAGGCTAAATTAACTTTTTTAAAAATGTAGAAACATGTAGGTTTATTATAAGTATTACATCCAAGCACAAAGTGGATTTTACAACACCTAATCTACAACCCCAATTTCAGAAAACTGGTTAAGTGTTGAAATCAACAGATTTTGGTGTATTTGCATAATTTTAGCTCAATATAATGACTAAAAACAGTGCAAAGAAATCATGAAACCAAAAACTGAATGTCAGATTTTAATGAATCGTCGTATGTTTTCTCACCAAACGCCTCATTTGATCTCTCCTTCCAGCCTCGCCCACAGTCTGTCCCGTACAAAGAAGCTCTCTCCAACCGGCGGATACTCACCAGCTCCACCGAGAGCAGAGAAGGTCTCACCCAGCAGGTACAGTCCGGGCTCAGAAAGCACTTTCTGTTTGTTACAAATTGACTGAAATAAAACACGAAACCGATCATTGCCTAAAGAGGTCACTTCTGGCCAAAGGCTACAACCAGACAGTCTGTCATGTGGAAAATGAAACCATGTATGAGTCAGTGTTGAGTGAGGTTTATTTGCAGTCCTAAAATAACACAGATAGGAGGTAGAAATTGCTTCACATGTGTTTCGTGGTTTTGTGGTCTCCTCTTACGGTTTAAATCAAGTGTATGTAGGTAGATAAGGACAGCTTCTCATAAAAGTAACCGCATTCTTTACAAATTACAGACTCCTCGGTCGTAACACGGTACTACTACACAGTCTTGATATCTCATTCCAGTTGCTCTTCAGGGATAGGGTGTGAACGAGAAACTCTGCCAGTGAGTCTGACTGTTTTTCAAGCGTCTGTTTTCTTTTCATCGCTTTGCAAATCTCTCCTTAAGTCTTTGCAAACGTGCTTAAATTTGTCACATCTGCGATAGGTTTAGCATTAAAACCACAAAGTCATAAAATGGATGTACACGCATAAAACTTATCTGGCTTTAGAGCCTGAAGGTTTTTGGAGGGAACAGCCCGAAGACATCATGACAGCAGAATCACTTCCATCTTTAAAACCGGCCAAAGAACTTTTTTCTTCTTTATTTTCCCCCCATGTTGTTTAAATTCCTTTCACTTTTTCCAACTTTTAACACAACCCCTCTCTTCTCCTCTCCCCTCTCCGTCGGCCCGATGCAGGTGCAGCAGAGCCAGGAGAAGATCGCTCGTCTGGAGCAGGAGAAGGAGCACTGGCTCCTGGAGGCCCAGCTGGGGAAGGTGCGGTTGGAAAAGGAGAACCAGCGCATTGCAGACCTGGAAGCGCAACTCGCAGCGGCTCTGGGGGGAAGTCCAGACTCACGAACAGCTGCAGCAGCCAGCACACTCGCACAGAGCCATGAGGAAGCAGAGACAGATCAGAAAACTGCAGGGAAAGAGACTACACTCTGCACCAGCCTGGTACGCTCTTTACTTTGGCTGCTCCATGTGTTGGATTACGCTTGCAGAGGAAACTCTCTGCCCGTGGCGCTCATGTCTGATTTACTACAGCAGAGATTTTTTTTTCCTCTTGTCTCTCTCACACCATGCAAGTTTCTGCTAAATAAAACTCCAATTTCAAATGTGCTGACATAGCAAAGTGGCAGAATTCTGTTGTTTATGCAATTTTTAAATTTAGTCACAACCAAAAGCATTTGGTCTCACACAGCTGTTTGTTCCCCTTGTGCATTTGTTGTTGTTTCTTAAATGGCTTGTTTGTCCTGTTTGTGCACATGGTGAAAATTGTAACAGCTGATCAGAAACCACAGTTACAAAAATGTCATAGAAAATTTTAACAAGAACAGATTTTGATGGTTTGGCAGTCATTTAAACCCTGTATTTAGATGAAAATAGTGCAAAGACAACATATCCAATTTTCGATCCCAACATTTTATTGTGTTTTGAAAAAGTGTATTTTCCTGTTTGAATTGGCAGAGGACATGGTGTCCCAGAGCTCAGGACAGTTTACTGGATCATGTCCACGTCCATGGTTTCCTCTTTGGATGATATCCTGTATTTTTTGTATGAACTGTGTTTATATGTATGTGTAGTTTTTATAGAGTGACCATATTCTGAATTGCCAAAAAAAGGACACCACTACACGGGGTGGAGTCACGGAGTCGCGCTTAGTTAGTGTTGAGCTTTTCAGGTCAGGTCAAGTGCTTCTAACTCAGTTAGTCCACACGCCACAAACTCAAAACTTCCATAAAAAAACAGAACTTTGAAGGATTTATAAACTCCCCCGGACAACCCCCAAAAAAGAGGACATGTCCGGGTAAAAGATTGATTATTTGCTTATTTGGTTTAAATGACTGCCAAACCATCAAAATCTGTTCTTGTTAACATTTTCTACGACTTTTTTGTCGTAGAAAATGCATCTCATGAATTGGTGACAATCGGCCTCTCTGCAGTGCCTTTTTACACCCTGTCATGTTACCAACATGTTGCGAATTCATGTAAAAAGGTGAAAGACCGTCTTCCAGGTGTTTTTTTTTTTTTAAGCGAACCACAACTTTTTCAGAGTACTAGTCTTTACTCCTTTGGTTTTGGGGTCATATGATTTCTGACATCTTTCTCTGTCTTGTCTCGGTGTCACCAGGTCGGCATGTTGTGCACAACACCTTCAATTGAGCATGTGAGTTTTCACACAGACACACACACACGCACACACACACACAGAAGGAGTTAAAATGCTTATTTACTGTGTTGAAATTAGGGACAAACAGACAGAGAACATAATGTGCATATGTTAGGAAGTAAAAGTTTAGACATTTTTCAGATACCAATCTCATTTTGTCGATGTCGTGTCTGTGCCGCAGGTGGGAGACGAGGAGTCCAGGGAGCAGCTGATAAAGACTCACTACATGGCGAGAGTGGGAGAGCTCACCACCCAGCTCCAGATTTCAGACAGCAAAGCAGTGCACTTTCACTCCGAGGTGAAGCCCTCACTCGAGTGTTTATCTCGGTAACCGTCTGCGTCTGATAGCAAAGAGCTGACCTTTTCAGAGCAGGCGTCCTTTCTCACTAAACATGTCATTTTGTGGAAAGACATTCAAACTGTTACATCTCCCACTTAGCGTCTTTTTAGTGCGGAGAAGTCACTCGCCCTGTTCCCTCCTGAGTTTCTGTTTTTAATCATTCCTCGACTATTTTTATCACCTTCTTTAATTTTTTCAGGAACAAAGAGCGTAGAAACTGAACCAGGAGTTAACCTGCTCTCTTTGTTTCGACTGTTTCTCCTTTAAAAGTGGTTTCAGAGTCTCATTATTCTTGAATGTTGGCGGGTTTTTTTCTGGAGACACTGACACCTTATATTTTTAGTATTACGCTGAAGCTTGATCTGAAAGTAGAGGCTTACTAAAGTGACACCCAGTCACAGCGTGACTTACTGGCGTGTCAGTCATCTTTGTTTTCTCATCGTAGCAACAGGGATCCACCTGATCTGGAGTCGGTGTCTCGGGTATTAAAGTGTCACTTCTTTAAACTGTGCTTTTACCTTTGGTAATGCTTTCAAATACACCCTTTTCCTCTAAGAAAAATCCACCTTTGTTGCAGCTTTTAGCAAAGATCCTTGCATGTGTTATGTCTATCGAAAGCAGCTCTGTTTACTTCCTTTCTTCCCTCTTAGTGTCGAGCTTTGGCGAAGAGGTTAGCAATCGCGGAGAAATCACGGGAGACTCTCAGCGAGGAGGTCAAACTGGCAAACCAGAACATTACACGCTTGCAGGTAAATTATCAAAAAAAAAAAAAAACTTCCAAACTTTGTTGTTTTTTTTCCAATTCTGACAACATTAACCGTGCTGAGTGTTTACAGGATGAGCTGGCCACCACGAAGAGGAGCTATGAAGACCAGCTCAGTATGATGAGCGACCACCTGTGCAGTATGAACGAGACTTTGAGCAAACAGAGAGAGGAGATCGACACACTCAAGCTGGGCAGCAAGGTAAACACGAGAATGTCTTGCTGATTTTCCAAAAAGGGGGAATTTAGAACGAAACACATGACAGCAGAAACAGGTATGAGTGGATCAAATGAATGAAGAATATGTAGATTAACATATTTCTGTAGAAGGCATGAAACACAGCTGTCAAAGCCTGGTGGATAAGTCAAGAACAGGTCAGGGCGTAGACAGCCTCTGCAGAGCTGCAGGCATCCACAGAGACAGAGGACTGAGATCGAACCCTGGTCCTTGCATACCGGAGGAGTTGTTTTGTAAGGATGCCCACAGCTCGTCAAAATCACTTTGAACTGAGCTCCACCAGCAGGGCTTTGAGATTTCTCTGCACTCCTTGTTAACAGCTGGAAGCCTGATCCATAGGGCTAAGATAGATCTCTCAGAAATAAGAGAAGCTCGGACTAAAGTGTTTACCCAACACTTGTCAAAGATGAACATTCACTGAAGAGAGTTAGCCGGGAAAAAAAACATATACTCCTGTATTTCCCTGAAAGTTTTGTCTAAATCTTTATAAAGACAAAAGTTATTCACAAAGCGTTTTAACCCCCAAGAGAGCTTTTAGGCTGAGAAACTGTTGGAAGAAGTGAGGAGGACTTTTAAAAGACTCAAAAACTCAGGAAGAAATCGCGGGAAGATGGTTGAAGAAGGAGAAAACACCCACATCTACAAGCCAGGGCAAAAAGGCCAGAAAGGGAAGTGATCGTTAGGTTTTCAGCAACTGGAAACATGCAACGGTCTTACCTGCAAGCTTGTTCTCAGAGGCTTGTAATGAAACGAAGAGAGCGCAGAATAACATTGACAGAAACAAGCTGCACAAAACGACTCAGACGACAGCATCAGAGGGTTTTTAACTATAAGATGTTCCACTGCAGTCAATGCATTTAAAGTGAGACAGAGAAACTGGCATCTCTGTATCACATCATCTTCTTCAGAGGTATGCAGAGCGAAGGCAGATAACACACGAGTTTACTGATCTTAGATGACTATCGTTTCAGGTGAAAACAACGAGTAAACTGTCTGCTTAAGTCGATCTGTGTGAGAGAAACGGCTGGAACTGTCAGCGTCTGAGTAGGCTACGGCGCCGTGGGCCGGTGTTTTCAAAAATTTATACTCTTAAAATATAGTTTTATTTATTTATTTATTTTTTGCATTTCATTTAATGTTTTTGTCTGTCAGTGAAAAGTTCTTCATGTTTGTGATTGTGCAGCTGACCCCAGGCCCAGATATTCAGATACTCGCTGCTCTGGAATGTGAGATGATCTTACCGATTACCAGCGGAAAGTTTTTTTTTATATATGTATATATCTGCAGGGCTGATGTCGGGCCTTGTCTTCTTGTGATTTTAGAGATCTCTGCTAGTTATCCATCAAGATCTTATGGTGAAATGTGTCTTTCGTCTCACTCTTAGGCTTGTTTTCAGCCGTCACATCCCGTAGAGTCTTTGTAAAACAATCTAAAACTTGACCGCTAAAGGGGATTGTTAAAAATCCAGCCGCTTCAAAGAGTGTGAGGGATCATTTCAGGTTCGGGTTGTGAAATGTGACGTTGTAAAGTTTCTGTCAGTTATGAGGTGGTCTTGGGAGGTCAGCGGTGGGGTTGTGGTCTGATGGGAAAAGCACCTGCTGGTGCCATCTGAAGAAGTCGTTAGTTTGAGGCCACAGAAACTGAGAGGCCTGATACGAGCGCGCATGTTCCTGCATGTATGTGCGCAGACTGCTGAGTGCTGGGAAGTAGCAGGACAGAACATGTCTGTGAGCTTACAGGGGGTGATTTTCTCAGGTAGGCCAGGTACTGGCCTCAGCATGTTTTGGATCTTTAACAGAGTGCAGTACAAATGTCAGTGATTTACTGCCCCTGAATGCAACACAGTACTCTCAGTTTGGCCTTTACTTTTCTGCAGAATTAAAATTTGAGTTTTATTTTCTCCTTCAGGGAAATGCGAAGAAGAACAAAGGGCGCTAGAGCTGCTCTCCACACTCTGGCTCCATTTGGCTTCACAAAGGGCACCTTCAAAGAAGATCCCGCCTGTGGAGCCCACAGCAGCGTCCTGGTACCAACAATCCCTCTGTCATCCAATCACAGGACAGTTACACGAGCCTCAGATTCCTCCTCTGTCAGGCTGTGGAGCTACAAATGAACTGTACGGAGGCTTGAACATGTTTGACTGCTTCTTTTTCCCGTCTCCCTCATTACAGCAGCAGTTTTAACATGGCGTGATTCGCTATAAAATGCCCGAAGCTGCTGCTTGACCTTTTTGGCCAACGCAGAGTGGGAGGGATAAAGCTTTCACCCAAAAAGGGACAGAGGGAAGGAAGCTGAAACAGTTGATGAATGCTCACTGAAGTCAAGACTTGAAGACCAAACCCTGTTTATCAGTGTGCTTATTTTTCCTGCTCTACGTTCATTCTAGACTAAATGAAACTGTGCATTGTTGCTGCTTATCTGTGCAGGTGCAGGCGAGCGTGTGCGGAGTGTGCATTTCATTGTGTGACTGTAGCACTATACACAACATGTGAATATTGTTTTACACTTAGATTTTTTGAAATTAAATGAGAGATAATTTGTGAAAGCAGTTCTGAGGGCCTCTCAGAGCCCCCCCTGAAAACACGTGCATTTATCATCAGCTTCTGTCAAGAAGGGCTTTAAAACCTGAAAGAACAACCAACAAAGACACTTGAATTCATTCCTCATTTTGGAAAATCCTTTGGGAGAGGAGAAATGAAAATATCTGCCTCCAAGCACTGATTAACTGTGTCTACCTAGACTAAAAAGGGCAGGATGGACAAGTTGCAGCTCGTAATGGTGTCTGTCTGTGAAGTTACTCTAACAATCGTTGTTTTTATCACCAAAGTAAGTGTGGATGTTTCACAAAGTCCTCTAAATTCATGTAATATGTATGGACAAAAAGGGTTAATGTGAATATACACTCATTTTAAATCATGATGTAATTGTTCTGTATAATTTCTAGAAGAAGTTGTATATAAAAACACAAAAAAGGCATTTATTCAGAGGTTATAACTTTATTTTCCACCAATTTGAGAATCAGGATCTTCTGTTTTTATTTGTCTTTGTCTGTTAATGCAACATTTTTGTGTCGCAGGGGTTTGCTCATTTTGTAACTGGTGCTTAGACAACCTAATTTACGAATCATGGCTGAGTGAAGTAAAAGTTTACAGAAAAAAAACAAAAACTCTTTGGCTTGTAGTGACACGAGGAAATGATAGAAAAGCCCAGCAGTGTTTAGTTTAGCAGCAGCCCAATCAAACCTCTTTGTTTGTCAGTCTACACCTGCCAGCAAACCTTTGGCCACAAAGATTTGCCAACGCCCCCGAAACTGATGAAAAAATTAACACTTGTATTCTCACAATGTAACCTGTTCAGAAGCACATATAAATATGTGAATAAAACAAATACAAAAAGCGTATTGGACGGTCAAATACTCTGTGTTCATGTTCACCTGGTTGATAATCATCCCCAAACTTGCATGACCTCACTTTTCGTGCTGCGTTTCTGGGAGCTGGAAAGGACTGGGATTTTAAATTGCCTGTAATTTAAAAAAAATGAGAAACAGTCTGTAACACACCCCGACCACTGGGGAATGAGGCCACACCGCTGAATTGGACATGCGAGAGCTGGAAGATTACTGTTTGATGTCGTCACTTTGTTTTGGACAGGAAAACATGTTGTGTCATTAGGGTTGAATTCATGATGCTTTCATGTACTCCTGGTATGCTACTTGAGAGGTCACAGTAATAAAAACAGCAATATTCTCCTTTTTTTGTTCTGCTTGACCTGTAACTCTAGAAAAATGGAACAAATTTTGGTGGTGGTTATTTTCAGGTTCAAAAACAGTTGAGAACAAAATAAACACAAGAACATATTCGAGAAAAGTGGAGGAAAAATGAGCAGCTGACATGCCGCTTAAAATTATTTATCTTGAAATATTTGGTTAAGGGAGGCCAGGAGTATGTTTGAAGTGCTTTCTGTAATGTAACATGAATCAACAGAATAAAAGGACATAAGACATTCATATGTCCTGAGCGTGATCCCTTTAATTATTAAATATGTAGAAATGAAGACTATTTATGAGACTGTTATTTACACTTAGTGAAACATCACACAAAAGCAGTAAAATTTGAGCTACAAAGATGATTAAAGCATTCATATGCCAAAATATAAGTCTGTTAAATGAGAGCGTTTGTGTACTTTTCGTCCAAACTAAAATCTATGAGCCTAAACATAAGTTGTAAGTTGTATGTTTAAAGCTACATTTAAACTAGAGATGCATTTAGTCACAATGTAAAGTGGACGTGAGCTCCATCAGCCAGTCATTATTTAGGTTAACCACAGTGGCAAGATATAATGTATAATTATATAATCATCTTGTAGAAGATGTGCTGTCAACAATGCAAAATAAACTACTGAATGAGCAAACCTTTAAAGCTAGTCTAACAGGCTAGCCCCCAGCTAAAGTCAAATTACTTTTCTCTTGTTGTAGAGGTACCAAACAACCATACCTTTGATACACTTAAAAGATAGACTCACTTTATTTACATTAATATGTTTCACTTGTTCGGAAAGACAACTTGTGTGGCCACATAATGGTAGCATACAACCGCCACCCAGTGCTAGTGTTAGTATAAACGGTTAGCTGCAGCACTTGTGCTATGTCACTTTTTTACCTACAGTATTTAGCATATGTATAAGCTAACTATTTCAACTTATTCTTGCCAGCTTTACTTTTCTTTTTACTAAATGTGATTGATAGATCTCATTGTTATAAAGTTATTTAATGTTTTTCAGATTAAAAAAAAAAGCTAAATTGTTGATGCTTTTGAGTGGGGTCGTTAGCAAGCAAGGGTAATGGATAATCACAAGTTGAGTAAGTTTTGAAACTAGAGAATGAGTTGTAGGTGTTAATTATATTGACTTAACAAATATAATAGGATATAGCTGGAAACTTTTAGTCTCTTTTAGTTTGCTCTAAACACTTAATTTCACACTTACCCTCAGTCTATGTTGTAAACGCAGCTCAACGTTCGCGCCAACACGCTAACACCGCCGTTTCCTACTGTCATGAACGCAGCACGGCCGGGTTCATTCCTGCAGTGTCCCGTAGTGGGACAGTCTGTCTGTGTGTGAACTCGGGAGGGGAAGCAGTGCTGTGCTGTTAAAACTCCCAGGATTTACACTCTGCCATTTTGAGGAAAACCGGCCGACATTAAACACAAGCCATGACCCGGATCAGAGGACTACATTTGTGAAAAAGTGAGTACTTTGTGACGCTTCTGTACACCGGGTCTGGTTGGAGTAGGCGGTGATAGTTCAGGGGTTAGTTTTGGTGTTTCGGTGCACTCTTGGTAAATGTTAACTCAATCTGCTTCAGCTGGGTTATGAGTGAATGGTGTCGGCTGTAAAGTTGCGTTGAGTTCAGTAAAAGTAACGCAGAGTGACAGACTTCACATCAAAACAAAGGCGCAAATCTGACCCCAGAAGTGGGCCTCTCTGGTCCGGGTCCTGGGCCTGGCTGTGTTGTGGATGACAGCACGCTGGTTCTGTTTTCTTTCTCCTCTCTCAGTTGCTGTGAGTGAAAAAAAAGTTGCTGTTTACCGCCGGTAGCTCGTGCGTTTGGCGTTTTTCTGACCCCGCGCTGCAAGAGGGCGACGTTACAGCAGGGTATCAGTTACTTACACAGGGATTTTATTGTTTATTTTATTGTATTGTGGGAAAAGAAGGTGATTTTTTAGACAGAAAGTGTGTCCATGCAACAAGAGAAAGCTATCACTTACTACAGGCAATGCTAGGGGAGACCGGGGACGGTTTTAACAGCGATAATTGAGCATGTTCAGGTGGGGAGCTTAAGCTTAAATCTGTACTTAAAATTGAACGCTTTAAAAACATGACACATCAAACATAATTTAATGTTTTTATATTACATGGCCTGATTGGCTGTCAGGTGCAACTTTGGGCTGAACTCTTGACTTTGTGCAGTTTTAAGTTGGTGCCTCCTCCACTGTTGCCTCTTAATGTAGGTGGCAAGTCATTACATTTGTAGTTTTTGAATAAGCTTTAGCTGTGAAATCAAAGTCCAAGTCTTCTACAGTGTCAGCTTTTGAAGTCAGCATTTCTAGTATAGCGGTGTAAACTGCTGCACTTCATCACATCTCCTCAGAGACCATTAGCAGCAGGAATGTGGCATCAGTTTTTCAGCTCTGCCAGTTAAAACACTTCTGTGCATGTTTTTGATCCAAACCATGCTACCAGAGCGATGTGTCATCGCTCAGCGTGTGGCAGCATTTTAGCTTCATGTCTGTACTGAAGGAGGAGAGGGAGGCACACCATATTTTGTCCTCAGTTTGGGGTCAGCTGCAACATTTGACTTGAGATTTTCATCATATGGCAGTCTTAAAGTGATAAAGGTTTCCAGATGATAGATTTGATTGAATACATATGAATGAATTAAAAGTAGTGAGTTTCTTTCAAACAGCTGAACAATCCTACAAACTTAAATTAAAGCTCCTATGTGGACTTTTTGTTTTGTTTGAATATTGGCGCCCCCTGTGGACAGAGCAGGTTTTGCCTATCTTGTCCTCTTTTCAACTTGCTGACCTTAACAGTCAAATGTATCACAGATTGTGAGTATTTAAGAGGAAAATGGCCGACACCTACCCCATTGCAGTGGTTTCAGGTGTCAAATTTTATGAAGGTTCAAAAAGTCGTTACAGGAGCTTTAAGGGCGCAGGTGTAACAGCTGTCGCCAGTCTCCCCCACAGTTTCAATTACATTAGAGGCTCAACCTGCATTAACTGCTGCCATTCAACAAGAGATACCGGATCGTGCTGGACTCAAGATACCCTAAAATATGAGACATATCTTTTTAAATAGTCAAAATAAACCTCTTCTTGGATTGAGTGAAAGGAGCAGAAAAGTTTTTAAGTTCCTGACAAACTTCATCCATATATTTCTGCGTATTTTTCCAGTGATGTCTCTTTAAACTGTAAGAAACACACACACTGTGTGTATTCCTCCAATACTCCCTGTAATTGGGAGTGCCGGACTTTGACCACAAACACAACTTTGTTTTATTCAGTTTGTTGAAGGCGTGAGGAGTCAAAAATCTGCAGCTTTGTCTCTCGCTTTGTTTGACGGGACAGCAGACAGTGTTGTAACTGGAAATGGGTCATCAGATTTCCAGCCCTGCACCAGATTACAGAGTCATTGTGGTCACCGCAGAAGTACTCCCCTATCAAGTCAAACAGGATACAGTCATACTTAGTTTGTTTATATGCCTTTCCAAGGAAAGAGATCCCCTCCTCCGTGTGAGAAGAGAGGAAATATCCAGAGAGTCCAACAGGAAGATGTCTCTTTTTCTCAGGAAGCATCTGTCCTCAAAGTTCAAGTTCAAGTGTGTGTTTTTAATTCATCTGCTTTATTTTTAACGCAGGAAAAGTTTCCTCTCGGCCATCATGTGTCAGGCATCTGCTGGAAATATGGCTTCCTGTCATAGAGGGATTTGTCCCCTCTTTGGCTGCGATCAATGCAATAATTAGGACAGAAAGGCTAAATAACAGGATGAAATGGATTTCAGGGTTTTTCCTGGCTCAAATTGAGGCAGAGGTGGCACCATCCTGACCATGCGCCATGACGTGCATGTATTTGTAAATTCAACTGACTCACTTTCTTTTACAGGCAACATACTTTAAGTTAAGAGTTCAAAAAAGAGTGTGACCATTATCATGCTAAAGCATTCATTTATTAAAACTATATACATACACAAATCAGCTGGCAACTTTAAATTGAAAGTACACTTCATCCACACATCTCACAACCAGACAGAACATTTCAGCCTCCTCTTTTTCATTCTGTAGAACCTCCTCATGCACTCCTTGTAGTCCAAGGCCTCCTGGTCTGGTCCATCAACGGCCACCTTACAACAGACATCCAAGTGCCTCTCCTTCAGTCTGTTCCGCAGAGGTGTCTTCACCTTAAACAAAACAATTCATCATGCATGAAGTATTTTTTGTTTTTATTCTGATACAGACATGAAGAGTGATAGTGTTTTCAATCATATATTATATATATGTATACGTTGCAGTGTCCTCCCTAAAAAAACGACAACCAATTATTTCTTAAACTATCTAAACTATGTTATTTTAGTTTTTGTAACTTTATTAGTTGAGTGTTTTTAGGTACTACCATCTTTAATATACTTCTCCTTCTCTTCTGCTGCTTTGTGAATGGCTGTCACCTCATGTCTTTTTAATGTGTCCAGCCTGTAGTTGGTTGATGGCTGTCTCACTAAGGAGGCAGCAATTGCCTGCTGTGTTGGGGCACAGTGCTTTTGGCATCAATAGCAGTGCATGCATTCCTCAGTATGCCTGAGCCAGGTAAATTGATTGAGCCACTGCTTGTCAAAGCCACTGGCTCTGTGTTTTTGAGAAGATCTGGAAAGAGGAATAAAAACCACGTACACGTCGGTTTTGCGTTGTTATGCTCCTAATTGGAAACTAATTAATTAATTACCCTCGCCTCGCCGACTCGTCCTGTCCTGCATTCTGACCCTCGCGATCACCAGTCCCTTGTGAAGTACTTTCAGACCTGACACAAATTTCCACGTTGTCACCACCATGAATTATAGCATTTTAACTGCCTGTTCCTTTTTTTTCTCTGCTGTGTTTCACCTGGACTCTTGACTTTCCTCCTCGCGAGGTCGCTTTTTAAAGTACTGGCTGATTTTGCCTGTCATATCTGCAACGCTAAAAAAACGGAGTAAACTTTTTTTTTAAATAAACACGTCATGCTCGGATGCAAAAAAGACATGCAGTATTTACCTGTTTGTGTCCAGCCGCCAGGGAAAATCAGGACGCCGATAGCACCAACTAGCGGGAAAAAAAACAGGATTCGATCCGTTTCTTCTTCGGTAGATGCTTCAGGTCTTTCCGATGCACTGCTGTTGATATAGCGCCTCTATAGTGGTGCAACGCTGCAACTGCAGTTAAAATACGTTGCTGCTGCAGAGGGACATCATACGCTCAATCAACACAGCTGGAGCTTTACGCTGTGTTGAGCGAAATCAATCGCTCTGGCTGGGGGCGGCACAAAATTAGGTGGAGGCGGCCGCCACGCAATTTTGAACGCAGGAAAAACCCTGGATTTTATCTTGAAGTACATGATCACCACTCTCACTGGAATAGAGAGGTCACGTTTTAGTGAATGCAAAAGGGCCGTTTTCACTCTCACATCCTGCTTAGTTTGTTCCTCTTTTTGGACGGATATTTTGGTTTGTATTAACATCTTGTGATATTTTGAACTCATGATATTCACGTTTCATCATTTTGTGGTTTGGTCTCATTGGAGTTACATTTTTGGCTTTTGCAACTTAAATACGATCCTTTCAGACATGCATGCATACTCATTTTTTCTTCTAGAGGAAGTCAGATCAGCTGCTGTGAGAAAATCCCCCACTACAGTTGGGTGCAGTTCAGTTCGAGTCTTGTGTAAAAACTTCCAAATGCATGATGTAGTGATTTGAACACAGACACACTCAGTCTTACAGAAGAGTCCACCTCCTTTTGCACACTCTATCGAGCTCCCCCTCCTCCCTTTAACCAAACTGAGTACAGCAAGTTACAATTTGAAGTCCTGCTGAGAGTTGCATGATGTCTTATTAGCAAGTCCTGAAATTATTACAAGCATGCCAGGAATTCAGATGCAGAAGAGTCTGTTCGCTGCCCCTGCAAAAGCCCCCGCCCTCCTTAACTTATCTATATCCTGTCGTGTTATATATACAACCCCTAAATTATGATGGGTTTCTTGAGAGTTGTGTTTGCAGCAGTATTACCTCGTGTGAGTTTTACAACAATGCCAGCTGATCTGAGTTAAATGGGATTTGCAGGAGACATACTGGACAGTACAGCTCAGGGAGATACTCAATATGAAGAAATTATTTGGGGATCAGGGTCATCTTTAGTTTTCTTTTTAAAATTGCACTTCGACTTAGCAGCACCAAAGAAGATTTCTGCAGCTTGCACATGTCCGCTGTACGGAACTATGATGAATTGTGGGCACTTTACAGTCGAGAAATAACTAAATATCTCTATTTAGAAGCAAATACATTTATTATTTTAGGTAGAATCAAACCGAGAGTCAAAACACAAGGGTGTAAACATGACAGAGAAAACTGATCCCCAACTACCTCAGACAGGTATGTTGGTACCAAGTCATGAGAAGTTCGATTTAGTTCATTTTCAGCTGGACTAACTTGTTAACACATATTTTACAAGTCCAGTTTGAGTCGGACTAATGCGATAAATCGATTTTTTTGAGCTGCTTGAGCAAGAGCAACAGGAAAGTTCTGTCACAGGAGAAACTTGATAATCGATCCAGGATTGTGTAACCCTTCTGCTATGTGCAAGTTGAAGTAATGATGCCAGAATTTCCCCAAACTTCAGTTTTTTTAAGTCCACATGAATCCAGACAAAACTGTTTCTTAAATCTTCACTTTGGACGATGTTTTCACAACTTTTCAGTGACCTTGACCTACATTTGTGTTACGGATAGAGATGAGGTTAGAACTGACATGGTGGGAGCTTGTCACTCCTCAAGTAGGTACAGGAATCTGATCGTGAGGCCTCCAGGACACGACCGTTTAGAGGTGTTTAACTGTGAGAAGACAACCTGGTAGACCTGGAGCCCGCCATAGGGATTATATATTTAACCTAACCTGAGGACAACCGAGCATCCCCCAAGAAGGAGAAGGAGGTGAGGCTGCTGTAGCTGAAAACAGGTTGATAAGTTGAAGAAGATGCATAGATGTTTCCCCCAGAAAACAACTGCATTTCATGAATTGTGATGACATTTCACGAGCCAAACTCCAAACACAATAACTGTTTAAAAATGTGCAGCAAATTTTCACAATAAACATGTTACAAAACCAAAACACATGGGAAAAATTACGCTTCACAAAAGGCATTAGTCACAGACAAGACAGAGCTCCTCAGAAAACCGAGTGGCATTCAACAAAACCTCCCCAGTTCCCCAAAAGTCTATTCAATTTTATATTTTTAAACTTTTAAACCGTGGAAAAGTCTGAGAGCATGAATACTTCTGCAGCACCCGGTGTCAAAGTGCTGACTGACCTCTTTTTAAAGCTGACAAATGCATCTGTTTGGCAGCATTAAGAGACGCCGTCTGAGCCAGTAATTATCATGATATGACTCCGGGCTTCTGCGTGAGGTGTGTATGTTATTATGGCTGCTCTGGGCTTCTAGAGTGCAGTCATTCACATGGGTATAGTAATAGTAAATAAATGAGAAACTGGAGTTGATGCTGCGGGATTAGATGTGTCTGTTGTTTTAATTTAAGAGCTGCATTTTAACTTGGAGCAACATGCATCGAGAGATTTCCTCACAGCCTGACTCCTGGGATGATAAAAACATGAGAAAATAAGTTCAAACTTGTAAAAGTCATTCCTTAAACTTGCTTTTTAAGGTCGTCTTAGTGCTTATTTTAACCCCAGGCATCTTATTTTAACTGAACCAACCTGAATTTATGGCCCGTAAATCTGCCGCATGGGTGAAATTTGGTGTAACAACATTAGGATAATATTTGTTGACTGTTCACACAAATACAGCTTGCTGGTATTTCCTGTGTGCAGAGCTGCTTGTCCCAGAGGAATGTGTGGAATGTATTCTTTTGTCCTCTGTAGATTCAGCAGAGTCTCGTCTCTGTACGGCCTGAGAGAGACCCAGGAAGAGACGGCGGGGTGGAAATGAGTCTGAAAATCTGTCAGTAACCCCCTGTGGAGAGCTCATCCTTCTGTGTCTGTGTCTTTGAACCCGGGCTGGAGGATTTTGTAAGCCGGCGGAGTACGAATGAACTTGTGGAAAAGTCCGCTATCATCGCCCCTCATTAAAAAGGATGTTCTCATGTGTTGGACTGAAGACGTGTCAATCCTCTTCCCCCACTTCTCGGTTTATTTATAGCGGGAGGAGGAACTTGCAACTGGATGTCTTTATGTAAGCCATCGTGGTGATCTTGAGGGGAGGAGGGCTGTAATTTAGGCTCTCTGCTTTCAATTATTGTTTTTGAGATTTTTATGGAGAGATGAGGCTTTTTAAGGGCCTCTGAGCTGGATCTGTGAGAGGGGAGCTGCCAGCACATCAAAATCTAGACTATAATCGACTGGTAGGAACATAATCGGAGAGATTACCACCAGGGAGGGGCCACAAATCATCTCAATACCAGATCCTGATAAATGTTTGTTGATTCAGATGATAATCTTTGGATATTTGTGCTTAAGGTTGATTCATTTAAGGGAGTATCAGACAGACATAGAATAACACAAATGAAATATATTAGGGGGGTACTAAATAAAAAGCAGTTTGAGGTGATTTTGGTGCCCCCTGCAGCCAAAGACGTACATCTTATCACTCTGGGAATCTTGCCCATGCAAAAGTCGTGTTTTCTGCAAACTCTGCTAACAGTCAGGTGTGCCAATCGTGAATTATGGCAGTTTTTCAGTGTGCCGTCAATCATTTGTTCTGACACCTACCCCCTCTCTGCAACTTTGGGGATTAAAGTTTGCAATTTAGAAATGATCAATCACTGATAGTCTTGTTTGTCTAAGTCATGAAGAGGCACCAGTATGAATCAGAAATTTAAAACCAAGTTTAAAGCACTTACTGGTGCTTTAAGCTCGGTTTTAAGGCGCCTTTATGCATATGCATGCACACAGAATAATCTGCATCTGTATCCCTGCACGTTCTCTGCCCCCTGTGGACAAAGTGGGAACTCTCACCTCCGGCTGATTTTGTCTTGTGAATTTGTAAAGTCATTTCGGATTAAATGAAAATCTCATCCTGCTATCTTGAATAGAAACTAAAACTTGAGGGAAATTTATAGTTTTGTTGCTGATGGTTTCATTATCTATATGAAATGAAATCTATATTAATTTCGGTGCTTATTTATATAAGAACAGTTTTTTACTCACCTTAAAAAAATATCTGCATTCATATGACTGTTGTTGAATTATCTGTGCTGATAATTAGATCCACATAAATCCACAAAATCTGACTGAAAAAGCTCGAGTAAGTGTGCCAGACTAGTAGTCATAACTTTTGTAATGAAACGCCGCTGAAGAACATCTTGCGCCTGCTTAATGGAGCCATGAGCACCAACTAATCGACCGATAACTTAACCCACATGTCCAAACCAGGCTGTAAATTCACTGTTTTCACAGGAGGCCGGGAAGTGCTTTTAAAAGATCCAGATTCTGAAGCCAGATTTAAAAGTTAGCCATAACCAAAGAGTTTCTAATACTGAGCTGCTTTTTCTATTTTTTTTTTCAACTAATTTTAATAATCCTTTTTGTTTGAAGCAAGTTCAGTCCTCAAAACTTGCCTCTTATTTCATTGTTGCATTATGAGCATTTGTCTCTTTTTATTGCATTGAATAAGAAAACCATTTTAGGTTAAAAAGTAATGGTTTGTCACACAGCAACAGTGCGTTTAGTTTATTGGACTGACACTCGTAGCCTTGATATTTCACTGTTTTGCTGCAGGCAGAGAAGATCAAGTTAGCTCTCAATTTAATACTGAAATGAAAATAATGTTGGATTTATTTTTGATTCAGGAGGAACATGTTGCACACAAAGGGACTGTGAAATAGTTTTTCTGAATTTATTGCATTTATTGTTACTGCAATATTCAAGATTGGAGGTTTTACTTTATTCGTTCATGCGAGTGGATTCAGTTTTCAGACTCAGCCTCAGAAGCGAGATGAAGAAAAACAAAACCCTAGATAGTCCATGAATAATACAGAAGTTTCTTTTACATTTTGAACATTGTAATTATACAATAGATATATTTCCAGCCTGTTGGATGCCCACTGAATACCAAATCCACTGAATCCAAACCTGCCCGAATACTGCTGCTGTTGTTGAGCACCAAACTCATGTGTACATTATAATATATTCTGCAGACCTACTACGAGCGAGGATAAAACATTCATCTTCCAGAGGTGCCTCACACGTTAAACCAGCTCTGGTACTCTCGAAAGCTTCCTGCAGTTTCAGCTGATTCTCACAGTTCACTTCACGCTGGTTAATGAGGCAGGATCTCTGCCGCCATGGCTGACTTTTCTCACACACATTTTAAAGCAGGCTCGCTATTAAATATTTAGACTCCGCTCGTTCTGAAGCTGAAGATGTCTAAAGTACAACATTTAAGCTCATCAATTCGCATTAAAAAAACTTCCCAAACTTTTCAACTTAAGACTCCGTTTGAGAACTAGAAACAGCCTCTTTAAGTATTCCTTCCTTTTCACTCGTATTTTCGACAGAACTCCTCTGAGGAACCCTGAGTGAAATAGTTAGAGTATGTAAATACCGAACATTTTTAACCTGTTGTGAGGTTTGAGCTAAAAAGTCTTCAAGGTTCACTTCCTTTTCTTCACAGGAATCTTTGCCCATACGGATAAAGGCGGCAGCTCTGTATCCTGTGTTTGCACTTTTTACAATAAAGGAATAGAAAACTAAACTGATAGTCTGAAGTTATGCTCACTTCTCTCTTATACTTAAAAAGGCACACTGAACTGAAATCACCTCTACACACCACAGTGTTGCTATATTCCTGTACAGCAGTGTGTTCAAATTTAAGCTCTAAAGACAGCTGATTGGCTGTAAAGTTATCTCTGTTGCAGGAATATTGTCAGCATGACCCAAACCAGGTTTTGAGGGACTGTGAGAGTCTGTTAAAGTTTCCATTGTTTGGACTATTTTGGTGTTAATAGATTCAAAACACACTCAAAGTCTAAGTGGTTTTACCCATTTGTTTTCAAAGCAGTTTATAACGTCTCATTTGAAATGCTGACTCAGTAGGAAAAAAAATGCTGACTCATCTTGAATTTAGGTCAATGACAACTGTTAAGTTAGCCACGCCCCCTAAAACTGCCAAATGAAACCTAATTTGGCTTTCTTACAATGTGTACAGTTAAAGGGAAGTGAGACATAAAACTATTTCACTTTGACACTGGTGTTAAAGAGTCTTCTGGGCTTTAAGAGCCAGCCTCTTGTGGACACCGAGGAACTGCAGGTATTCTCACTACAGCATCACATAACTTGCCTTTGCACATTTATTCCAGAAACCTTTAAAAAGAACTTTTTAGTTGACCACAATTCTGCCCAAGTGTGCAATTGTTGTATTGTATAGTCTTTTAGAGTATTGTGCTGTACCACACAGTATTGAGAGTCAGCCATCATATCGAATCAGCGGAGTTTCGCAGCTCAAGGAAGAACATTTATGATTATTACTTCATGGAAATGCAATCAGACTGAGATGCTAAGGCAGAGGAACTACCGCGTCTGCAGTGCAAAATGATTAATATGATGATTAAACTTTATGGAAACGATACGCTGCACTTGGTGATTGACTCGTCAAGGCTCCCCCACAAACAAGCGGCTGCTGGAGGAGAGTGAATGAGTTGTGTTTGGCCTCTTAGCTAAAGAAATCAGGCAAAGCTAAAAAGATGTTTGGTGGCTAGGACCCTATATGTACTGTTGATGAAGTTAGGTGCTGTTCTGAGCATTATTTGTGGCTATAGAGTGGCATTTTGGTTGAGGTTTGCTCGTGGAGACGTAGGCCACTGTGTATTGCTATGGTGCTGTCGTTACTTAAGTTACTAGAGAAGCAAGCAGTCAGCAACATTCACCTCTTGAGGGGGTATCTCTCAGTGTTACAGTGTGTTTGACCATAACTTAAATCTACACTGAAATATCCCTTTAAGAGCTACCTTCCCATAAGTCAATGTATAAAGATCAATTCTCCTCACTGTAAACCTTCAGTATAGATATAAAGAATATAGAGAGTCTGTATTGACAAAATGTTGATGTGGACGCTGACTCCACATCTGTCATTTTATGGCACTTTTTTAATTATAATGAGAACCTGCACTTCATCCACCATCTACCATCCTGACTCTTCAGAGTTCCTTTAATTGAGTTTCAGTCTACAGGTTTTTAATCTCGGGTGTCACAGAGAGAGAATCTCCCGCTGCTGCTCCGACACTGAACTGCAGAGTGCTTACTTCAGCTTTTACATCAAATGAGCCTCGGTTAATTGTGGTGTTAACACGTTTAAATGTGTTCTAGGTTTTCAAGGTCAGCCTCTCATTAAGTTTTAATGCAGTACCTCAAGGAAATATGTTTTATTTATATCCCCAAGAGCGCGCTCTCTCTCTTCTCTCTGAGTGGACCTGCTCAAGATCTCTACAGATGTGACTGAGAGCATATGTGTGTGGAGTATTTTTTTGTTTTTCATGTCTTTAAATTTCCTTTTTTTTCTTTCTTGCAGAGGAGAAGGCCTCAGAAGAGGGGGAACAGTTTACCCGACAAAAGAGGGCTTTTTGTTTGAATCGGTCCTCAGTCCTCTTCAGCCATGTGTTCCACTAATCACTCAAACTGGGTCACTTTTGAAGATGACAACACACCGCTCTCGTCTCCTCAGAAGCCCCTACAGTCACCAGGGCTTATCAAAGCATCAGTGCCACGTCCCAATGGTCTGAAATTAGTTCTTCCTCCGATCAGAGATACTTCCTGGAGCTTCAATAGTTCACTGGAATCCCCTCAGAGCCAGTCGAGTCTTCGTGGAAGTTCTTGTGTCCCGTGTAACACACCCTTTTGCACTCCTGTGAGTGGGGTTCCCAGCAGCTCGTCCCCATTTCACTCCACCACACGGGAAAAGAACGATTTCTTCCGGAGTTTCTCCACCCCGTCGACCACGTCTGCTCCCTCTCCTGCACCAGAGGCCTTAAATCAAACCTCAGACGGACCAAGCCCCTTCCCTTCTTTCCAGGGGCGCTCAGGACACACAAACCCTTTCTGGGATGGATCCAGATACAGCGCAGGGGCGGACAGTTCCTCCTCTTCCTCAGACTCTGAATCTAACAACAGCCTACCACGTTTCTTTATTCGGACCAAAGATGGCAGTGACCCTTCTCAAGACCCACTCCAGAGCTCCTTCTCCTCTTACGTTTGCAACAAACTGGAAAGTTTGCGTGCGGATTCGGACCAAGAAACAGAGACTGAAAGAGATGGCGAGAGACGGCTAAGCTGCCAAAACGAGGTCTTAACTGAGAGTTCGTCTCTGTTTGTTCCGCGTGGACTCTTTCGGAGCCAGAAGCGGGACGGCTGGTCTGTCATGCTGAGGATCCCCGAGAAAAAGAACCGCATGTCTTCTCGTCAGTGGGGGCCGATCTATTTGCGCTTGCTTCCAGGTGGGGTGTTGCAGATGTACTACGAGAAAGGGCTGGAGAAACCGTTCAAAGAGTTCCAGCTCCTCCCTCAGTGCAGGATCTCTGACCTCAAACTGGAAAGCTACGGAGAGCCGCGCAAAGTCCTCTCGCTCAAGGTGGAGCATTTCTCGTACATAGAGAAGAAGCGATTTCATCCAAAGTTGGAGGTCAATCATGAGGCGGAGGTAGATCAGCTGCTAAAGTTTGGTTCAACGGTGCACGAGGACATGGAGGACCTGGTGGTCTCCATGGAGGAGGAGATCTTCAAACTGGGTGTGCCTCACCAGCCGAGAAAACACTACGAGGAGCAGGAGCTGTCGCTGCAGATCACCGATCACATCTGGGTACGACTGGATAAGAGCGGAGGAGTCTTGGAGCGAACAGCTTTAACACAGATCCACTGTTTGGCTTTCCTGATCGGACTCGGGGATTGTTTTCTCGCTCTGAACGATCTCAGGCTGCTGCACTTTGACTCCAGCTACGGGTCAGAGGAGGAACTCTGGATGGAGATCATCGACTGCCACTTTCACCAGTGTGTCAACGAGTCGGAGTTCCAGAGGTCCAGGCTGATCAAGTTCTCCCCTCCAGACGCCTGCAGGGTGGAGCTGATGCGGTACAAGACCTTTCTTCTGGGCTGCACAGAGATTCCTTTCTCGATCAAAGCCGTGGTCACAGTACAAGGTGCCTATGTGGAGCTCCAGGCCTTTCTCAACATGTCAGCCACCTTCCTCACCTCCATGGGGGTTTCAGACACATACCCACTGTGTGAGAATGTAGTGATCCGCGTGCCGGTGCCAGGCGACTGGGTCAAAGTGACACAGACTGTGGCTTTGCTGCGACAGAGGTCTTTGAAGGCCCGCATGAACAGAAACGCATGCTTGGGCGCCGTCAGCGCTACAGACTCACAGCCAGTCATGCAGGTGACAGTCGGCACCGTCAAATATGAGAATGTATACTCAGCTATCGTGTGGAGGATCGACAGACTACCTGCTAAGAACACAGGTAAGCTTGCAAACAAGATAGTCAGTGACCTGATGTAGAGGAGACAGTGCAGAGCTGAAAATATGTTACTGATGATAAAAAACTCTGACATAAGTTTGTTTCGTTTTCACTGACAAGACGAGATCATTGTTAGCGTGTTAGCGGTTGACTATTGGACATTCAAAATCTGACAGTTTCTTCTCCACTGTGCATCAAATCTGTCCAAATACATTTGATACATTTCTCTAACAGGCTGAGTAAAGGTCTTGGCGTTGTGAGTCCATGTTTTTGTCCAAAACTGCTGCATGGTTAAAATCAAAACAAAAGGACGATACGGTGTCGATCCTGTTTACACACTTTGCCCGTCACCATTTTTGCAGTAACGCTCTTTTTTACATCCATCCATCCATCCATCCAGGGCTCGAAGACTCAATTTTTTGTGCTGCCAACTTTCGCAGCGAATAGAAAATAAAAGCTGATGGGCTCTATTCCATTCCATTTACGTGTAAACACAGTTTCAAGTCACTAAAATAAGATTTTAGAAAATACCCTCCAAGGTAGAGACATAAAACATTGCTATTTAGCGCTGGTGTTTTAATAATTGTGTTGCACAGATCTGGATGTAGCCAAACCTACGTAGACAAATGCGCTCCAGATCCCCTCTGAATGAGGTCTGGTTGATTCTTTCACAGTGTATCCTCAATGCTTCTTTTGTGCGCTCACTCTGGACTTACAGCTACCCGCTAATGATCAGCTCACTCTGCACGCATGTTAACACCAGGTGTAGAAATTCCACTCTCTTATTATTAGCTCCTTTACAGTGCAGCTCTCCAACTGTAAGCCACCTTTGTTTTCTCCTCTGCAGCGGTGGATCATCCACATTCACTCTCCTGCAAGCTCGAGCTGGGATCGGATCAGGAGATCCCGACTGACTGGTACCCTTTTGTCACCATGGAATGTGAAATTATGGGCGCCGTCGTGTCACAGACGAGAGTGAAGTCACTAGGCACTGTGAACGACATCCAGCCGCAGAAACACGTGACCAGCTGGACTCGCTATCATTGTCAGGTAAGATTTGATGCTATCTCTCTGGATATATCCACCAGACCCGACGTGGGAGAGAAGAAAGGTCCTTATTTGCATTTTAAAAACCTGTTTCTATTCATTCCTCCAGGTGGAAGTGGAGAAGAAATGGATTGAAACAGACTCACAGAAGCAGTCCAGCTGTATGACGCAGTGATTGTTCAAGAAACTCTGAGGACTGTTTCCCCCTTTGGTCCTTTTACATTTGCCAAAATCTTCATCTTCAAGCTGAAAAGGGATTAAAAAAAAGAACAAAAACAAGGGTGATGAGGGACTTTCTGCTTGTATCGGGTGTCACATTCATCTAATCACTCATAACCTGGTAGTATATCTCATGGAGGTAAACCTGATTTTGTATCCTTTAACTGAGACTGACTTAGTCTAGAGCTAATGAACAAATTTAACATGGTCCTTCTGCCTAGCACTTTACATGTCATAGATTTATCATTATGTAAGATTATAGTTTATATAAGTACTGTATATAAGCTTGCATTTGCATCAGCTGCACTGCCCTCCAGAATAACCAGCATCTTTATTAAATGTCTCTTAATAAATGTAAACACACACACAGACAGGCTGCAGGAGATAAACAACAGAAGTAATGAGCTGTGTTCACTGTGAGAGAAGCGAATTATCAGCAGGAGGTCAGGGGTCACACAAATGGTGTTAATGCCTGTTTGTACAATATAGTTTTGGTTGTTATTGGCTTAACGTCAAAATAATGTCTGACGCTAATACTTGGCCAGTAAATAACAGCACCCTTTATAACTAACCCTGTGCAAATCACATCAACATAACTGAGTGTGCTTTTTGAACATGGGAGGCTGATAATATTATGCAGTGAGTGAAGTTCATCTTCTATCTCTCAGAGGGAATAAAACTCATTACTTTTGTTGCTCACCTCAAGCCAACCTCTGACTTTATACCAAGCTTGCATTCTGGAGGACTGTAATGTTATTTAAGCAAATCAAAACTTTATTATGTGATCTTTCTGCCTCTGGGGTTTTTGAATACGTTGGATAAAGATAAATTCAATAAATGGTGGAGCTTCATAGCTTAAATCAAAGCCTTTAATTATGACTTTTATGTATGGGGTACCTGGCTTTAGCTGGATATTATGTACATCAAGAGTAAAAGCTGAATTAAAGCTGAGCGAGTGGTGGTGCTTCTTTATCAGACCCCTAATTCTGCTTTATTTACTCATTTCCCCATTAAAAAAAGTGCAACTATGCCAGTCTAAAGACGGCAATGTTTGTTATTTGCATGAATAAAACACACACTGAGCATTGCTTGTCAAACCAAACACAAAAGAAAACACAAATATTTCATGATAATTCATAAGAGACAAAGGCAAAATAGATTTAAACAAACAAATGTCAAAGCAGCCGAATGTCATTGTTCTGTCATGAGACTGTGACGACACCCTGCAGAGAGTAATAACAGGCTGCTGCTGAATAAATGATGTGTGATTTTGCTGAAAGTGTTACATGCTGCGTGATAGTTTAATTTGATTGTTTATAAACATGCGCAGTAAAAGAAAAAAGTACCTTACCCTGGCACTTTTTTTATTTTGTATTGATGGGTTATGTTAGAAAAATATGCTCAAAGTAAAACAGGGATATGAAAGGAAAAAACATAATTTATTAAAGTATGGTGTGTAATGAAAAAAAAAAGTTAGGAGAAACTTTGGTTGAAAAAAAGTGTGAGATTGAATTCTGATGAAAAAAAAGTCTTAAATGTCAGTCTGTTTAAAGGAATCCTGGTTCAAATTTAAAAGCAAACTTTGTGTGGAAATTGTTTGTTTGATTTTTGCTCCTGACAAAGACCAAAAACAATTTTTATTTACTGAAATAAAAATACATACAAGGCATTAAAAACGGCGTGTTTGTTTCTGCAACACCAACTACAGTCAAACAGAACAGCAGATTGAATGTCTTTATTTTTCTACTTTATTCATTTATTCACAACATATGAGAAACAGCAGGTGAATATTTAACATAACCCAGCCCCAAACCTGATTAGAGTCCTATAAAACAAAACAAAAAACAAATACTTAAGCTAATGAGAAGTCTTCACAAAGGTGATCATTTTTGTCTTTTTGTCAACAATGTCTCGCTTCAGGGACTTTGTAAACATCCAAGCTGAACTAAAACTTTAAAAGGTCAAAATGAAACAAAAAATAATAGAAAAGGAAAAATTCAGCAAAAATCTTGGTAGAAACAAACAACACCATATTAAGAAAAAATGTTGTATTTAATAAACACGCATTGAAAACTACATATTCAACATTTTTGTTTCACTACCCTCCTTGTGTCCTGTAACAATGGGTCATTTTGTCTGTATTGATGTTAATTTGAGGTGTTGCTCTGTGTTGATTCCTACAGGGGGCAGTGTTTGTGAAGGTAAATTTAGCATTTTTCCTCATCCTCTCTAATTATTATTCTCAACTTCATGTTTTAGACAGATTTTTTAAGTGTTTTTAGGCTCTAAAACAGCTGTGTTATACCTTATCTTCTCTTTATTTTATTCATGCAACATTAATATACTGTACACAACACAACACAGGAATGAAATCAGTGCAGTTCACAAGTCAAGTGATTAAAATGCACAGATGGTTTTTTTTTTCAGAGTTTCTAAAACCTTCCCTACCAACCTATGGCTGAGGGAGAGCTTCTACCTCAGTCCTGAGTCGTATTTTATCGACGTTACAGCCAAGTATCTGTTAGTGTGCAGCATCCCCAGGGCTGTCTGGATGCTACAAACCAAGACCCACTGAGTGCCAACACTACTAAACAGACGCTTGCAAGGAGAAGGGTCAAAGGTCAACTGCTTCTGCTGCTAGGAATTCATCAAACACCAAGTTCAAGATAAAGTGTTTTGTAAAAGGTGAAATATTTTTAACTTCTTGTACTGAGCGCTCCCAGGAGTAAAAAAATGTACTAAGCTTCAGCGCTGTGGCAAATGTGCAACAACAGCGTGACCTTTCTATTGAAAAAGAAAAGGAAAAAAAGAAGTGGAAATGTTTGGGGCTGAGGTATTTTAGATGCTGGGAAACCACAGTTCATGAAACTACAAGAATAAAACCAACAAATAGCAATTATAAGACTCCAACATACTTGAGCCACATTGAGCAGGATGTTTTTTGTCCTGTAGGTGGATGCAGGGCGATGCATAACTTGGACATGAAGACACCAAATGTTTCTTATGACATGAGACCATCAGAAAATAGTCAAATTACTCTTTTACTTTGGTAATAAGGATTAAAATTATCTTTATTTTGATGTATTTTTTTTTCTTTTATACGCCAGAAACAGCAGTGTCATATAGTAGGCTACTTTCAGAGAGTGAAGATGGCAGGCACATAAACAGATGTGAACACAAAAATACATGGAAATTAAGTCAGAAAAGCAAATAAATGAAACTAATATCTCTAAATTTGTAATTTTTTAGGCTAGTAATAAACAGACCGAGTCAAAATCAGCAGTAGGCTGACTGAGTGGGTGACTGTCACTTTAATAAGTATATTTCAAGGATAGTTTAGACCGTTTAGACTAGACAAAAGGTAAAAAAAATATATATATACATATCCACAGTAAACGCCTTAGATATGAAATAGGAACTTTATTTGTATTATTTTGACTTTAAATCAGCTGCATTAATAAACTTTAATTAATTTAAAGACCATTTACATGTATGTTTCAAGAGTAAGAAACAAATTTAATGGACGGCTCTCTGCACCAATCAAATCTCTCCAGCTAGCTTGATTATTTGCACCTGTGTGTACACCTGTAAACCCATCGCAAGCAGATCAAACCGGAATTTTTCACCGTAAACTGCGTGTATAATGTCTATAAAGTGCATTTATACGGTTCAAGGGGACACTGGAGTGACTATTTCGGTTGTGAATCATGCTAACCAACACAGGCCCCGTGGTAAGCTAATGTGGTGTATATGCGCACCTGAAAGCATCATTTCAACGTAATCTTTTTATTCAATGTCTCAAATAATTGTCCTGATAAAACTTAGCACAGTTTAGTATTAATTCGTCGTATTGTCAACCGTTAAAGTCTAACAGGTTCTTCGACTAGCATGCGACTTTCATTACCAATACCAAATGATTATGTTTAACACACAGTAATATTACTACAAGCTGTTGACCTACTAAACATATCCCGAATCATAAAGTGACTCATTTAGAGTTTAGAAAGTATCTTCGGTAACCAAAAAATGTTATGAATTTGTATTTTACAAGTCATTTTGACAGAAAATTTAGATATTTGAATGGGGTTTGGTGTGTTGCTCGAAAACGATCTCAAAAAACATCCCAGCAGCTTTCTGATGTAAAGTTTCAGACTTAATTTTCAATGCACTTTTCATACAATAATAATGTAACCCAAAGTGTTGTAAAGAAACAAAGATTTATTACACTAAAGGTATACATTAAGACGTCCATCCTACATCCATAAACAAAGTGGAGATTGTATCATAAATAAAAACCTAATAAGAGCTGAATAAGAACTGAAACTGTGAGATCTGTATGAGAAAACACCTGAGGTAGAATAAAGAAGGAAAACAACACAATTGTGCATCTTATATCAGTCATTTACATCAAAGTAGAGGAAATTTGAATGGAGTTTGGTGTGTTGCTCATAAAAAAAAACTCATGAAGAAGCAGCTCAGCAGCAATAACTTCATCTTTCTTCCAAACAACTTCAGGCCAAACTCTACTTGTCCATTATTGATGATGTGATTGAGAGTATGAGAGAGCTCTTCTTGGATGAAGGGCTTGAAGACTGCGTCCTGGATGATTTAAGACATGTAAGATGTTTTCCAGCTCTTTCATTAAAAACAAAAATTTTCACTAAGTGTTGCCAGTCACAGCTAAGTTAAACATGTTCAGAGGAAGTTTACACTGCCTGCTGTGTCTTCTGACGTGCAGCTTTGGGAGTCAAAGATGATGCAGTCAAAAGCAATGGAAGACTTCAGGAAAAACAACATCAATTCGTCCAACTTTGTGCTGCAGCTCCCTGCCAACTACAGTCAGACTGATCAGGACGTCACAGGTAACACAGCGGGCTACAGCCTGAAAGAAAATCAACAAAACAAATCATGTGTGGGTAGAAGTACAGAAGTTTTCAGACAGGATATTTGTGGTACTGACTTTCATGGATGAACACAGCTCATTTTTCTATTTCTGTGTCAATTACTTGGCTCTGCTTTTTACTCTCAGCCTCAGTTGTGATTCCCGCGAGTCAGAACATCCAAAGTTTTCCAAGGCTTAAGGTAAGCACGTCCCAAAATTTACAGAACATCACTCAGTGAATTTGACTTTGGAATGCACTCAAAGAAGCAAAACATAAAAAATCCCTTTTATTTGAATTCAATAATTACTCAGTACATAATGGTGAGGAGCATTAAGGAGTTTAAGGGACTGAAACGGGCCTGGCTAATTTGAATTTAAATGTTTTGAGCCCCTCAAATAAGAGTTCAGAGGATTGTTTCAAGTGATTTTCGTACAAAAAAAAAAAAAAAAAGATTTTATTACATTTAAAAATTAAATTCAGTTCAAAACAGACCAGACTGAAAATTTGTTTTAACAGGATTTTTAAATTCAAGAGTGACAACATTTAGTCCTCCTGTTTTCTTTCCCCAAAACATTAGCAACCTGTTTAGAAAAGTAATACGACGCTAAAAATCCCATCGAGTTACATCTCTGGACTAGTTGTATGACTGGGTATAAAAAGGGCATGTCAGAGAGGCTGAATGTCTCACAAGATGGCAAAACTTTAAACAGTCTGTGAGAGACTGTGTGTGCAAATAACTTAACAATTTAAGGACAATGTTTCTCGTCATAAAAACATAAAGATCTTGAGGATTTTGTCATTCACAGAAAATAAAATCATTAAAGAAATAGATAATCCTGAGAAATCTTTGTGCAAAACAGATCACCAAAACTGGATGACTAAGATCTTTGGGTCCTCAGGTGGCACTGCATGACTCTGTTGTCTAAATCACTGCATGGGCTCGTAATCTCTTCTAAAAAAACTTGCAATGCAGGTTAAAACTGTTTAATGCAAAAAGGAAACCATAAACATGGTCCAGAATAGTATATGGCTGCATAGCTTAAGCATATGAGAAGGCAAAATTAATGCTGAATAATATCATACCTAAATTATATATAATGTGCATACATTAAGCCAAAGGGATCAATATTTAATTGTTTAGTATTAAGCAGCATTTTAACACCAGCAGTCTGTGTTTGTTTAAGTTGTGTTCAAGGCTGTGTGTGCCGCCAAGTCCTTGAGATAACACTGTGCTGTTTTTACTCGTTAACCAAACTGTTTGCAGAAGTTTTATGAAACTTTTTTCTGTTGTATTTTTTTCTTTCATACTTTTTGTTTTATTCCAGAACAACTCTGAGACCCTTGCTACTTTCTCTCTCCCTGCTGGCTTAGCTTACCCTGTGCAGATACCAGCTGGAGTCACTCTGCAGACAGCTTCTGGTACTCCATAAATATTTCAGCTGTCAGAATAAAGCTATATGAAGTTTTAGGTTTGCACTAACAGGTTGGCATAATATTTTCCTTTTCCTTTAAGGTCAACTCTACAAAGTCAATGTTCCTGTCGTGGTCACTCAGGCAGCTGCAGGTCAACAGCCTGCACGGACAGTCTCTGAGTTTAGAGAAGCTGCTGCTCCTCAGTCTGCTGCAGTCCCTCAAAACACCACTCATCCTCAGGAGGTGGAGCCTTCATCGGTTACAGCTTCTTCTGTTACGCCGCCGCCGCCTCAGAAGACGAGTTTACCCCCTAGCCAAGAGAGCACCGTCCCCCAGCAGCCTCCAGTTCCCGCTGCTGAGGGCCCGCAGCCTCAAACAGCCGACTCACCTGAGCCAGAAGTCACACTGAGAGAAAATGAGCCGAGTCCGCAGCTAGAACCTATGAACCTCAGTATGACCGCCTCATCCTGCACTCAGTTATTAGACTTTCAGATCAGAGCTGAGGAGGCTTTGGCGCAGACTGCTCCACTACAGAGCAGAGACATCGATGACATCCTGAAAGAGGTGATTGAGGAGGAGAGTCAGAAAGTCGAGAGAGCCAGGAGTCTGGCTGCTGGAAAAACTGGCAACCAGGAGGACGCTCTCGGGGTAATTTTCACAACAGTACTCACTCTTCAAGCAAATACAGAGAACAGAAAAAAGAAAAAATGATCTGTTTCTAAATGAGTGGCTCCAAGAAATGGGGAACTTTGGCTTGCATTTACTCAACTAAGTTTCCACTTGCAGACAGCTAACTTGGCTCTACTCTTGATATAGAATATACTTATATTGTAGTAATGGTTGTATCCATATGAAGGCCTTCTGCCTGCAATCTTTCAAATGGCCAACAGAGGGCAAATCCGCAGTGCAAAAGACTGATTTGATTAAACCAGATGGGAACATGAGCCCCTGTCTTACCTTCTGTCTGACCTCTGTAGATATGTTCTCAATGAGATTGTAATCTAAAGGGCTGAGCATGTCCTTCCTACAACAGCATCATGCTAATTTTGCAAATCATAATTCTGAATCTAAAAGAAGGGTTTACCTACCATATCCACTCTCGTTTAACAGTCCTTGGTCTATGTGTTGATGTGGAAATATTAAGTGAACTCTAGTGGTCAGATTTGAGACTAAAATGCCCCTCTACTCATTCCTTACAATGGTGAGGTGATGGTGGCCTTCAAGGACTAGAAGCTCCTTAGATCCCTGATCGGTGTGATCCTTCATTTGTTGTTAAATGCAGTATTAACTTAAAGTGTACAGTAGTTTAAACTGTGGTTTTCAACTTCTGGAATAAAACTTATCCCTTAATTTACTGCAAATACCCCAAAGCTATGGATTTTACCTTCTTAAATGACCACTTCAATAGTAATCAAATGTTTAAGTGTGAGCTTACAGACCTTAATAAATCTCATCAATATCTTCTTTGTCATTTCTGTTCAGCTGGACCTGGACTACAGCTACGATGATTTATCAGACATCGTTCAGTTGGACGGTCCAGCAGACAACTCTGACCTGGAGGAGGAAGAGGGAGTCCCCCTGGAGGAGAACGATTTTCTGGGTATAATCAACGCTGAGGCCATAAAGGCCCTGCAGGAGGGAGATGCAAGCAGCGATGGAAACAGCATCTCATCCAGCAGTGAGAGTGAAGGAGCAGAGGATCATGTCATTGAAGAAGAAGAAGTAAGGAACTTTTGTACGATTGTGTCTTTTTGGTGACTTTAAAATCATCTGTATGGAAACCTCTAGTTGATTTGTGTCTTTTTCTCTTGAATGAAACAACTTCGCCTGAGGAGATCTGGACGGTTGAGCCAGAGATGTCTTTTAGATCCCTTTTTAAAGCTGCATTTTGTTATTTTGTGTTTTGCTCCTCAGGCAGCACACATTTTATTTTCCTCCAATGAAATCGGATCATTAATTTCACATTTAAACATCTTTTTCTACAATGTACTTTCTGCCTCTCAGGATCCTTTGAATTCTGGTGACGATGTGGTGGAGCAGGACATCCCAGACCTCTTTGACACTGACAATGTAATCGTTTGCCAGTATGACAAAGTAAGAACAGTTTAGCTCTCCGCTGCCCTTTAACAAAGCCCTGCGCTGAATACCGAGCGAGCGCCAGACTCCTGACATTTTCTTTCTGCTGCAGATTCACCGCAGCAAGAACCGCTGGAAGTTTCATTTGAAAGACGGGGTGATGTGCTACGGAGGCAGAGACTACGTTTTCTCTAAAGCTGTCGGGGAAGCCGAGTGGTAATGAGCTTTGGTTCTCTTACACACACCAGATAATCATGTTGAGAGGAGGAGAAACTGATTTAAAGGAGAAAAACAATCAGCGTGTTCAGACCTTGGCGGTGTAATTTGGTTCAAGATGAAGGCAGTTAAAACTTCAACTGTTTCATTCTTTATGTAATTATTAGAGCAAATCTGCATCTAATTTAGGATGTTAAAAGACTTTTTTTTTGCAGTTTTACTCGTTGAATTCAAACAGCATGAATTTATGTTTTGCCATAGTTGAAGAAAACAAACTCTGACGTCCTGATCGTGTTGTTTTGAAGGGACCTGTTGTGCTGTTTGATTTCCCAACATTGTAATGTCTTACCTTTGATCGTTCTTTGCTCTGCGCTGCTGTGCCGCATTCATTAAACACTTCTCTTCCTCTGCAACCCTGAACAAAGCGAAGTGGCCTTGCTGACATGATGCTTTATTAAGTGGGAGGGTATTTCTAATTTCATTTTTATAAATCAAACAGCTCCCAGCAGCCTGCCGTATTCACATTAACAAACTCACAAGCACCAGCTGGATTCCTGCAATTGATTAATATACAGCTTTGGTTTGGTCGGACACTAAAGGAGAAGAAAGAAAATGAAGAGCGCTGCAGTAGCTCATAAAAACAGCTCACATAATAATGATCTGAGAAACCTTGGAAATGATTTCACTGCTAATTGCTGGTTTTCGATTTGACATTAGCAGCAATGATTTGCACTCGAACAGGCCTCATGCCCTTCACTTAAAGAGTAAATTGAGTCATTGTTCAACTTGTTCCTTACCTAAAAGCTACGAATGATGCTCCTGCAGTAGTACAGCATGCACACTCCTTCATAGTGTATTCAACAAGGACACAGCGGCATGATTCCAGGTGGTTAAACTCTGCAAGGTCTGCAGCTTGTGCTTTAAACCGAAGCAAACTGTTTCTAAATCAAAGGGCAGATTTCCTCGATGAAATATGTCAACTCCCCGCTACAGATGGAGGATTTGTTGTGCTGCCAAAATGTGATCTGCTGTTTACCGAGCTATGTAAATCAGATGCTTTTTTCCACACAGTTATGTGTTGGGCATGTCCACATTGATCCCCTCGTACACAAATTATCCAAATCTGTGTCAGTCAAACATGTTTATCGTATTCACGGTTTTAGAAAGAAGACGGATATCGAAAAGCAATCACACGAGCCTGGAAACGTGCGTCTGCAAAACTTTTATGCAGATTTACAAGGAGGCTCATGGGCTTTACACAAAACATTGATTCTGTAAATGAGGCCAGAAAAACATGAGTCAAAGTGATTCACAGCACGATTTTATTGTCAAACCGCAGAAATACACTAACAGCAGTCTTTCTTGTTGACCAGATCTCATCTTAAACTCTTTTGTTTCAAGTCTCCCAGTGTAAATATCTCCTGAGTATAACAGACACCGAAAAAAAAAGCACTAAAATTGTTCTCTGATGAGCTAAAATGAGACTTTCATTCAGTTGTTTTAACTTCACAGTTTTTAAACCATAATCTGTAAAGGAGAAGTGGATGTAGCCTCGGCCAGCAGGGGGCGACTCAACAGACTGCAAAAGAGAACAACACCAGACAGGACAAAACGCTTGCTTCTACTTTCATTAACTTCCTCAGTAATGACTCTTTTGGTCTTAATCTCTAGTTTAAATCTTCTTTGATGAAACATTATGAAGAATTTATTAAAGTATTGACCTATTCACTGTAAAACAGGTTATAAAGCAGGGATGCTACAGGGCGAGGCTTTCTTCCTTTTGCTCTGTCAAGCAGCACGAGAGTCTTAGGAATATGTTATCACTGTGTCTGCTCTCTAAATACTGCAGGATTAATATCGTAAATTAAAAAGCTGGAGAAAGCAAGATGCTAATTCAGGGGGGTTACATAAAGGTACATCTAAAAATGAGAAGAACATAAGGTATTAATTTAGCATCTCTATGAAGCATGATGTAGGGCTGGGTGATATGGCCTCAAATCAATATCACGATATATCGAGCAGTTCACCTCGATAACGATAAATGGACGATAACTACTCCACAAGCTGCTCACCCCCTCCCACATTAACTTTGTCTACTTCAGCCACCGCTCAAGCCGCGACAACTTTTGAACCGTCCTCCATCTCCTCACCTGTCTTTCCCTCTTTATTACGGAATCCGACGTAGGACAGCGTCTTAAAGGGGCAAAAGACCATAGCCTACCTACACACATCCAAAACCAACTTTTATTTATTTATTTTTTAACACAGAATATACCTGTATGGGCAAAATGACGTCGGTTATTGTCGTAAATTTCGGTATCAGTAAATTTTCAGTTGATCACCCAGCCCTAATGTCTTAGGCTGTGTTGACTCGAGACTTAAGTAGACCGACAACAAAATCACATAAAGCACCTCAGACTCTGCACCTATCCGGTCTTCCTCCGGACTCTAAGACCTTGATTCTTTCATGAAATGCAAAATTGTCTTTCATCTGTAAAAAGAGAACTCGTGATATTCCATTTTTTTAGGTTGCACCTGAACAAATGAACGAGTCCAGAGTGTCTACATCCACTTCTCATAAAAAGTCTCTGATTCACAGTCAGTTAAGATAAAAATAAATAATCTCTACAAATAAATCACAGTTTCTCACACAAGTGAAGCTGGCTCAGGGCGGCTACGTTAACAAACATGTTTTATTTTGTTCCCATTCTTGCTCCACTGGTCCTTTAAACTCCTTAAAGATCACATCAGAGTTTTTTTTGTCATGTAAACTCTGACACTATCGTAACCCTGTCCTAAATTTAAAGAAATGCTACATATTCAAGCAGGACAGCGTGTTCATGACAGATCAGTCTGCGTTGATGCTCATGTGGCTCCTTTGTTCATAAAGCACCCCTTCATTTTAATGTGGTAGGCGTAAAAGCGCAGCGAGGGAGTTTTTTTTGTGGATTTCTTGTGGGTGGAGTTCAGGTGTGAGGCCAGAGTCTGCGGCCTGTAGTTCGGGTTTGCTTTGCAACAGCCGCAGCGACTCAACAGCTGGCACACGTCTTTCCTGAAGGCTCGGGTGAAGAGGGTGTACAGGAACGGGTTGCAGAGGGAGTTAATGGGGTAAAAAAGGATGAGCAGGATCTTGGAGTGAGACACGGTGATGAGGGGCATACGCAGAGCCCCAGAGATGGCGAAGAAGGAGATGGGCGCCATGCAAACAAAGTCCGTGAAGATGAGCACAGCCATCCTCTTGGCTATCTTGGTGTCTCCGTTTCGGGCGGAGTGCTCCGGGTTGTGGACGTTCAAATAAATGCAAACGTAGCAGAAGCAGACCACCATGAAAGCGGCGACGTTGAGGATGAGAACGGCCACGACGTAAATCTGAGAGCCCAGCGTGTCGATGTCCATGGGCAGACAGATGCTCACTTTGCTGTAACTGCTGACGCCCACCAGAGGGAGGAGAGCCACCAGCAAGGAGAACCCCCAACCGGCCCCCATCATGGCCGCCACATGATGCATCTTCAGCCTTTTATTCACATGCATGGCGTTTGTGATGGTGTGCCAGCGTTCAAGACTAATCACTGTCAGCGTGTACACAGACAGCTCACTGGCGAACACGGTCAGAAACCCTGCCACGCCACATCCGGGCCCCGTCTGCCAGTCTGTGGCGTGGTTGTAGTACTCGTGCCGCGAGTGCTGGTCCATGACGGCGATCAGCATCAGGTAGAGCCCCATGCACAGGTCAGCGAAAGCGAGGTTGCACATGAGGAACCTGGAGATGGTCAGTTTGTGGTGGCTGATGAGAAGAATGATCAGGACAGCCAGGTTACCGCTCACCGCAGAAACGGTGATGATCCAGGTGAGACAGCGCAGGAAGGGGAAACCCAACAGGTCCTCGCAGGGGTTGAACGCATCCGGCTTTGGCGTGCATTTGACGAAGGGGTTGTTGAGGCAATTTAACTCCAGGTCTGGATACTGGAAGTTGATGTCATCGATGACATTCATGCCATCTGTTGTTGGCTCTCTGAAGGAAACACAGAAAAGTGAGATAACAGGAAAAGAGTTTATGAGAATTATTCACATTTATCAATGACACGACTTTATTAATGAAGAAATGTAACTGCTTTATAGAGTTTGTCGATTGACGCAAACAAGGACATGCTGATTAAGAGTGCAAAAAGAGGTTCATCTGTGTTATTTGTGACTCCTCCTGAGAGTTTATTTTTAACTCTGGTGAAGTTTAAAGTCGCCCTGGAGGGAAACAGTGAGAGACTTTGGCTCTGAAGCGACAAACTTCTGTTACATTTAAGAAATTTGGCTCATTGTTTTGTTGTTTACCCAGAAGAAAAAAAAAACATTTTCTCCAATAATGCAAAATATTTACACTATGATGATTGCAAGTCAAACTTAATTGCTCACCTGAGATTTATTTGTATTATTTTATTTGAATTATTTGTAAAAACATTCTTAGACAAAATTCTTATTTTTTTCTGTTTCGTATTGTTCGTCAGCGCCTGTTTTGGATGTATGTTTGACCTTTTGATGGTGATTTGATGGTGACGTCAGCTTTTGCAGATTGTTTGTGGGTCGTTTAAAGATGGCTTCCTTTTTGCACACTACAATTTTAAGTGCATTTATACAGCGACAGAATGTGTTCGAAGACTCAAATCACTAAATAAGTTCCTCACACAGTCTCTCACAGAGCTGTTAAACCTTTTTCCATCTTTTCCTCTGTTGTGCTGTTGTTATACTCAGACTAAGGCTGCAGGATTTTGGCCTAAAAGGAAATCTCGATTTTTTTTTTTTCTCTGAAAACTTGATTTTCAACTTCGATTTTTTTATTTAGTGACAACTTCACCAAACTTCACTGTAAAAATAAAAAGGCTTTCTATCATCTCTTTAAACGGAACCAATGAAAACGATGTCGTTCATATGCCAAGCCAGTAAGTGGCGCTATGATGCTGCTCTCGGAAATGCACCAAAAGATAGAAGAAGAAGAGTACAGAACATGCATATACGCTGTGTGTGACGAAATCCTTTCAAGAGTGACGCGAATAGGCATCCACATGAAGACAAAAAGAATGTCGTTTACTGATTTGTGCACTCTAGGACCCGTTTTTAAAAAGTATCGTGAACAGTCACGCCGTTTCTGTGTGGATATGACAGAAAAATTTTGCGTTTACTCCTAAATTTTGTTTCTGTGTGGACAGGGTCTCAGTTATGTTACTAACTTAATTCAAGTTAAGTCAGTCCAGTAGTCCAGAGATGTAGTGTTTTTGTACATATGACAGTGTTTTGTTGCCCCTTTCTCAGCTACTTGAAGTAAGCAAATGCTGTATTTTTCATATAGTAATAACTTTTTTTAGTGTCAACATTTGGCAGCTAGTTCAAACACTATTTTCAATCAATTACAGGCTTTAACTTCTTTCAGTGTCCTGATTCTTGTGATCAGTTTACTAATTTAAACTTAGTTTTACCCTCCTTGACAGTGAAAATGCTACATCACCAAACATCATCAAACTGTTTTGGAGAAAAGAAGCTGCGTGTATAAGAGTCAAAAGTCTGCAGAACAATATAAGTATTGAATTTTTTTAACACTGAACCAAAAATTGCAGCCTCATTCCTCACCCCAGAAAAACTGTGTTATCTCTGGGCGAGAAGAAAGTTACTTACATTTCAGTTTCGCTGAAATCACAAAACTTTGTGAAGTTCTTTGGAGCACTTTCCCTGGAAAGGAATCAAGGAAAGGTTAGACCGAACAGAAATCGATAAACTCGGCCGCTAATGACCAAACTTTCTGATGATCTGTATTCAGAAGACCCAGCATTGCTCTTTATGCAGATGTGAATGGATTAATTCATCTCCAGGAGCGCTTACCTTTGTTTCCGCCGCCATGTGTGGAAGGCGCAGCAGTGGCTGGGGTATGTGAGCTCGGCCTCCAGCAGATCAGAGAGGCTGTCCAGAGGAGGGAGGGTCTTCAGAGCAAAGGCAGAACTGGCTTTGAGAAACCTCACCCCCCTCAGGCCTTTAGGGGGGAGAGAGCTCAGAGCTGTCGAGGAAACATCCCTGAATCACACACACAGAAAGCAGACGGTTCGGTTACCACAAAGAGCCACAAAGACAGAAGTAGAGTTAAAAATGGAGGTTATTTTCAGGGTTTGGGATTTTTATCGTCTGGGGAGCATCATCTTTCCCCTGAAGTTCTGCTCAGTATCACAGCTAAGTGTTGATATACATGAAAACTTGCTGATCTGTCACTTTTTAGTTTATTATTGCACAGAACAAAGCCGGGCTGTTAAGACAGCATAAACTGCGTGCGTTGCATTCTGGGAACCTGCATGAATTTAGTTTATGATGCAGAAAACTAACCCGTCCTTTAGTCTGTGTCCTCTGATTGTTTGCTTTCTGTTCCAGGAAATATGAACACTTCAAATCTGACGGTGTAGATCATGCATACAGTGAAATAATAATCAAGGCGCAGCAGCTACAGGCTCCTCTGAAAGATATTTCATGCTCGGTCCTGGTTTCCTGACGAATCCAATTTTACAGTGCGGAGAATCTGTGTAATTATGGTTTTTTTAGACAGTGCAGTTGTTACTTTAGAAACAAACCAGACACCAGGAGCGCATGGAGAGGTACAATAAATTTTCCTCATGATTTAGTGGGGTCACTTCTGCAGCTTCGCCCTTTTGCTGCTTTTGCAGAAGTATTGTTTGCTCTGCTGTAATAACTGTTTGTTTTTTTCGCTACTTACCAGGCAGGCTATATTCAATACTTGATTCTGATTGGTCAAAACCCTTTAACTGTTATTAACCCCAAATAACGAGGACACAGCTGGAGGTGATATCTAGATAATAAGACCCTCTGCTTATCAGGGTCTGATCTCACCCTGTTCGGATGCTATTTTGCATAACCACCATGCTAATGAAGAAATGGAAAAAACTGCAGTTCCTCAAGTGTCCACTAGAGGCTGGCTGCCAAAAACCTCAACAAACCAATTCGGTCCTTTATGAAAAAGACAATTTTTACAACAGAATCAAACATGTTTACAGCCTCAAAATCATTAAAACCCAATTTTTAACCAAAGATGCACAAAGACAACATCTAAAAATATTAAAACTGAGAAAATTGATCACATTTGGAAAACTATATGCTTGTTTTTTACATTTCAGGCCTGGCACAACTTTCTATGATTTTGAAATGGACTGTGTTTCTTAATGTCAGAACACTGTGCACCAGCAAATCAAACAGTGATCTTTAACCGTTCACAGTGTAGTGAAGTCAAAACTATTGAGCTTGATCTATGTGTTTACTCCTGCAGTGTGATATAATGGCAGAAAAGCTGTTTTTTTTTTTTACTGCAAATTGACTGAGTATAATCCCCGACATATGGACTGGGCCTCGGTAGAGTGAGCATTTCCAACATGGCGCCTCTCCAGAAACCAGTTGGTGACTTTACAGAGAAGACATATGCTATAGAGACGACAGTTTTGTTGAGCTGGTTTGTGTGACAATGACAGCAAGTCGCTAAAGTCAACATTTCTTTATTGGACATCAGTTTCATTTTCATAGATTTTCAGAGTTGGTCTTTCCTTCCAGAAGAGACGTTATTTTTTGTTTTGTTGAGGCTGTTTCTGCTGAAACAGTTGAATCTCCCAAAAGTGTTTAACTAATTCCCTTCACAGCCAAGTCTGATATTGTATTTTTTACATATTCAACAAGGCAACGAATAAATCAAGCACATTTTCAAGGTGATGCATATTCATTCCAGAAATGCTTCATCTGAAAGTCTAGTTTTGTTTTAATTGACATTTACCAAAGACGGCCTTCATTTCATCCGAAGCACATTTCCTCTCCACTCAGCTCCCTCCTATGATTGGATTATTTTGAACCTGACATCAGTCACATCTTAAAAAGGTACCCAGAAGTACCACACTGGACCTTACGCAGACTAAAGGAAGACCTTTAGCATTTCCTTCATGTCTCTGTGAATAGCACACAGACCAATTCATATCCAAGATAAGAGCAAATTTCATATCTCTGGCTCAGGGTTTCTTGCAATCAGAGACCTTGTAAGCTGTAGTCTCTGCAGTCTGGGCTGTTTGTTCACTAATCAGTATTCTGCAGTCCAGCCTGCCGGGTTGGTTGTTTACACAGACAAGCTGTCACCGCCCTCATGTTTATACAATACAATGATAAACATTGTTATGAATATTAATCTGGCTTTACTGACCCAGAGCCAACATGGCCGCCTTAATGCTGTTGAAACAAACAAACAACAAAAGATAAAGACGATTGTCTCTTATCATGCTTGACTTTGACACAATCATTTATTTCCTGTTTATGGATTCCACCATCTCATCTGTAGAGTATGAACTTTTGAGAGACTGATTTATTTCTACAGATGGTGAGAAGTTGCCAAGTGTATTAACTCCTAAACAATATTTAGGTGCAGTTTTTTTACAACCTCATTTGCAAAAAAATCTGTCACTGGATAAACAAAAACAGTCTGGTGATTTGCAAAACTCTATATTTAATTGAAAATATCACAACAACATATGTTTTACAATGCTTTACTGAGAAATGTAATTGTTTTTGGAAAATTGCTCTATTAGGCAAAAACTTGGACTTTAAGTTTGTAATATAGAATTGCAATAAAAGCCTCAAATTTCATCATCTATAGCACAAAACTTTAGTGAAAGGTTTTAAAATACATGTCTGTACGCAAGGTACAAAGTTAAAAAAAATTAATGTGTTTCTGAATGTTGAAAACTGCATGACTCTGAAGTGGAAGTCGCTGCATGAGATCCAAATTAATTCCAAAATCCACAGTCTGTGAACACAATCTGTTACCATGGCTACAAGGAGAAAGGGAGGACAGAGGAAAGATAGGAGGGAGGTAGGATAGAGGGAAGATGAGAGGAGGAGGGAAGGAAGGATAGAAGGAAGACAGGAACTAAGAAGGAAGGGAGGAAAGAAGGAAGGGGGGGTTAGGAACAGAGGGAGAAAAGGAAGAAGAGAGGGAAAGAAAGAAGGAAGAGTGGAGGCAACAAAGCAAGAAAAAGATGGGGGGAAGGAAAGAAGGAAGGAAGGTGGGATGGAAGGAAGGAGGAAAAGAAGGCACCAAGGAAAGAAAGGAGGTAGGAAGGTAGGAAGGAAGGTATGAAGGTTGGAAGAAGAGCCCCGGCCTGTTTTCATTTCAGACTTTTCTCTAGTTTAAAGTTTTTGGTAAATTGAAACATAAAATTTAACAAACTATTGAGCAGCTGAAAGGTGACGAATAAAAACAGTCCATTCTCGAAATCACAGGAAATTAAATTCTCTAAAAGAAATAAAATTTCTCAGTTTTATTGTTTGAAATGTTTGTTTCATTTTAGTTAAATTTGTGGTGTCTAAATTTTGAAAATCACTGTGTGTCTGTCCTCGGTTTAAATTTCCCTCATCTGTCCTGGAAAAAGGATTTTTTTTTAAATGGTGTAAATTTATTGACGATATTTAAACCACAGGAAAAATTTTGACTTTGTGACTCTTATTTAGCATGTTGTCATTGTACAGATGCAGATATCACTTAGAATCATGTAGTCAGTTTATAAAACATAATGCATACATATCTGAGGGTGATGTTGCCTAACAGCGTGTCCTACAGTAGCCCTACATTGATGTATCTCCTAATAACACATGAACACGCAACATGTTAACACTTTGTTGTATTATCAAAGAGAAAAAATGAACTTAAGATTTTAAAGCTTTTACAAAGAGTGGGGGGAAAGTTTTGGGAAAGTTTTAGGCTACTCGTCGGCAGTATTTATAAACTGAAATTATTCATAATCACTATTTTTCCTGTGCCGTTTTCTGCGTCATAGTTAATATTTTTTTTTCAGCAAGGTCTTGGATCTGTTTTGCTTTCAAAAAAGCTCTGAAAAAAATTGACTTTTGGTTGGTAGCTGTTGATCATAGTTGGGTCAAACATATTTGAGGGCTGTTCCTTGAAAGCAGCTGTGTGCTTCTGTGTACAAAACACATTGGGTACCTAAACAGCAAAGTTTTGGTTTTTTAATCTCTAACAGTGAGGAGAAAGACATATTAATGTTCCGCAGACCTGAGGGGAAAGGCGTCAAAGGTGTTATTGAGCTTGAATTTCTTTTACTCACAGAAAACTTGGACCGGTGGCTCCTTCAAAAGTGTCCTCTTGGATGTTACTGAGAAATCTGTTGTCTCTCAAAATTCTGCAAAATACATAAAACACAGTTTTTCTACAAGTGACCTTTGGTTCAAACAGCATTTCTGCAGTTAACATGCAATAGGAATGAAAATTTAAGTTGACACTTTAATGGCCAACAATGCCCCGAACCATTTTTCATCTACTTTTCATTTCCTCAACTTGACACAAAGAAAGAGAGGAGTATTATTTTTAGACTGCATGGTGTCTGCACATATCTCGTCCCCATCGATACTCAGCAGTTCGGGGCAAAGCTGGAAAACAACAGGGCATCCAATCATGTTTAGTCTTACATAACTCTTGTTTACTGGTACACTGAGTTTTTATGATTAGGAGGAAAGAGACCTTAAACCTTCACTGTGTCAGTGTGTCGTGTTGCTGTTGGTGTGACATGAAAGAAGACTCAATTATGAAAAATGCTTACAGCGTGTTGAGCTTGGTGCCGTTAAAAGCATGCGATCTTATTTCTTTGAAGCCGTTTCTGACCAGGTTCCTGTCAAGGACACGATGTTATAAGCGTGAGTTAGTGGTGAAAAGCACTTATCACCAAGGTCAAAGAACTGAACATCCAATTACATAAGTATACGGAGACAAGTCCAAACACATTCCTAACAAATGGCGACAATTTGTAGCTCCTGGGTCTGATAATGAGGTAACAGAGAGAATTTGGCTCCTGTACTCACATGTCAACATATCCCTCTGTGATGCCCTGGAAAGAATTGGCAGGAATAACGTCTATCCTCATGTTTTCTGCCATTTCTCTGCACACAGAGGAGATAACATTCACTCGGGCTGTTTGGCTGATTTATCAGTTAGACAAAATTATGCATATTCAGAAAAAAAGATCTCTTTGATGAACTGTGACCCAGTTGGAGGATTTGCGGTGGGTTGGTGGCATCGTGACATTGAAAGATAAAAGTGAAACCAGGCTTAAAATAAACAACTTGGGTTCTACTTTGAGATGCACGATGACAAATATGAAGTTGTGTAGAAAGATGCCAATCCAGTTAAAAAAATACACTATTTTTAAAAATGCAATTACTTACAGGATAACATTCGGCACCAGGGAAGAGATAGTCGTGAAGTCTGGGAGGTGTATCAGTCCTGTGTTAGAGATGCTCCTGTAAAGATGAGAAAGTGAGACAAATGATCACACTCAGATAAGCACAAATCGTCAAACAAGATATCAGAGTCTCAGCTAGTAAAGAAGAATTTCAGTATGAGCTGCAGAAACTATTAGATTACAAATTAGATGTGATTTTTCGTGTCATGTCTGCGACGTAAATTAAACTTTTATTTTCTCTAGTATGACTAGCAGTAACAAACGTTGGATGTGCATGTTTTCTTTTGAACATAGAAGTCGTTGATGTAAATCTTAGAAATTTTCAAATTCTCATTAAAAATATTAAATATTGGTTTGAAGCGAATCAGTTGCTGCACTTAAAGCTCCTGTGAGCAATTTTATGACATCTAAGAAATGGACTTAAACTCATACTGTTGCCTTTTTATAAATTGCAAAAGCAAACAGGACCATCAAAGACATGACTGATGATTTTTTAGACATAACTTTGAATGCCTGAAACTGGTGCAGAGGGGGTCGGTGTCAGCTGAGTAGCTAAAGAAACAGCCTTGTCTTTACAATTTCCATATAAAATGCACTACATATGATAAATCTGACGATGAAAAGTTGGAAGAATTAAATTTTTTCCATTCTTACATCAGCAAGTAGAAGACAATTAAAGCAAAGACTGTTTTGTCCACAGGGGGCGCCAAAATAGACACAAACCTAAAGTTCCTCACAGGAGCTTCAAACAACTTTTTTTTAAATGACTTTTCTGCGTATTAGTATTGCGTTTAAACTGTGCATCGCAACAGAAATTCTTACTAGTCTCTTCTTGTCGAATGCGTTTACAAAATTTTGCATAAGCTTGAATTATTACAATGACATGATTAGCTAGAATGCCCAGCAAACCGCCCAACTTCCTGGTTTCCCCTTTTACTAAAATTTGACCTTTATCATCCTTCCTGTACACTGATGTGATACCACTGACATGTGCACTTGGGTTGCTTTACCTTCAGTGCTCAGAATTAATAGCTGTTGTAAAGAGTGTTTGGACCAATCAGAATTGAGCATTTGAATGATTAGATTCTGTTGACTAAAGCAGGAATCTAACCAAAATTTAATGGAGCATTTGCTGTGATGGCAGCAGTGTTGCGTTCATGTTTACATTCTACAGTCCTGTGTTAAACTTAAAGTGACGTCAGATCCACGCTAATCATTAGTTAAAATGACGCTCTCAGCATCTTAACCCAACTATTTTACCTGCTGATAATAAGTTATAACAGTTTAACCAAAAGAAAACTTGGCCGACCTCCTGGTCAGCTGGATTTAAGTCAACAAATGTCAGAGTAAAAAGAGCGGCTTACAGATACTCCAGCTTTGGCAGGTCAGTGAAGGCCCCCTTTTCAATAACCCTCAGACTGTTGATATTCTTCACCAAGCTGCGGGGATAAATTTGAGGAAATGTTTCAGTAATTATAATATTGTTGTCAGTGGCTGTCAACAAACAAACACGGAGCAGCCCATTGGTACATCAGCCGCTCTGAAAGTCAAGGATTAAACATGCCGCTTTGTAATTGAGCGACTAATCCTGTGAAACTTCAATGAAATGCAAAACACATACCAGCTGTTCAAATAAATAATTGCTTTCATCGTGCGGGCGTAGTTTGACGTGTAATAGGAGGTAGCGTGTCACTTACATTTGAGCCAGACTGTGGAGGGAAATGAAGGCATGTCTCTTTATCTGCCTGATGCAGTCGCTCTGGGAAATCTCACTGTAGAACAAAGAAATGGCTTCACATCAGTCAACAGATTAACTGAGTCTGTAAACAAATTACATCTTGAAATCTCTCGGTTCAAGCTAGAAAATGCAGGATTTTACTGAAGCAAGTATGAAAGCTTCCAAAAATCTGGAGTGGAGAAATGAGCTGCGTTTATGATATCAAAAATAAGAGTTTACTTAAATCTCTGCTTGTGTAACAGGCTTAGTATTAAATGCCTGTAACTGCTGGGGATAGCCCTCAAAAGGAAGTGACTGATGGCCTCTTTTCTCAGAGATAATGAGATTATATCAGTAAACACAACTTGCACTCGTACAGAAGAGCAGTAAAGAGTTACAAGACATCACTTTGTCCAGAGAGGGCGCCAAAATGAAGTCTAACCAAAAGTTCCTCACATGAATCTTATCCATCTCAATTTGTTGTTGTGGTTATTTTCCAAGAAGGTCCAGTCTTGAAATAATTTACCATTAGTCTTGTTTGTCAGACAACAATGGCACATGGGAATTCATAATACAGTTTCTAGCTGTCCTTTGTATTTCTTTCTATGTAATATTGTTTGCTTTCTTTGTTTTCTATTTGCCAAGTGTGAAGGCCAGTAAATGTGTGCAGCACTTTAGCTCAGGACAAATGTCCCTGGGGGGATCATATCGTATCGTATCGTATCGTATCATATCTTAACGTATCGTATCGTATTGTATTGTATCTTAACGTAACGTAGCATAACGTATCGTAAGGTAATGTTACATAACGTGACATAACGTAACACAACGTAATGTAACATAACGTAACATATCGTATCGCATAGTATCAAATTGTCTGGCATCGTCTTGTAGTCTATTGTATTGTATCATTTTGTATCAAACTGCATCTTGTCGTTTTGGACTGTGTTCTATTGTAAAGGATCGGACCAGACTGTATCATATCAGACTGTACAGTACCATATCGGACTGGATCATTTCCAATCAGATTGGATTATATTACATTGTAAAAGTTCCAATAAGATAATATCGCACTCAATGGTATCGTATCATATAGAATTGTATCGTATCTCAGATGTTAGGATAAAATTTCAGGTATTATCACATCAGATAGTATTGTATCACAGTCTTGCATTACATATTAGATAGTAATGTATCATATTGAATGGTATTGTATTGTATCATATCAGATTGTACGGCAATGATGGCATCCATTAAATAGTTGTGCCAGGTCAAACCAGCGACTGCTGCAAAAAGAACTACAGCCGTAGTACATGAGGGCCCCGCCTTAACCATATGGCCTTGAAAACCCCATTTGTATTAAAGTACTTGAAACTGAATATGATATTCATAAGTATGTTTAAGTGAAGGAATAATCAACTGAATTTATAAATGCCTGTTTTTATAAACTTTTTTATCTTGTCCTGCCATGTAAGGAAAGAACACACTTATAAACTTACGTATTTAGTGAGTGGACACGCAGTCATGGCATGCTCAGGTAGATGGACAAAAAAGATGAGAGTGGCTGTAGTGTCATTAAAAATTAATACTGATAGATGTTTTTGATACTAAAAGTGGTGGATTGCACTAATGAACTCAGAAGCTTTATGTCCCTAAATGACACCGACACCTTAGGGGAGCATTTCACTCTAGAAACTAGCTGCATGACATTGCTCGATATTCCCATTTCTCTGCACTGCACCTTTAAGAAAGTTATTATGAATTTTTGTTTCAAATAGTTTTAACATTTCTAAGTTTTGGATTTCTTTCTTTTTAATAAACTTTCTTTAAAAATAGGACGGAGCTGATTGATATCAGGACACAAACCAAGGGGAATATGAAAATACTACCTCCAACATTTATGCTTCTAGGACGCTCTGCACTCACATGCTTCACCTCATGTTTGGAAAAACTCCAAACATATATCAAGGATGCATCTGGGGCAGGAAGACTGAGTGAAGATGTGTTTTAAAGGAGGACATAACAAAGACCTTCAGAGACAAAGTCAACAAGACTTCTTTATGTGTCCTTGAACACTTTGTTTTCTGATTGAGGCAACTTGGTCTTCAAAGCCACCCTTCTTCTACTTTTTCATAATCTGTCACTCTCTTTAATCAGACCACAATTTTCTTAAACTAGCATCTCTCTTCTTCAAACAGAGAACAATTAAATGACACCATCTGTGCTGCTTACATTATTTTCCTTTCTTTCTTGTACTCGCTTCTAATTGCATAATGTATGGTGCCATAATTACAGCTTTTTCACATCTTCGTCCAGGAACGATTTTCAGTTTGCGTCATCAGCGAGCTCTTCTTGTCACTCTACCTTGACACAGGTTTTATTGGCCTACTTGCACCGTAGCGTCGCAGCTTTCGGGACTGTAACCCCTTTTAAACTTCCAACTTGTTTTATCTGTAAGTATCTGAGGCTGATAAGACTCGTCCCTGAGGAGCGGAGGGAGGGAGCAAAGTCAGACAACAAAAAGCCAATTTGGAAAAGATTTCGCCACGAGCTGAAAATCGTTATCAGCGGTGATGTATTAATTAAACAGTGAAGCCCATTCGGGATAATGTCAGTGCTTTAGGACAGAGTGTGAAGAGGCTGTAAACACGATAAAAATGAGACCTAATTAACCACTGATTAAGATGAAAAGAGGTTATATTTTGGCTTTGTCTGTTTTTAGTAAGATGTATCACCCAGCTGTAATCAGATTTTTCTTAAATTTATAACCCTGATAGTCATCTCATCGAGGGAACAGCTGATTACTTTGGGGTGGTGATATTCCTAATCTGCTATTTCATCATTTAACAGCAACAGTGTGACACTTCTTACAGCTCTCTTCCCTTACAAATATCTGTTCCCACTCAAACCATGACCTTACTGTCTCTATTATTGTACCTGTAGAGTCATGGGTGTCAGGTAAACAGCTAAAGCGAGAGCTTTTCACACAAGTACGAGTTCACTTGATCATAATAAAAAAAATATTCTATTTAAAAATTAGTTTGACCTTATGTGCACACTTTTAATTTGATAAACTAGAGATGTCTGCTTTAAAACCACTTCACAGTTTATTCTTTATTCTTACTATTGCATGCCTGAAATATTGGGCAAATGTTGTGCCTAAGTTGCAGCACAGCCACCTGCCTCTAGGTGGGGCTGTAGCTCTGTCTAAAGACAAGTGCCATGTCTCAAAAATTATCTACTACCTGCATGTAAATGAGCACAGATGACATCTTGCATTCCAGCCAAGTTTTGACGTATCCTGATCTAGCAAATAAAAAATAAAGTCGTACAAAGGCTCCGTCTCGTTAAAGCTCCTGTGAGAAACTTTCAGTTTGTGTCATTTGGCGCCCCCTGTGGACAAAGCAGTCTTTGCTTTTCTTGTCCTGTACAGGCCTAATCTGCTGTGACAATCAAATTTGTCATTTAATGTGAACAACTTCAAAGAAAAATGTAAAAACGGCTGTTTTTCCAGCTGCTTGGCTGACACCTACCCTCTCGTTCAGGTTTCAGACTTAATTAAGAACAAAATGAATGATCTTTATGTTGCAATTTTTCGTCTTATTTGCTTTTATATGTCATTAAAGGCATCTGTATGAGTTTCAGGCTATTTCATAAATTTCAAAAAACGTCTCACAGGAGCTTTAAACTGGTATAAAATCATTGGTAACCAGGGCAGGTGTGCAGACGTTAAGCTGAGGGACAAAACGCTGTTGGTGCTAGCTCTGCTAATGTTAGCCACACTTACCCAAACACTCTTATTTACTTGGAGACTTTCTCATCCTGTGTTGAACTTGTGCTCGATTATCTGAGTTTTTAACAACTTTCAGAAAAGCGAGCTAGTTAAGAATGTCAATTTTCATCTTAACTTCTAGTAAATTAGTAGTTTTCTGACATCCTTGATGGAGACACTGGGTGATTTCTCAGATAAATGTCAAATATTCTCACTATAGACTGTTTTTGCTTTAATTGTCTAAGAAAGAAAAGACAGTAAATACCCTGATTGCATTGGCCCCATATGAAGGGGAACATATTTTAACAGCTTTGAAAAAATTAATGTGGTGAAAAGTTTTTTTTTAAGCACATTCATTGCATTTTCCTGCAGACTTATTTGCATTTTTATCATGAAAAAATTAAATGTTTCAGATAATTTAGCTGTAGTTAGGATTTATATTTGTCTTACATGTACTTCAGATTGGTTGTATGTCATTATACTGACTGATGTATATTAAACTGAGTTTTAAGAGTGAGCCATAATACTTCCTCATGGTTTAGTCAAAGCTGATATGTCTCTTCAGACTATCCCTGCTCCCTTTTTCCAAGTTAAACCAACTTTAAGGCCAAATTTATGAACATGTGATGAATACTATCTTATTAAACAAAAGCACGAGGAAAGTGTGAGGTAACTTACATCATTGTAATGTTGATGAGCTCCTTGAAGGCATGAGTGGGAACTTCTTTGAAGCGAAGCTGAGAGAGCCACCTGTCAGATTTAAGTTCAGAAGAGAAAAAATATAAGGATGTCACAAGTTGGTTTTGCTTTAAACTTATTGTAAGTTGCAGTTTGTGAAATGAAAAGCTGAAATATGGAGCTACAAGAAGAGTCCATAAGAGCACCAGAAGAGGCTCATTTAGACCTGGTCCAGGAGTGTCACAGAGGTTCCACTCAGCAGCTATTAACCCTGAAGCTAAAAAGCTGTGTTACTCACAGTCGAGGCACGGATTTTGGTCGTGATGGGGAGGCCAGCTGAGTGTCTCTGCTGCACTGAAAGGTGTCCGAGCTGCAGCGGCAGATGGTTGGACAAGTGTGCGCCCAGCAGGAACGCGCGCTCCACACACTGGACAGCGCGAGCAGGAGCCAGACCACCCGGAGAGCCATAGGTGACACCGGGCCACTCACGAAAAAAAGGGTCACCTACTCTGCTAAAGCTCCTCGGAGTAATTATAAAAAATAAGAAAAACTCTCGAAAACACACGAGATAATGGCACGCTCTTTTTTTGTTCCACCTGCGCCCTCAGTGAGTTTGAAAAGCTGCTGTTGCCTTCAGGTGCTGTCGTAAATGTGAGTTTGCCTCCCGCGAGGAAGAGCCGGTAAAGTGAAACCGTGTAACTGTTCATGAGTGAAATATAGGCGGACTTTAGTTTGACAGCTGAGCCGCACAAATGTGACGTTTGGTGGGTGGAGACCATGACAGCATGTCAGAAAGGCTGCTGCTGTTAAAATTAGTCAGCTGAAGTCATACTTTTGTGTTGTTTTTGTGTGTTTTGTAAAGGGCCTGCAGGATAAATCACTTCTCAAAAAGAGGCTTAAGGAGTTTTATACTGACTTTTAGATTTCTCACTCATATTTTAATGCCTGTTCATGACCTGTGTTGTAAATTAAGCTCAACAATGGTTAATCATAGCCTCAAGAATTTTAGTTAAGGTCCTTTCACACTGGGAGCGTTTTTTCGTGCCATATATTTGCGTCGTTCCCCGTGAGTAAAGACCTTAAGCCTGTCTATTCAAATTTAGAAATTAATTACACGGAATATAAATATTTCTCCCTGCTGGTTGCGATGTTAACATGTAGTTACTGTAAGATTGGTTTGTGCTCAAGTCCTCGGAACCAAGTTGTCCATAGTATATACAGTCCATGGTCAGGATACCAGAACTGTGACGAGTTATCTTAAATGAATATATCTGTTCAGGTTTTTTAAGCTTACAGTAATAAATCAGACTTGATGAAGTTTTGTAGCTGTTGACATTCATTTACTTTTGAGAGAGCCAGATCTTTATTGGGTGACTGGAGAAACATAGGAAAACCCTGAACAGTCATCAGGATCAACTCAACATAAAAAGTCCTCATGATGCTCTAAAAGTAGGCAAAAATAGTCTCTGTGTGACTCTGTGAGATATAACAAATGTGTTTGAACTGCTCCTGGTCTCCCCTAGTTTTATTCATGGGAAAATAAGAGAGAATAAAGTTACTCAAACTCTCCTCAGGTGCTCTCTGCCTGCTCCACAATAACTGTCCCTCCATTAGGTTACAATAGTGCCAGCACTGCTGGTGCTCAGATTAAACAGACTTGATGAGTTTCATTGTTGTCGACTTAACTCCCAAACATTCAAATACTGCCAACAAACCTTTTTCTAATCCCTGATTTAACCAGAAATGAGCGACTCGGGTTATGGTGTTATGTTTGCCAGAACACCATGTGCTTTTTTTTATTGAGTTTGTTATTCATGTCCTCTAAAATGATCTCTGCTCCATTCTCCTGATATGCAGAATAAGACTGATGTTAACTGTGTTTAATGCAGTAATACTTCAACATTATGCATGCAAAAGGACCAGCAATCACTATTTACAAGGTGATGGAAACATAACTTTACATGTGCACTCGAAGGCGTGACAACCAACTCTAACTGAGGCTGCAAATCAAAGCGTATGAAACATTATTGGCTTATTTAAATGCATATTAAAGACAAGAGAGACAAGATAGTTCAACAGCTTTCATGATGCTCCATTTAAAAAAGCCAAAATAGTTAAAAAATATAACATTAGAGCCATTTCTCCTCTTTTTTTTTTTAATTACAACTGAGGTAGCTGCAAAAGCGTTAATAACATGTACCTGTAACCTGTCATGATCTGCAGCTAAAAACCTCTTAATACCATATTTTCAACTCCGAAATTTAATTCACTTAGGAAAGGCAGTGAATCGTGAGTCCACGTACAAGAGTGTACTTTGTCAGTATGATGCTGTTTGTGTTTCTCTTGTAACAGGTTGCTCTGCCCCCTTTTAACTGCGTCTCAGGCAGGATGCTTCTGTTTGTTCTTCCACTGGAAAACCCTTTTAATTGGCCGACCTGTCAACCTGGGAGGAGTGAAGTGAGGGTCAAAGTGCTGCAGCTTCACTCATTTAAAAATTTGCTGGAAATCTCAGACACTTCATAAGCTGCCTGATTTAATAGGATTTAAAGAGTATATATTTACAACACCAGCACTTAAATACCCCAGGAACCTCTTATAAATATTACAACACTTAAGACACGCTTGTTTAAAGTCTTCGATGATACCCCTGAGGCTTTGTATTGACTCCTTTCTGCAGACTGATGCAACAGGAGTTGGTCCTCCAGAGTTTGAAATCGTGACTGCTGTTGTATCATCCACTGACATTTCAGTGGGCTTTTTATGCATGCAGGAAAAGTCTGGACCGTAACACAATCTGTGGCGATGCAATTCTGAAACCCATCTGCACTCATCGACTGATAATCGAGCTTTAATTTATCTCAATAAACACAACTCTGCATGCAAGTGCACAAGCTGCTAAATGTCCCCGAAATCCATCTCCAATCTCAAGTTGCAAGTCGGACAGTAAACAATGCAGTGCAGAAAGAGGAAAGTCTCAGACCAGAGGTGTTTTTACTGAGAAACTGACGACACCAGAAGACTTTAAAAGTTTTACTTTTAAGACAAAAGTCCATGGGCTCTGAGATTAGTAAGAAATGTAATCTGGGGGAAAAGTCTGTGAGGAGTAAAAGAGAAATGATGATTCTTTGTTTGCAAAACTGTGCACTCAGGGCACTTATTCTGCAGTTCTTATCGCGAAGAGGAACGACTGGGTGCTAATAGACTTGTGCCTCATACAAGCCAAAAGATTACTTTGAGTTTCTTCTCGTTTCCTCATATTTCCTTTTGCATCCTTGAACCTTTTTTGCTTTTCTCAGTTTTTAAATTTGAGCATTTAGTCAGAGCTGTGATTCTACGTGCTGTAATTGAGTATTTAAACAACAGCATAATAAGGAGACGGCTAATAGACTTTTTGCCAGATTTGGCTGCTCCAGACTGAGCCTGGGGCCTCCCCAACCCGCAATCCTAAATATCAGACATGTCTGATATTTACAGCCTCAGGTTGGACTTCCTGCAGTAACCTTTGAGAGGAGCAGACTGGGAAGTGTCACCATCCAGATGTTGCACTCATTCACAGCTTGCAAACATGCAGACATGCTGCAAAAGGTTGGAGCCTCATCTATCTATATTGTCCTTTCACCAGGGCAGCCAGCTGATGGTGCCCGTCATCCTCCATGTTTGTTTTCTGAAGTCATGGTTTACCATGCAAGTTTTTGTGAGATCTTGACTCTGTGAAATCATTGCCACAAATCTTAAAGGGGTATTCCAGTGTTTTTGAAATTAGATTGTAACTGGGAATTTCCACCACATCCGGAACGGCTACGAAAAGGCCGTATCCGCCGATAGTAGCCGATCATAACTATTCAAGTTCCGCCGCGGATCGCCGGACTCCACAGCTGATTGCATGAGTTGTTTTTTTTTCCAGACACCGGAGCATGCCGGATAAAGTCAGCACAGATCAACCCGTGCTGGAAAGGAAGCCGGTCACAGACATAAAATAAAACATCCGGCTTCCGAAACAGGCGGACTCTGTGTTTCAGGCGGACCGTGTTTCACACCATGCAAACGGGCGGAGATGAACAAGTGAAAGGTTTTCAGACAGCATTTCACCCCGATGACGGCTTGACGGCATATATACACGGGTTTGTGTAAACTAAAACTTTTCTGAAAACGTAGTGGTGTGCACGCAGGGTGAAAGTCCGTTTGTGAAAATAGCTGGGCACGTGTAAACGAAGATGAGGGCTTGTAACAGAGTCTCTCAAAATAAGCTTAATTATTCAGCGGAGTTGTTCCCGTCAGTTGCTTAATTAGCATCTTATTTCTCCTAGTACACTTCTTATACAACCTCAGTTCAAAAATTCTGAACTATCCCTTTGATTATGTGTGTTTCAGCAGTAATGTTGAAATCAGTCTGAACCGTCCTTTAGTGTGTGGTTTTCCAAAATATATTAAAACTGATCAAGACATAAAAGTTGGGCAGTGTGAGGCCAGCTGAACAAAATAGTGTTTGTTTTGATAATAAACTCCAGTAAAATATTGACAATAACACATTTTTCCAACAATATCTGCTCTTACCACATCTTATATAACAACAAGAGACGGGACAGCGACCAGCTGTTGTCACATTTTCACCAGCATGTCAAAGAAAAGCTGCGTGTCACTGCCGTCCTCAGCTGCATCTCTTCTGCTGTCTGACCCCGTTTACCACGCTCTCATCCACATCATCCTCCCCGCCAGGGTGACCCGTGTCAGCGGAGCAGCAGCACCTTCTTTCTAACCGCTGCTGTGTAACAAGCTCACACAAAACTACACACAAACCTACACACAAACCGACACACACTCTGAGAGCCCCCTGGAGAGGTTACTGCCCAGCGCTGTTTACCAAGACTCACACATCCTCTGCCTCGCACAGTGTCAACTTCTACTACTGTATGTTTAACCCTGCAGACAGAGAGAGAAAAGACACGCTGACTGCAAGAGAGGGAGGCTAATTTATGCACGAGGGTCTCTGCTCACATCAGCCCACATCTTCATGCTAACCGCCACGCTGCGCATCAAATCACACCCAGAAGGTCACGCACAGCGGGGAGTCACTTTTCCAGAAAAAGACAGACACCATTTCAAAATTACAGACGCGTCACATTAAAATTTCATAATTGCTTGACAGAAAGTGAAAAATAAGTGCTTACACCTATTCTAACAGCTGCACTCAGGTCGATTGTTGTATTAACGCCGCTCTTCAAGCATTAGCTGTGCTTTAGCGGACGACCTTTTTCCTGCATCGTTGAATTTATCAGTGCCGCTGGAGCGACTAATGCTGCAACTCCCTGTTGAATTATACGCTATTAAATTACAGTTGATTCTTATTATGGGGCTGAGATGAGGGGGCAAGACGGGAGCAGTGTTTTCAAGGAGGGGATGAGATTTTAAAGTCAGTAATAACATGTCGAGGGAGAGTTATTTTGTCTGATGTTTTTCATAATTTAGTCTCATGCATGAGTGTTTCATGAACAGATACTCTAATATGTGATTTTATTTAAAAATGCTTCCAAATAATGACCCCAAATGCACTCCAGAAATAGGCAGACAAACATTATCAATATATAAAAGGCTCCTCAGACTTCTCTGTTTGTTTTTTCTGTTTCTGCTGGTTGTTATTTTGACTAGAAATGCTTGAACCGTCGCTGTGTCACAATCCAGGGGGTGCAGCCTTCGAAGGCCACATTTGATGACCGAATGCGCCGCAGCGGCACAAAGAATTGGACAAATCTGTCCTTCTTTTCCCAGGCCATTAAGGCTGCATCAGTCGCATCCCCACTTTGAATTAACCTTTCATAATCTCAGGCGTGCGTCATCTTGCGCCGCTTTATTTCTACATAAGCACAGAATGGACAAACTACAAACGTATGCATTTTTTAAATTTGTGGTGTGCCGGTTGGAGGATGAAGAAGTGGGGAGTTGGAGATGTTTTGACGGCTTAAACTTGACATGAGAGGGATCATACTTGTTGGGCATCACAGAAGCTTTTTGTCCTTGAAGGCCACCATCACTTCACCAACAGCAGGGGTGAGCAAGGGAGCAGTGAATGAAGTATTTCCATTTCTACTCACAGTACTTTTGTAGATGTTATGTGTATCTATAGGGTTGTCTCTAATTATTACTGTGTCTTTTTGGTTTGCCGCCAAGGTCATATCAGGTCTGTGTGGTTATTTTTAAGGTCTCTCTTGTTGTTTTGTGTGTCTCTTTAGCTGTCTTTTGTTTCTTTCAGGTTGTTTTGTGAGTATTTGTGTTGTATTTGTTGATCTGAGACGAGCCACACCATGTTTCAGCCGTATTACATATTTCAGGTGTTGATCTGCTTTTGTTTGTGGTCGTGTTGTATTTGCCATTTTGTGTTTTTGAGTGGCTGATTTCAAGTCTTCAGTATCTTCTTTTTCTTTTGGATGTTATTTTGTGTTTTTCTTCTTCCTTTGTTGCTTCTCTTGGTTTTCCTTTGGAGTGCCATGTTGGTTATAACTTAACTTGTCATTTTGTGTTTCTGCGTGGGCTTTTTGAGGCCGTTTTGAACACTTTTGGTGTGTTTTGTCACTTGTTTTGGCGGGTTTCGTGTTGCTTTGTTGTCATTTTGTACATCTTTGGTCATTTTAATCTCATTTGTAGTTGTTTTGAATCTCTGGTGCGTCAGTATCCTTCTATTTGTGGGATCTTTTTTCACTCTGTTTCTATTTTGGATCTCTTTCTGGCAGCTTTTTACCTTTTTGTTCTCATTTGAGAATTTATTTGGGTTGACAATATCCTCAAAGTGTTTGTCAAAGAAATCAACATAATTGTTCCTTAATTCCTATAACAAACGGGTTTCCATGACAGCTTCCAATCAGATTAGTGATGGAAAAATGTCATAATAGGCATGAGAAGAATAGGGTACGAGGGAAGTAGACCAAGTGATATTATTGATAAGGGTTTTTGAACAATAGTTTGATGATTCCCAGACTCTAAACAAGAAGGGAGGGAGTTTAAACAAACATAGTGATATCGTTATCCTAATATTTTAGAGCCACAATAATTGTGGGGTGAAAATCTGACATTCAGCCATAATAAGAAAAGATCTTGCATCGTGTAAACAGATTACACTTAATCTCTGTGTCAGAAAGGTTGCAAAAGTGGTCTTGTAAACCCACCTAATGTCACTAAAATTCACCTTAAAGACGATTAAACTGTTTTTAAACTGACCAGATTAGTGATTTATTTGGGGTGTGGACAGCAAGCAGAGTAAGAAGCTCAAAACTCTTGATATGATGTCAGTACAAGAAGCAAATACAAGCAATAATAAGATGTCAGATGTTTTTTTTTCTTCAGTTTTTTATCCTACAATTGGGTCAGATGAGCTCAGCTTTATTCAGACCTTAAATAATGGGCTAAAGGTGTGATCACTCTTAACATTTCCACCCGTACCTGCTCCATTAAAGCTTCCTTTTTTAGGGGTCGAGGCACTTCTTACGTCCGTGTGTGTGAGGCTGTTGACCTGTCAGCATCCTGCGGGTCATCAAAGCACACAAGGTGAGCGCGAGGAGCACCGCACAACGCAAAGTGACATGACCCGGTACGACAGGATAACACATTTCAACACAATGAAACGACAGAACACGAAGCAAAAACACACAAAACAACAAAAGGAGCCAACATTAGAGAACACATCACAACATGGGGGCGCACAAACATCAGAGCGACACATCAGTGTGTTGTGAATCAGAACAGGCCTGCAGTCATTACTGAAAGTGGTGGAAGCAGCAATCGGTGTCAAATGCTGTTTACTTGCTATTTCCACATAAAGTGACATTTCCAGGGAGCAAGTTCACAAGCGAACACACATCAGTGTGGCATTTGAGGTAATTGGAAACAGGGGCACCGAGTGTGTTCGGAGAGAGTCCCTTTGTTTTATTCTTTACTGTAGCTGCAGCTCAGCGGAGAAGAACGACTCTTTTCCAACGCTGTCACGCTGAACTGTTGCCTCTTTAAAATGCGATAAAACAAACCCCAGACCGCTCCGATTAAAGCAGTATTACATAACATTACATTAAGGAGGCCTTCAGCAAACCCTCTTAATTATTCATGTAAATTCAGCGCATTTGAATCAAACGGAAATGAAACGTATCGTTCGTTCAGGCGGGACAGTGGCTCATTCACAGCTGTGTGGATACAATCATGCACGAGCACACAGCAACCGTTAACACCTGACACTTATTACTCTTATTTTTTAATCTGCTCGTGTGCACATGCTCTGTTTGCAGCTGCAGCTCCCTCCTAAAAACCCTGTTTTTCAAAAATGGCTGTTTTTATGCTCATGTACCTTTTAAAGGTGGAGGTTACGCTTCCCTGAAAAACAGCCGGTACTTTCTTGCTGTGTGTTTTCGAGTCAGTGTCTCAGTCAGTCTCTGGTGTGTTTGCGGTTGATATTTTATGTATACTAGGTCAATAAGTATCAGCTTTGCAAATTGGCCCTATAAGGCATGAATTTTGATGTCTCAGCCCGGAGGCTCCTGTTAATAAACTCATCACGAAATCTCCAACTTGCGAAACTGCTGATATTAATGAAGTGGAACCAAAAAATACTTTTAGGTTTTAGGAGTGCTTGATTGAGGTAAAACAGGGTAGCTTATTTATTTAATATCTGCACAAACTAGAGCCTGTAACAGAAATAAAAAGAGGATATTCAGACTTTTTACTGTGTTTATCCTCTCTAACCAGGAGTTGTACGGGGAATCAAGCCTGAAATCTGATTGGTAGTTGACTGTTGAACATTTCAAAATTGCAGTTTTGCTTTCATTAGTGACGATGGACCAAACAGCAACCTCAGTGTAATAATGAGTGTCATGGTCAGGCTCAAAAACAGGCTTAATCATGCAGCACAGTAGGGTATATGTGTATTTAATGTCAGTATTTGACATCTGTAATAGTGCATCTTTGTTGTTCTTGATTTGAACATGTTTTGGTGATGATGATGTTTTTTATTTAGGTACGAAGGGTTGATTAAAAAAGCTCTAGTTCAGCCTGCTCGCCTAGAAATTCACAAGTGTTCTGTTTGCTCATATTTAAGAACAATTGATACAAGAAAACCTTCATAAAATAGACAGGAAGTGTATCAGCCTTGTCGTTGTTGTTTATTCTCTGTTCAGTTGGGTATTTTGACCAGAAATGACACAAATTCACTTGGTAATATTTGAGTTTTTTGCAGTGCAGACACAACCAGTAAGATGTTTGTCATGCAGTAAATGTAAAACATACTACTTTAACTGATGATGTTATGTATAACGTAGCAGATTGCAGTACTTTCCATAGAAATACTTATTCAAAAGTCGAAGCACCAGTTTTAAAAAGTACTGATGCACAAAATGCTGCTCAAGTAAAGTAATGTGAATTCATATATGTAACTACTTTTCGCACCTGCAAACATGGTACTGAAAGTCCAAAACAGCTGATACTAAACTGCTTTAGTTTTGTAAAGAAAATACAGGCTACAGCACAAAACTGCTATCAGTGAAAACAGGCCCTTATGCATTGCCACCATGTTGAATCATTTATGTAAGTTTAAAAGGCCTACACACAGCAAAGTGACATCTGTAGGTACTTGGATGTTAATAGTGAAAGTAGATGTGTTTGTCAAAGATTTTTTTAACATGCATGTTGGACAAATACCTGCCAGTGTAAAAGGAAAGTCAGGACATCTCTGTCACTCTTTGAAATCAATTCTTCACTTTATGCATAGGAGGATTTTTTAGGAGGAGCCAGGATGACCTGATGGTGTAACTGATGATAAAAAAGAATTCACAAGGCTCCACACTCAAGGGCACCACAGGAGTCTTACATCACAACAAGGAAGTGAAGTGACGGCCAAGGAGACAGAGGGAGAGAGAGCAAACAGAGTTCAGCATGTCAAACAAGCACATGAAACACATGTACAGCATTATGTGACTGCACAGTTCAGCTCTGATGTTCTTCTTTAGCCCTTAGAGTTCATGAGAGCTTTGAGGGCAGTCGATGTGGGATACTTCCACTTCAGCAGGTTATAATCATTTCCATATACCCTCTAATTACTCTCCCTCACTCCCACTCAGAAGACATTTTGCAGAATGAGCACCATGAGGATGGCATGTTAATGAACGTGGGCTAAACAAGCAACCAACAAACAGGGGGAGTCATTATTATGAATTATTAGGCGGAATTTATTCACTCTTGTTTTTAATGGCGTACAACCTTGAGGCCGTCCGCTCTCTCTCGGAATTCCCAATTGCACACACACACACACACACACACACACACACACACACACTCCCATAAACACATGCTTACACACGACCAGGCAATGATGCCGACAGCTTATCAGGACAGGAATTCAGCGGTCCTTGGACATCCAAAATACGGCTCAGAGTTATCGCTCGGAGAGAGTTACCCTGTTCGCACCAGAGCAGAGCTGAAGCTTGTTCAAAATAGAGATTATTGGGTCCTTGATAATGCTCATCACTCTTACACTACTTTCCTTTTCACTCCCGCCCTGTGTTTGACCCGTACTGCAGGTCGTTCAGTCTAACTGCTTTTATTCACACTTGACTGACCTGGTTTTCTAATTAATTACTTCATTCTGATTGGTCAAAACCACAAAACTACAGGGATTCATCGTCAATTCTGGGCACTTGGAATTCTAGCACATTTTACTCCTGCCTGTTGACACTGTGGCAAAAACTTTCTTGTTTTCTTCAATTTGGATGATGTCTCCTAATTAACATCCCTCACTAGTTTTTGCACTTGTTTCTCTCCTCTTGTCTTCTTCTTTTCAGACACTAACAAGGAGCTTCAAGTTTTGTGTTTGTAAATAAAATGAAGGCGATATCAAAAATGATGCAATGGGAAAGTGATGTTCTGCCACATTGTCAACAGGAAGAGGTAAAACCCTAGCCCCTGGATTCCACCATATGCAGATCCGCTCTGCTCCACTCAGGAACGGCAGGTGGGTCGAAAAATGCAAGCATACAGCGCCCACCGTATCCGATCCACCACCGTAAGCAAAGAAGAAGCACTTGCTATATTAACGATATTTTGCACGAGACTGGACGGGATCTCACGAGATCTCGCGTGTTGCACCGTGAGACATTGAATGAGATCAACAGTGTATATAAACACCCACATTTCACAACCCTGGCCCCTCCTATTATCACGTGACACACAGTTCAACTTATTGACTTTATTTTATTTTGAAAATTGACCGGATATTTTACTCTGTAGCCGCATACAACTTTCACTGCCGCACATTGATTCCTGTGGAATTTAGTTGTTAACTTCAAACATGCGTTAAGCTCCTTTTCACAGACTGATATGATATTGGTGGTCGCTTTTATTGTTTGAAATTAACAATTGCTGTTGAAGGGTTTGACCAGTCAGAATCAAGTATTTAAATTGAGGTGAGTAATTGGAAAGAAAACCAGGAAAGTCCAAACCACCTGTTCATCTCGTACTGATTCTTTTTCCTTTCACAGAAACAGTAAACTCGAGGAAGAAGTGCACTTTAGCCTCCTCTGCCTCTTTGTTTGACACTCTCACAATATCAACAGCTCTTATTCGGAGTGGCTGCAGTTCTTCAGTTTGATCAACAGGTGTCCGAGAGCACTCCTCTTACATAAATGTGGGACTGAGCTCAGGATTGGTACTGTAGCCGGCTGCTCTTTGATCTCTGATTCATTCTGATCCAGAGCTGAAGAATAATCAGTGTTGTGAAAATGGGACACAGGCCCAGTTACAGCCCCAGTGGAGAGCAGAGAGAGCTCAAATGATTGTGTTCGGAGAGTCAGACATGTAGAGAAATTCTATTTTCCAGATACGGTCTGAGTGCGTGAGGACTCTGGAGTTACAGCTCGTAAACAGAATATTGATGAAAGAGTTTGCTTTTTTACACCACTTGAGATTTAAAGAAAATCATTTTCCTGTTGTGTTTGCTCCGACAAAAGCACATTGTGGTGTTAATGATTTGTTTTCAACATTCATTAAGCATCTCTTTTGTTCAAATTGGAAGAAAAGTCGATGGTTTTTTTTTTCGTTAATTACCTGCTCACTTGATAAACACACATTTCTGACGAAATAACGACTCTCTTTTCATGTTTTCAAAGTTTCCTTTAATGAGATAATTAGCGGCAATTAGCAATCAGTCAGCGTTACAGTGCGCTATGCTGTTAAATGTGCTCTGGATGACTCAAGCAAAGAAATGAAACATGAATATGAAACTGTTTCGTTTCTCTATGTGCTTAGACACAAAGATTTAACTATTACTACAACTGATAAAACTGAATTTGATGGTTTTCATGTATTTAATTGAAGAGCAAGCACCTCTGATTGGTGTGGATATTCATACGCGCTCATGGCATAGCGAGTTTGCACATTTAGGAAGGTTTAATTAATAAGTGATATATCCAGCTTTAGAGCAACATATGCTGCCAACCTGATGTTTACTTTTTCAGAGAAAACTTCAATCCACATTCAGCAGGGGTTACAACAGCATGGCTCTGTAGTAGAAGAGTTCTGCTGCTAAACTGGCCTGTCTGCAGTCTTGACTTCCATTATGGCACAAATATATGACAAATATGGACCATAAACATTTAGCCTTTCCTTTATTTCATTGATTGTGTTATGGTATTCTCAGGTTTTCCATTAACAGTACGATAATATCATTATTGTGATATTCTATGGCCTTGATAATTGCAAACCTTTCAGTTTTAACAGCTCTCAACCCAGATTCATTGTTTATATCAGTGTTTCCTAACTTTTGTTAAATTGGGTTTGCTTATTTCATCTCCGTGTTAATCCAGATAGCCGGCTGCTCCGTCCAGAGAGGGGGTCAAAATAACAAGCATCCTGCCCCGCATTAGAACATTTTTGGACACTTTGCACATTCGATTGTTTTTGTTTGAAGTGTTTCGGTATCATCCCCAGTTTTGTCGCTAAAATATGTTTTGTAAAAAAAAATAAAGGCACAACTGTTCACAACTTCTGCTCTTCATGTAATTCCAGCAGATTTTTTTTGGGCCTCTGCAAACATCAAAGCGTCCTTTTCTGGTGCCAGCTGGATTACTGCAGCACTGGTGGCATTGGCTTGTGTGTGTGTCTGTGTGTGTGTGCTTTTAAGTGTGGTAGAGTTGGACTAAAGCCCGGCCATTGGCATATTAGAGTTGGTAAACATCCCCACACACATTTCCTCTTGACGTTGATGAGAGGATTTTGCAGAAGAAGAGGCGTCGTCGTCCTCTGAGGGAGGTGTCTGCATTGTGGCTCTGTGGACTGATCCACTCGAGGCTCTGACAGTCCTCTCTGCTTATTTTCTGCAGCAGGACGTCTTGAGGACGGCACTCTCTGTACCCGGTGGGCACGATCTGAGCTCTGTGGGCGAGGCTGGCCCTGGACGTTTAGCTCCTTGAGTTAAATAGCTGAAAGGAATGCTATGCTTTTATCTTATCAGTCTTGCCCTTCAGTCGACTCTGTATTTTGTTTGTCAAACAAAGAATTAACAAGTATCACTGACAGAGAGCCTCACATCTGCCAAAACGAGCGGTGGCCCACGAGGGAAAAGTGCTACAGCAGCCAAAAAAACTGGCTGCGATACAAAAACATGGAAATAACAACAACAGAAACATGCTGAAAAAAGAGGTGCAGAACCGGTTTAAAATCATAGAGTCTCCAAAACACGTAAATGATCTAAAGAAAATAAACCCTTTAAACAAATTCTGTGAAATATTCCATAATTGTCTGATTTTTATGTACAGTTTGTGTATCATTGCCAAACTGTCAACTTAGGAGAGGAACTGAGGCAACAAGCTATCCTCCGATCCCTTTAGCTTTCATCTGATTGCAGATAAACTTTTATTAATCTCTATAAACAGATGTCTGCGTTCAACTTCAGGTAGTAATCTGCACCAGGATGTTATCCTTTAATTCAAACCTCTAATTTCTTTGCTTCTCAAGTCAGACTGTAAATGCTGAAGCATGCAGAAGAAGAAGTTTTGGTTGGAAGTTCTTTCTTCTTAATGACCAGCAACACCTGCAATAAATTCACAACATCCCCTTCAAACCAACTGAACACCACAAAAACAAAGGAAATCATCTTAGATTTCAGGAGGGGCAGAGCGGACCTGACCCCACTTTACATCCACAGGGACTGTGTGGAAAGGGTCCACACCATGAGATTCCTGGGTGTGCAGATATGCGAGGACCTCTCCTGAACTGCGAACACCTCGACGGTGGTGAGGAAGGCCCAGCAGCGTCTCCACTTCCTGAGAGAGCTCAGGAGGAGCGGTGCTGGTGACCCTCTACAGAGGCACCATAGAGAGCATCCTGGCATACTGCATCACAGCTTGGTATGCGGGGTGCTTTGCAGCCGACAGGAGAGCGCTACAGAGGGTCATCTGCACAGTCCAGAAGATCACAGGCTGCTCTCTACCCAGCCTGGAGGACAGTACCTACTCTCGCTACCCGAGCAGAGCTGGCAACATCTTTAAGGACTCCTACCACCCCGAAAATCATCTGTTTGACCTTTTACCGTCGGGCCGAAGGTACAGGTCACACAAAACAAGGACCAACAGACTCAGGGATAGCTTCCTCCCGAGAGCTATCACTGCAGTCAACAACAACAACAACAACAACAACAAATCCAGTTGAACCTGTCCCCCTCAACTAACATAAATAATGATCATATATTATTTAAATACTATTATTTTGCACCAAAGGACGCAGCGCTCAAATTTCGTCGTACAACAATTACAATAAAGGCGATTCTGATTCTGATAAACAGTTTTAATTAGATACATGATTAGGACCTTATAAGAGAGAAAAGCACTAAAAAGTCATGCCACTGGACTTGTTTGTTTTGCTAAGTCTTGAAGCGCCATCTTCAGGGTAAAATACCGCTCTGCACGGGGTATCGCTTGCTTCAGTGTGTGACTTTTTAAAAAACAAAAAAGTTTTTTAAAGTGGGTCATATACTCAGAATTTTCTAGTTACTTTCTTCTTCATTGAAGTGAAATTCTCAATGATATCATATTACATCTGGTTTATTTCTTAAAGTTTTCACATATTTGCCTTTATCCAAAAGTATAGAGCAGGGTTTTATTTTAGATATCGTGAAAACTTTCTGCTAAATTAGAAAAACTCTGCCCACTGTGATAGGCCTGACCACAATAAGCCATGCTGTCATTGCTCACACTAATGAGGAAAGCTGGCCCTACTTTATGTTTTTTTTGTTCTTTGCAACTATGAGTTATGATTATCAAAGCGAGTACTACAAGAGAGCGAGATAAATAAGTCGAGGTCTCGAGAAAATACCAAATAAAATCTGTCTTTATCAGCAAAACACAGAGTACATAAAATGAATGGACTCCTGCTGTTTAGAGCTGCCGTAGTTTGTCCCTTGTCAGCCACCGTAATAATCTTTGCCCACCATATGAATCACTCAGGTACTCTTTGAACCTGGAGAGCTCATAAAGCAGAAAAATCACAGCCTCATCACGCAGCTTCACGAGCAGTTTCCAGAGGACAGCTGGTGTCGCCCATCAAGACACAGAAGCAGCTGGGACTCCTGGTGGCATCCAAACATGCTAATTAAAAATTGAAAATATGAAAGGCTACAATTTTAATGAGAAGCGAATCATTATGTGACATTATATACTCTCGGGGAACACATTAAGCCGTCCAATCACAATTTGGAGAAACCACACGGTAGTATAATCCCCTTTTTGTTGGTTTGGGTCAAAGGTTAAATCTGCTTCTCTATTGGAGCATTAAAAACGGTTTGTTTGTGCTGCTGCATGGAAACTGGTGCATTTATGTGACGCATTCGATACATGACATACATGCAAACTATGAAATCAGTTCTGATAATTAATCTAAATATTTTTGGCATAAGTGTAATTGCGTTTTGATTCGACTGTCTTACAACTTTTTGCAGTTTTCCTCATTTTTTCTTCAGACATGAGTGTCACATTAATCACATCTTCATCGGATCTTGTAGTCTAGTTAAACCACTCAATTTGTCATTTACGTAATTCATTAGAGACCTGGCATTTGGCACAATGATCAGATAATAGTGGCCTCATTATCGGAGATAAATGACCATCATCAGCCACACAGTGGTGCTATGATTAAAGGGTTTGCTGAGGAGGCCATGCCCTCCACTTTGTAGCACAGCTCCCACAGTTATTTACAGTCCTTACTAGTTCACTAATTAGTTTTGTGGGATATTACTCCAGAATTGATCACGAAACATTAAAAACAAATAAGAAATTCAGTTCAACAAGTGATTCTATGTTAGTAACTTTCTTCAACACAGCGCTCTATCTCCTCTTCACCAGCATTACCTCTCCTGACTCTGCTACACCTGGTCTAACATGGTCAAATCTGCCCTCAGGCTTGTGTCGTCCTTTTTCGCCTCCAAACCAAACCAGGTCAGACAAGCCAGGCAGCGAAAGAATTGGGAAGTGTCCAGCAGAAAGTTTGAGCAATCCATCACTGGACACAAACTGGTCTTCAGACTCCAACCTGCTGGTTTCTGTCTCTGATCACAAATCACATGGACGACAACTCCGGGAAGAGTCCCAAAACTCTGGAGGGTCACCGAAACTTTGTCTCTGCTTAAACAGCATCCTACAAGAAGGACCAGAGGAGGGCGACCACAAAAAGAGACCTGTTCAACTCATCTATATTCAATACAAACACATAATGTCAGAATGTTGCAGTTTCAAACTACATAAAGTTGTGTAACTTAACCCCAGTCTTCTCCATCCTCTTTGAAAGTTGTTATCCCTGTTTGGCTTTTCCTTCGCCCTGCACTTTGTTGATTCAGTAAGTTTCTCAAAGTCTCTTTTTGTTGTTTTCTTTTGATTGTGAAGAAAGTCAAGTCTATTTTTCCTCTTCCTAAAGACAAAGGTTCCAAATACAGTAGAATTTTTGTGTGTTTTTGCAGCCAAAACGTAGCTGTTCATATTTACTGCTGATGTCCTTGTAAACAAATGTGAGTACAAGCTGGATTTACATGTCAAATGTGACTGAAACCTGGTGCTGCTCATCTATACAGATTTTCCATGAAGGCTGTCAGTAAATAGCAAGTAACGCAGCAATGGTTAACGTATAACAGTAGGCTAGCATGGATGGTAGCAGCTAGCTTCAGTTGTTTTATGTAAAAGCATAAATTCAAGGTTGTTTCAGGACTGTGATAACCAGCAATGGTAACCAGTTATACGTTTACCAGCAATGGTTAACGTATAACAGTTAGCTAGCATGGATAGTAGTGGCTAGCTTCCGTTGTTTTATGTAAAAGCGTAAATTCAAGGTTGTATCAGGATTATGGAGCTGTGTAAGAAGTAGCACCCACAAGCTTTGTAACTGTATAAAGCAACCAGAACCAAATGTTTCAGACAGAGGCTGAAAGGTGACGAAGTGAAGGTTTTCGCTTATGCTAATACAAGATAAATGACGAATTTATGAGCCTCATGGCTCAGTATAACTTAGTTAATTGTCTCTTTGTTGGTTCATCATGTCTTATTTCTCTTTTGGACTGTCCTTTGGGACATAATTCACTTTTAATGGACGAGACAGCCAAAAAGACACAAAGAAAGGAGAGAGCGGGATCATGGCTGTTGGTTGAACACACAGAGATTGATGCTTCATGAGTACCTGTATTGTCACTGCTTGTTTTGTATAACAGTTATATTGTATAATATTTCCTTTATAGACTGAATCATCTCTTAAGCATCCACCTATCACACCTACACAGATCTTCTGCTTGAATTTTGAAACATCATTGTCTTCTTAGTAAAATAAGTTTCTTATACTTTTCATGAGGAGTGAAGTATCACAACCTGCAAGAAAGAGCCTTCAAGCACAGGCGTATAGAATAAACAGCCCTGTTATGTTATGTTAAAGGTATCCTTATGACAGGAAACTCAAATTCAGCACAAAGGTGAGGTATCACCTGTGGTCATTTCCTTTCATTTTTAAAATATATAAGCAAATGAAAAGTGATTTTAAAATAAATATCCCATCATAGCTTTGATTGACTGCTTCTCAACAAGTTTTCTGATAACTTTTCCACATAACTTTTTAGTTTCTTCCCTGTTTCTTGGCAACAACCACAAGGCTGGACATTGCATCAAAAGGACCCTGATGAAAAAAAAAGGTAATGAAGTCAAGGAATAAACACGGTGTGCTTTGATACCAGCCAGAAAACACTCTCAGTCGCAGAGATGCTGTAACACAAAGAAGTCCATCCAGCCATCCAGCCATGTGTCAATGAATAAACTTGTAATTAGAAAATACAAAGAGTCACAAGAAAGCAGACCTTCACTCTCAGCACCCTAATCTTCTTCTTTTTAATCTGAGATGCTTTTGAATGTCTTTGACACAAAATTTACAGACATTGTGCAGATCTGCGAGGGTCAGGGTTACTTTGAGCATTCCTGTTTGTGTATCGAGTGAAGAAAAGCAATGATTAATGATTATTCTCTGTATGTGCTTTCTGACCCATTTTGACTTATGATGCACATCATTAATTTACCACCTGTATCACACCAAACATATACTTACCTATTTGACTGACATTTTCACATCTTCACACTTCTTTTTTTTCTTTCTAGCTCATAAACACATATTTATTGTCAGTCTTTTGAGTAACTTCTTGGCAAACTGACAAAGAAAATGTTTCTACTCAAATTACAAAAGCCTCAAAACTTGTCACCTTAGATATCAGCCTCATCTTTGTCTCACTACCTCTTGATTGCTCAAGTTTATGTCAATGTTGAAATCCACAGATATGCAGTTCCCAGAGTGTCCACTTGTTGTTGGCTGCAAAGTAGAAATGAATCCATGTTATCACATAACTTTCACTGCCTGGAACAAAACCAGTAATAATCTAAATTACTCATTTCTTTCTTCCCACATAATATACAGGCTTATATTCTTAAACTCATCTGTTTTGGAGAGATTAAGACTCAGAGTTATGCATGAAATTAGATCATTAGAAACACAGCTAAGATAACTAGCAGGTGGGTGTGTCGTAGCGGCTGAAAGTCCACAGAAGATCTTCTTCTTTGTCTATGAAGTTGGATTAAAAGTCAAAGTTCAGTCAGCAAGTCCAACTGGTGAATGTGTAACCATTATTTTGGTTTATTCTTGCAAAAATCACATGATCTCATGGAGAAACATAAAGTGAAGAGTTAGAAAATAGTCTTCAAAATTCAGCTGGAGACGGATCGTCATTATTCGAAACTTTATGTGCGCTGGCGCCCCGTGGTGTCCAGGGTCTTCCCCTTTCTTTTCTGCCTCTTCCCCCCAAACAGCCTCAGTATGCTACTGGTGTGTTCCCCTGTTCCCTCGCTCCAGCGTTTCTTCCTCATGACTTTTCCAAGTGTTTTGATCATTGCCACTTGCCTTCCTCTTTTTAGCTATGCCCAGACTAATTGGCTGATTTACTGTGTAGTGATTTTTGGACAGGACAACAAACCGCCTCTTTTGCACACATTACTTCTATGTGAGTTGTATATTTTTGGCCCAATCAGTTTTCTTTAGTTGTGTCTCTTTGAGATACCTTTAAATTAAATCCTTATGTTTGTTTGTTTTCCTGAGAGACACTGCTGATGTGATGTGACAGAACAGGTGTAACCGTCTGAACATGCTTTCATATGAGTCTGAAAACTGGAAAACATTGAAGAGAGCCTTTGGTTTCATGAGTAAAGCTAAAGCCAAAACGCCTCAAGCTTGCAATTTTTGATTGGCACATACGGGGCGACTCCACAGGTGTAAAAAAAGATTCTTATACAGTATACAATTAGATGAATATATTCTTGGTAATTCTCAAATGATACTACTGGGGGCTCTGAACGGCTTGTTAGCAAAGTCACACGAGAATTCAATTAGATAAGTGTGAGATTTGTGCTGCATTCCAGTTACCTCGGAAGTCGGATGTCGGAGCTGGGAATGATGCTACATCCGAGTTGACAGCATTCCAGTTAACAAGTCGGAAAACTTGTTACCCATTGTTAGCTGTTGTTTACAATTGTCAGCTGTCGTTGGCCGATGTCAGTTGTTGTTAGCGGTTGTCAGCGGTTTTTAGCGATACCAGTTGTAAACAATGCAAAACACAGTATTTTACTCTACAAACACCAAAGCACCGTGTTCACAGTTAGACGTTGGGCAGTACAACATAAACCAATTATTTCATTTCACAAAAACAAAACAGAAGTGCCAATAAATAATACATTACTAGAGCTTTTTCTGTTACTCTGTGTTGTCGATGCACTGTGCTGCCATCTTTAATTATGACGTTGTCGTCAAGTCAGGGTTGGCGAGGATCATCCGACTTCCGGAGTTAGAAATCCAACTCGGAGCTCGGAAATCTCGACTTCCAGGTACAACTGGAATGCAACATTGCTCCAATCATGACATCATCAGACATCTTTGTTGCAAGGAGGGTTCCGGAATGCTGGGTTGGGGGCCTTAAAGGGACAGTAGCTTAAATAAAGGGTCTCAGACAAAGACAGCAGCCTTAAATAAATAATGTAAAGCTACTAAAAACTATCAGAGGGACAATATAAACATAGAAAAATAAGCATTGTACCCCCTTTGTTAAAGCCTGACCACCTTTAATCCGCATGCTACTGCAAATCTGACCTGCCAACCAAGACAGAGATGTGACAGTGGTCATTTTTTGTGCACAAAACAAAAGCGAGCTGGTGCAGCGACTGTGACTCACAGTCCAGTAAGATGCTTTGCAGACCAGTGGGTGATCTCATGATGGTACGTCCACTTAGTTTCTTCGGAAAATGTTTGTGCACGCCCCTGGACATCTTTTTAATTGTTTCAGTCTGGTGCAGAAGAAGAAGCAGCCTGGGGTGACTCACCATTTTCTGACCCTCGTTGTCAGCGTAATAAAGCTTGTTCTTCAATTTGTATGGCTGTGACTGATCAATAAAACACACACGAGCAATGAAAACTCACCTGAGACAGGGTTCGACAGCCTGTACAGTTGATTGTCTGGACTGCTTTTGGTGTAGCAGGATGCTCAGATGTTTGCAGCCGCACAGCTGGGTCTGCTGATGGTCAGCTATTGCGGTGTCTCGAGCTGCAATCAAGCAGCTGCAGAACAAACCAACACACATGACGGATGGTGAGCTGGCGGTCCCCTGCTTCAGATTCACAGTCGGTTGCTGTAGACTCATCCATCCAGCAAATCCGTTCCCCTCCTAATTAAGTTGAAAAGAGGGAGTGAGAGGGTCATTAAGCACTTATTTATTTGGCAAACCACTGGTACAGAACGGCAATCGTATTCTCCTCACCGGGTCATATAATTGGCCTGAACAATGATAAGCTTAGCGCCATGCAGAGTGATGGGCAAGGGCACACGGGGGTGCTGTAAATTGTGCTCTGCCTGTGGCACACAAACTTTGATCATTACAGCCCCAGCAGGGAACGGCGCTGATGAATACCCGCGTTGACCTCGAAACAGCACAACGCTTTCTGGGAGCCGGCTCACACATAATACTTTATTGCTGGAAATGAAAAGAGGAAAGGTGGCCCTTCCATGAGAGCTGGTACTGAGTTAGATTACATCACAGACGAGTAAAAAGAGGAGAGGATTCAATTTGGGAAGAAGTCTATCACACGGGCAGAGTGGCCCTTGTGCTTGTCAGAGATTGGGAGAGGGGAGCGTTAATCACAGAACACCCCCCGCTCCTCCAGGGCTCCAGCTCAGGCTGTTTGAGCTTTCCTCGACCTGAAATACAGGAGGTGTCACAGAAAAGGTCAATGGCATTGTTAGAAAGCCCTGCGAGGACAATGAACAGGTGCTCTAAATTTGACAAATATAAACTCTGAGACACTGTGTTCCTCTTACTCTGGTCAGAAAACAGTATGTCTCTCAGGCCAGAAGATTCATTTACACCTAACACAAAAAAAGGGCTTGTATGAAGAAGGACTAGCATGAAGTGGGTTCATCTATGGTCCTGTGATCTGTTAATGACATGAAATCCCATTTATGATTGTATTTATTGAGGGCATTGGCCCTGTTGACCGGAATACTCCACTTTTAACAAGAGCTGTCAAAGGATTCACTTTTTACACCACTATATAAAGCAGAATTTCAAAGTGTGTTACTTTTGATCAGGTTTTCATCGATTTTCAAAGTGTTTTTTAAGTCCATATTAACAATGTAAAGCTATTCTTGGGTCCATTTATTATCCATCCATTCAATTATTCCATTCAATCTAGTAAACGAAAAATGAAAAAACGAGTCAATATTTTGTTTATTTATTCTTCTGTATAACCAAAAAATTAAAAATTAGGCTATGTTCACACTGCAGGTCAGTTCAAGTGGACAGATGATACATGGACCTTCTTGATAGTGTCTCAACTTCAGAATCACATAATGCAATGAAACAAACTTCACATCTTGACTTTAAGATTAATTCTTACAATAAATCATGCACTGCTGCACCAGGGTGGTCTGAATCCAAATGCAGGGCTTAAATGAACATATATTTTGATATCTTAAAGAGTACTATTGTTGAACATAAATTAAAATGCAAGAGTGTGTGCACAAAATTTCCAGTCAGTGTCAGTAGATGAATTTTTTCCGCGGATCTTTGTCTTTTTAATTTTTAGTAAGCTCTTGTAAAAAGCGTAAAACCATATCAGCCTCTTGATTTGGTGAATCAAAATAAAGATCATTGAAAAAAAAAACTTTGGCGGTGTCACGTGTTTGATTGACAGTCCATTTTACCTTTACCTGATTTCCTGCAGGCCCTCCTCTTTACCCCAGTTCACGGCACGCTGCTCGTTTTGGCCTGACGCACGCAGAGGCCAACGTTACGCACAATTGTGGCTCAGAGTGGACGCTGCTTTCCATCCAAACACCGCGCGGTGACAATAGTAGGCCTCACCAATGAATCCACCCTGCTGGAAAAGGTGGAGGAGATATGTGTGTGCGCAAAAGGTGACGAGAAAAGTGACAACAGATCAGAACTTTCTCCACCTGCCCAGAAGTTCAACATGTGCCTCGGTGACATATTCCAAAATGAATCATGTCCAGCAGGCCCTCTGCGCCATATCAAACAGCGAGCATGCTCCTGCAGCCTACAGATGGATTAAAACTGTCACCGATTTAAAGACTGTACGAGGAAGAGACCCGACCCCCTGGATGGATCATGATGAAACAATCCCAGCGTTGAAAACCAGGCTCTGATGTCTCTTGTGATCACCAAAAGTAAGATGGACTTCATTTGGAGTTTGGTACAGATATTTTTGTGGCCTCTGCGCCAGGCCGCGTTCAAGATCTGTTCAGTTAATGCTTTACCTTATGTTTGTTATAGGATTGGATGGATCACGATGAGACAATCCCAGCGTTGGAACCAGGCCCTGACGTCTCCTGAAGTCATCAAAAGTAAGACGAACTTTGTTTGGATTTTGCGGGTTTTGTGCTGATGTTTTGGCCGCCGCGCCAAACTGCGTTTAAGATCTGATCAGTTAATGCTTCACCTGATGTTGGTTATAGCATTTGTGTGACTTTAAAGAGGGTTTTGTGCGTTAAGGTCACTTTTTATTGTTATCCTACGAAGCAGGCTTGTGCTCAGTTGTGGCCTTTTTGGGTGCCTGTGTGGTTGTCCTGCTGGGTCGTGTTTGTGTTACTTGAACGTTGCTTTTTGTGGCCTGGTGTGCTATTTATCCTGTTTGCTACCTGTTCGTCCTAGAAATTAATAATCCGGCTAACTGTGAGTGAAACTGCCGTGTGAAGTTGCCATGACAGCAGCTCCTCAATTGTAATCTCAATCTGGACCAGGTATGGTGCATCAAAATCAATCAAATTAACTTGATTGACAGATAGGTGTTACAGCAAGTGAGGATTTTGCTTGGTGGATTACTTTATTTTGAGGTGTAGAGAAGGCCTGCATCACTCTGACATTTAAGAACCTCTCTGTTGCTGCTGCCAGTACAGTAAAAACTGGATTCATGGCATCGTTTTTCACAAAATAATGACCAAATCGATGAATCATGATGAAATAATTCCAGCTTTGAAGGACAACAACAAGGCCCCGAAGTTTTCTGCACTGGTCATCAAAAGTAAGACCAACTTTCTTTGGATTCTGGGTGCAGTAGTTGTGGTGGGAGTACACTAAATGTTCATGCTGATGTTGCTGAAACTGTGCACACATGTGACCGCCGTGCCAAGCTTTGTTAAAGTGTAATTTCTAAAGCTGCTGAGCATGTTGTTGCAGGTTGATCTCAATCCATGTGCTTCATTATCAAGGCTGTTTGTGTGTGAAAATGTGGCCCTGTGCCAGTGTTTGTTTGTGTGCTTACACTATCGCTCTGCTTGTAACTGCTGCTGTTTTAAATGAAGTATCAATGTTATATGTGGCTGCCGTGCCAGCTATACTCTACTCTTTACACTGTTTTAACTATATAAATGAAGTGTCAATGCTTTATGTGGCTGCCGTGCCAGCTATACTCTGCTGTTTATACTGTTTTAACTCTGTGTAAATGAAGTGTCAATGTTATATGTGGCTGCCGTGCCAGCTATACTCTACTCTTTACACTGTTTTAACTCGATATATGAAGTGTCAATGTTCACTATACTCTACTGTTTATCATGTTTTAACAATATAAATGAAATGTCAATGCTTTATGTGGCTGCCGTGCCAGCTATACTCTACTCTTTACACTATTTTAACTCTATTAATGAAGTGTCAATGTTATATGTGGCTGCCGTGCCAGCTATATACTCCACTGTTTATACTGTTTTAACTCTATGTCAATGAAGTACCAATGCTATGTATGGCCGCCGTGCCAGCTAGACACTTCTGTTTATGCTGTTTTTTGCCTGTAACATTACCTCTGTTATTGTGCAGTTTAAAGCCTGTACTGCATTTGGATGAACACAACTGCAAGTCTATGCCTTCTGGATTTTCTCTTTGCTTGCCCACCCTGTGATTTTTGTCTATTTTGAATATGAATGATCTGATTCTGAGCTTGCAAAAAGTTGTTTGACGTAAATTGCCGTTGGTCTTTCTGCTCTGTGTTCCTGTGAATAGTGAGTTTTCGCAGCGTTGGAGTGGTGAGCTACATCTATTCATTCATTCATTCATTCATTCATTTACCTTTTGGTTAATGTAGCTGTGACTTGCTCCAAGTTTTTTGATATCCTTGCCTTCAAAGAAAGCAAAGTACAATCTGAGTATGTTTTCATTTTAGTTGGTGCCAAATGGAGAAAATTCAGATTTGTTGATTGCAGAAATCTAGCAGTTGTTGCAGTTTTGTCCTGCAAAGCAAGGGTTGTTTTAGATCCAAAGTGTTTTCCACAAAGCTTTTTGAGTGCTTTTTAGGGGTTGTGTGAGTAACTTGGTGCAAACTGTCACCTGGTTGGGTGTGCAGGTATCTGGAAGCAGGTGTCTGAATGTTTGGCTGTGTATAAATGACTAAAGCTGGCACTCTGTGCACTTCTGCATAGATTAGGACATTTTGTGCTTTTGTTTTATGGTGGACCTGTGAAAAAGTGGGCAGTTCTTGTTGTAAACTCAAATGTTTTTGCTCTCATGTGTAAAAATTTCCTATCAGCTATAAATTATCAACTGACTAACATTTTGAGTTTGAACTTTTCCCAACCATCTGTATTTCATCAAACTGGATTTCTCCTTTTTTAAAACATCTGTAATTCAAACTCCTCCAGACTGCAAACTTGCAAAGAGAAACTTTCAGCGTAGCTATTCTCACATTACCTTCATAAAAGGTGTGATTGCTGAGTCCTTGACCAATAAACAACTTCATTGAACAGATTTAGTTGCCGTAACCATGTCCCAAAAAAGCTTTTGTTTAGGAAGGATTTTTCAAAAGGATTTTAACTACTCCAAATCAGCATTACCTTCTTTAAGCACTCTGTTGGTATATCAGACCTGCACCCTGTGCTGTAAGTCATGTGATCACAGCTGTGTGAGGTTTTGGCGTGCCTGTAACTCGGGGTGGGAATCACTAGTGGCCCACATGATATGATATTATCACGGTACTTCAGCCATGATACAATATTATTGTGATTTTCAACTTTTTGCAATACAGTGAGTATTACAATACAATATATTGAATTTCTACCTTTTTCAACTATTTAGCATTTGTTTTTCCTTTATCTTTGTCTTATATACACAGTATTTTATTTTCATGTAGCACATCTTGCAAACCTTGTGTATATATATTTATCATACTAACTTTTTCCTGCTCTACGGTGTCACCTCTGCCAACCTCATTGGACAAGCACTTAATTTTATTTTTTCCATTATCATAGATTTGACTTCATGTTGGCAATTAATTTGAAAAATCCATACTTGGTAAATGAGACGATATGATATATCACCAGACAATATATCCCGATACTATGCTGTATCTATTTTCTTTTCCCATCCCTACCTGCAACCCTTGTACTGTAACTTCCTCCATACTCCTATTACTGTCAATCAAAGGTATAACCAATGAATCCTATAAGACTGGGGATCATTTGGATAATAATAATGAATAATCAGGTTTTGAGTAATTATCACGTTGGACTTAAAACTTGTTTGACCCTCTTTAGAGGCTACATAGTTGGGGTTATGAGTTCCTGAATCCATGTCTGCAGAGTGGTTTAGTTTTAGGGTTGTGGTTTGATAGGACCCAGAGTCCCTTGTTGCACTCTTAGTTTTATGTTTCATTTAAATGCAAATGCACTAAATGAAATGCATTTGTTAATAGCATGTTTCGGTATGACTTTTCTGCTCACCGTCTCAAAATATGTCAAATTAGTCCAAGTTTTTACAGCACATCACTCCAAAGATCACAGTAATTTCTAGATGCAGTCTAGATCTTGAGCATAGCAGGTTTATTGTGTGGTTCGTGTGTGGTGTTTATGAGTCAATAACAAACAGAAAGACTGATAGAAGAAGTTTATATTTCCTTTCTGTCGTCTGGGCAAAGATTTGCATCGCATCTTTGGCGAGCAAATTTAAAAGCTTGAAGAGTAATAGAGTTTTTTGAGGTTTTTATCTTTTATCTCAAGGATGGAGGTTTTTTTTTTTAATGGTGCTGGGCAGTGCCATAAACATAAGAGTTAGTTTGAAAAACCTCTCTGTATCTGCATTTCTTTGATCTGATTTCTTTCCAAGTCAGACTTCAGTACAGGCTCCAGGCCCTGATAAGAGATACGTTACTTTTAAAAGCACAACAACAGATCATAGCTCTAATAGAAATGGATATGATAATGTCGAACAAAGAGGGAACTGAGCCAGTGTCCTCAGAGCCAGCGTTGGTAGTACGATGCGCTAAACCTGCTGTTTGTTAAAGCCAAGAAGGTTTCAAATCCTGAGGCATCAAACTGGTAAACGAATACTTGTTGACGCAGGTGGGAAAGTCTCTCCCAGCTGCTCACATCTCACCTGCGCTTCACTGTCAAGTATTACACTTCCACTATCACTGCGAGGTACTTGAAGTCTTGGCAAGCTTCGTGCTGGTGGTACAAGAAAATCTTACCGAGAGTGTTTATGAAAGTTTTAGTCAAAATATCTTATTACTTTAATTCCTGGAGAAGTTATGGTTGTCATGGCAACGTAAATGCTGCTTGCAAATAACCTGCGCTTCACTGTCAAGTATTGTACTTCCACTATCACTGTGAGGTACTTGAAGTCTTGGCAAGCTTAACAGTGGCAGCACAAAAATCTTACTGAGAGTGTTTGTCAAAGTTTGAGTCAAAATATCTTATTGCATTTAAGCTGTTCTCAAACCTGTAAAGAGTTGTGCTCAGAGTTTAAAAGCCACCGTCATGAAACAGACTGCCAACAGGGGGCACCATAACTGACACAAAGAGAAAGTTCCTCACTGGACTCAATTTGACAAACACACTCTGTAAGATTTTAGTTTTTCTGGTGTGTGAAATCAGGCTGCAACGATTAGTCAACGTTGTGGACAAAAATCGTCAATGAAAAAAGTCGACAATGAATTCCATTGTTGACTATTGTTGCCATATGTGTTTTTTTTTTACCAGTGGAGTAAAGTATCTTACTTCATTACGATCTCTGCCTAGAGTCACACATGCGCAATGGTGTCTCCGCCGAGCAATAGGGTATTCAAACACTATGGCGCTGGCGTCCCACACAGCAGCTACGAGTACGCACTTAAAAACCTCCAAAGTTTGGGAGCACTTAAGCCAGGATAAGGCAAAAATGTTAAATTTAAGAAAAAAATTCATAATTATCCGATTAGTCGACTAATCGTTTCAATAGTTGGTAACAAGTCGACTATTAAAATGGTCGTTAGTTGCAGCCCTAGTGTGAAACGAGTGTGCGGTATCCGGGGAATAATACACTATCAGACGAGCTGAGGTGTCCTCACGCTGTCTGTGCACATATGTGAAATTTAACATATTAATTTATTTAATCTTTAGGAATAACTGGTTCCTTCCGGTTATTGACATGTTTTCAGACTCTAAAACATCCAAAAATTCCACACAATAGTCTTCCTGGTGAACTCATAGGTGGTGCATTTTGTTTTTCCCATTGACTTGCGCCTGTGTTTTTGTCGGGGTCTCATTCACTATCGTTTTATCCATGTGTTTATTGTCAGACATTTTTCACTGAATGAGAAATCTCCGTATAATCAGACTCAACACAAAGGAGTGATTTTCAAACCCACTTTAGCACAACAGGCAGTTGTTATGGGATCAATGAGCAGCATCATCATTATTAAAAACGAGCAGCTAACGGCAGTCACTTGATCACAGAGGAGTGCGGCCGCGCTGCAATCAATCCTGATTGGACGAGACGCTGGGACGAGAGGGATGTCGGCACTTCTGCTATTTAAGAGGGTCAAGTGCCATCGATCGTAGTTCTCTGCCGAGACACCGCCTTGTCATCGATGAGACGGATTAAGCTCTCAGAGCTGGCACATGTTTCTCAGCCGCCCATCATATCCTCACATCCTGTCTGCGGCGTCCACTCGATGACTCATCTTCCCAGGAGTTTCTCCTGGGTCCACTGCTCCTGAGGGGAGTGTGTGAGTGAGAGCCAGAGGCAGTGGGAGGATAAAGCATTTATACTTTTATACACACAGATAGAGGATGAGTTAGCTGCTGTTTGCTCACGACAGAGACTTTACTGTCCTTCGTACACTGGTGTTGTTTTTAAAAACCAGAAAATTTGAAAATTTGTCCTTGTAAAAACAAAAATCATTCTCTAAGTTCATTTGAACTGATGGATTAGCAGGTAACTTTCACCTGACTGTTGTTCTCTTTCCAGTTTAGCTCCTTTCAGGCAGCTTTTTTTGATTTAGCTGCACTGCTGAATATGCAAACTTGCTCACACCTTACCAAAGTAACAATGAAGTGCTGTCAGTGTTGCATAAAAAGCCAGTTTTGGCCTGAAAAATGTGTCTTCTGTTAAGATTTGTCCCAAAACAAGACAGTTTTGTATATCCAAGAGTTTAAATATTCAAGAAAGTCACACAAACTATGAAAATATGCAGCGTCATAAACTGTAAGAGTGCTGTCTCACGCCAAACTTTCCTGATTTACTGATATAAGTAACTTAAAAAACCTGAAGAGCTGATACAAAATACTCCACTTAAACCAAATGGTGCGCTTTCTCTCTTATTCCTTTTAAAGCTGGTCTCTCTCACTGTTGATTTGGTTAAAAGTTTGGAGTTGGCTTCCATTTAAACACAATATTTACAGGTTAAATTGGCTTTTCCAACTTTTTGCATTGAACCGTGCTGTGAGTGGAGAGGGGGGAATAGACGTAGACGAAACATGCAGCAGTTGGATATGGATGTGTGAATTCTGCAGACAGCTGCTCTCCCTCTCATGAAGCTGTGGCACGTTTCCAGATTCACAATAAAACACTGTAGACTCCAGGGCCCGCTCACCGTCCTGCATGTTATTCTCACTTTCATCTCATCCAAATAGGAACAGTATATGGACAGATTAAAAACACAAATCTCTCAGCCTGTAATCTGTTTTATTTATATGCTCCCAGGAGGGATGTTTACTGCAGGTAGAGCTCTTTCTGGATGAGGATTGCACATCAAATAAGCGCTCTTTAATGATGAAACCGGCCGGTTTCCTTTTTAAAAAGAAAGCCTTTTTTTTCCCCGTCACCTCCACTCTACATGTATTTTAATAGCTTATAAATCCCCCCAATTAGTGCGGCAGCAGGTTTTTCTTTTCAGGGCAAGGATATCTCAAAGAAAACTGCTTAGAATTCAGATTTCTGGCATAATTACCATGTGCTTTTCCCCTTGCAGAAATTATGAATGGATGGCAGCTTTTGCATTCATAGTTTGGGTTATAATTTATGTATTTGTGAAGGTGTGCTGCTGGGGTACAATTTGACACAGATGTATCTTCAATTCATGCATATTGCACTATTTGCATGTTAAAAACAAAACATATGAGTCAGTCACATATACTTGCATGTTTTAAGATGATAAATTGACCTTATGCTACCCTGCAGAGGTTGAATTCTCAAGCTGGCCAACCTTATTTGTTTTTTTTTCCTTCTACCTGCCACCACAAAGCTTTGCTCCCTTTCTTTCACCACTTTTAGACATTCCCACCTTGACCAGCAGATGTCAGTAGTGTCCCTCAAAACCTGGCTGTTCCTCCAAGCCTGAGTATCACATTAATGTCATCAGACTCTCTCCTTGCACATTTAACATGCTATATGAATGTTCAGTCACATGATACCTGCGCAATAGAAGGATTGGCTTTTTGTGAGTGCTGTCAGGTGTGTAAATAACTAATTCAAATGAGATGGTTGTCTTTGCATCTGTGTTTGTTTGCGTGTGTGAATGCGTGGTGGTAATTTAGTTATTAATGGAGAGAGGGCGCAGAACAAAGTGGCTGCAGATACATGTGGCGCTCCAGCTGTGCACCAGGAAAAAAAAAAAAAAAAAGGCAGATGTTGTAAATGAATCTGCAGTGGATGGAGGGGGAAAGCACGGAGGAAAAGAGCAGTGAAGGAGGAGGGAAGGCAGAGTCTGACAGACTGACAAGCTGGGGAACAGACGAATAGACTGACAATCAGGAGGGCTGGAGCACAAACAAACACGAGTACCTGTACTGTATGGATAATGACATGGTTTTATAGATAAAAGCCGAAACAATGCAAATAGCCCTCACTCGCAGCAGTTACCATGGCGACCATCCACCTGAACTTGAAGGTAAGTCCCAGGAGAGGTGTGCAGGACGGAGTGAGGGGAGAGGAGGGGAGGGAGGCGGGACAGGAGAGGAGACAGTGTCCTGATTTTACAGTTTGCCAAGTCCTCCATGTATCCCCTCGCTGGTCGCCCCACTGTTGTGCACCACGGTGGGTCCACTGGGACGCTGTCTCTAAGAGATACAACAGAGAGCGTAGAAACCACTTGGACAGATATTCACTATTAGACCTGTTCAAGGTTTTAATTGCTTCACTTCTCGCCCCCTGAAATACTCATCCATTAAAACCCTCTTCCTTCTCGTACTCGCCGTCATCAATGTCCGCCCCACCTCTCCATGTGCCGCACATGTAATGGATTCTCTTTGAAATGGCTGAACTTGAAATGCACCGACCCAGAACGTGATCAGGTATCTCCTCTGCACCTCAGGCTGCCTGCATCTGAAGGCTGTTTAACGTGGCGGGTGGCGGCAAAATCCAGCCGTTTCTCACTTCCAGGGAATTGGATCACAACAACAGATTTTTAAAAAATGCAAAGCTTACACAGTCGGGGTTGCGCCAGGAGAACAGGCTTCATCAGGAAGTGTGCAGAGGCAGAAAGAATCTGTTTGGTTTGATGGCCACAGAGGAAGTCTATTTTGAGACAAAGTAAACTCGCTTTTCTGTTCGAAAGGCAAAACTGTGGGTTCATGCTGTGATTTTCATCGAAGATCTATCTTGTAAACCCTCCAGACAACATTAACTAAGGAACATTATTTTCTTTTTATTTAAGCACATTCACATGGATGGAGGTGCCGTCATGATGAATATCAGCACTGCTGTGAATGCACATTCTGGTTTGTTTTGTTGCTTTTATGCAACAGTGTACAAGTGATACTTTAATTCATTAAATACATGCACAAGCTAGATTTTGCGATTATGGCTCTGTTTCGAGAGCTCCCTGCACTTCCTTGTGACTATGAAGAGAGACAAAGCCTGCAGCAAGAATAGCACACCTCCTCTCTGTTTCAAAGCCAAGGCAGGGAGAGAAGCAGCAAACAATGCATATAACACCTGTAAACTCAGACACAGCATTAGGAGGAGCAGCTGGGGTGGAGGCGGCTGACAGGGACTCCCTTCTTTGAGCCTCATTCAAAGTAAACAAAACAAATAAAGTCTTACATTAAGGTGGTCATATATGGGAGTATTATCCTCCCATTTCCACCAAGTCTCTTCTGCTAAATGTCTCCATGTACTACACACTGCACTATTGATCTTTCATTTAAAAGCAAGTGTTGCCAGGCACCCCCAGCATTTCCTCCCTCATTCTTCATACTTCCATGTGTCAGCATGCGACCACAGTTACTCTGTATTATGTAAATTGGCCCATATGTTCCTATTTCTCTCGTAGCGCCTGAATAAAGAAGATCTTCGCTGTTGTTTTTGTGGCATTTGCGAGGGATAGGACCACATATCTTTATCCTTAATTATCATGATACTGCCACCACATATTTATCTTTTAAAGGTCTTTAAATGAGAATAAAAAAGTGATTTTGTTAATCAGACTTATCCCAGCGTGTGATTGTCTTGAGACTAAGGGAAAATGTATTAGTGGAGGGCTGTTGTCCAAACCTGAAGGGACTCTATTTTGCACAACCACCTGCTCTCTGTTAGGGCTGAGCGATATGGCCTCAAATCAATATCACAATATATTGAGCAGTTCGCCTGGACAACAAAAAATGGATGATAACTACTCCACAAGCTGCTCACCCCCTCCCACATTAACTTCGTCTACTTCAGCCGCTACAACTTTTGAACCGTCCTCCATCTCCTCACCTGTCTTTCCCTCTTTGTTACGGACTGAATGGGGTGAACTCTGATGTAGGACAGCGTCTTAAAGGGACATGAAACCATAGCCTACCTACACACATCCAAAACCAACTTTTAATTATTTCTTGTTTTGACACAGAATATACCGGCATGGGCAATATGACATCGGTTATTTTCTTAAATTTCAGTATCGGTAAATTTTCGGTTTATCACCCAGCCCTACTCTCTGTACATTATCACATTCATTCCTACCTGAAGATAACCAAACAAAGGCACCAATTGCATATTTCTCTTCTTTCCATCCTCTTCTGTCTGCATTAACCACTAATCTTAACTGATCTTATAATAAATAGAGAATAATACTTCAAAAATGATCTTTTGTTAATATCAGATATTGTAAGAGTCCAAAGTTCCTCTGTATTTTCTCAGTATTCTGAAATGCATCTTACCCATTAATATTACAGGATATGACAAAACGATGATGTGAACTCAACCAGAAAGAGAAGGTAGACATGGTTTATGTAGTCGACAGCAGCCTCAGCAGGGTTTCCTCCTCCCTCTCCATGTCAATGACACACAAACACAAACAGTAAACACACTATCACTTCATGTTAATGCTCTCCTCTTGGGCTGTGGATATCATGCAAAATAGGAATTTGTATTTCAGACATGGCAATTAATTTCCAGCCTGCACCTTTCGTTATGAAGCTAAATTTTAATTACTCATTTCAGGGCAGTTACGGTTGGAGCCCCAGCACACTAAAGATAATTTGCCTTTTTGTTAATCTGGAGGAGGGGGTTTATGGCAGCCATAGTGGCAAGCGCAGGCGATTTTTGTGACAATCAGACCATAATTATGTGCGGGGATGCAGCCAAGTGCAACATTGCCCGATGTCATTAACTTGCAGCCCACCTCAGACTGAAAGGGGCTGGGGGTTGTCATTATTTTCTATTATTCTGAGAGGAACACAAATCCAAATGAGCACAGATAAAAAAAAAAAAAAGGAAAAAAAAAAAAAACCTAACTAAGCTTGATGCCACAGGCTTAGCCAGCTGTTTGACATTCAGCTGTTAAACCTTGCTGTAGTGAAAAGAGTGGGGTCACAGGGATAATATTGCTTGAAGAATGACGTGAAATTTCATTAGGTCCGCTAATACCTCCCTGACATTAGTGATAAATCCTTAGCTGCTTGTTAATAGGCGCTAAAGAAGCTGATATCTGCTGCCTGTGGTAACTGTACCATGTCCGATGGCAGGTAGTTGAGGGATTTGGCTTGAATCAGAGCTATGTACAACAGAAACATGTTGCTGCACACAGTGTGAGTCTGTCAGAGCTCTGCCTTATCTGCAAACAGAGAATGACACTTTAATTCAGGGTCTGCACTTCTACACCACCACTGCCTCTAAAAATCAAATACAGGAGTGGACATCACCAAAGGAGTGCGTCGCACAATAGGACTAAAATTTCAAGTTTAACACTTTCAGAAAATGCAAATTTATTTCTGTGAAGCTAAATCGCATGAATCATCTCATCATTGTTATGCCAACTTTCTACTTTTGACCTCTGCGATAAGAGTCCTCCATTTTTGTGCTCAAAGTTAAACTTTTTCAAATCAGGAATACCTTGAAAATTTCCATTACAATCGACTGATACTTTCCTTTGCATTAATACGATTTTATCTTGACAAATGACACAATGAATTGTCAATATTGCCTGAGAGGATGTTGTTGTTCTGAAAATAAAGCGCGGCCATAAATCGGTAGGAAATCATATTCGGTCCGACCAAACGAACTACCATGAGTGTGACTCTGCTTTTTCAACATTACTGAGTAACATCAGATTAAGAGAGGAAATTCATCAATATTATGCCAATATTATTTCCTAGATGCCTCTAGGAAATTGATTTACTGGAGCTACAGCCCCAGCTAGTGGTAGGAGGCTGAATTACATCTCAGACACAATATAGGACAGTGGTTCTTAAATGGTCTCACTCTGGGACTCACATTTTCTCTTGGTCTTTAAGTCGCGACCCACTTTTATAAAATTCAAATTTATTTTTTGTAAAATAAACCTTCAAAGTCTCAAGTGTTTAACATAGATACACCCATCTTATTGAGTAAAGTGCATTTTAGAATGTATAAACTGAGGATGACAACTACTAAATTTGCATATACAGAAAATATCAAACATCAAATTGCACAAAATAAAGACTACATATATGTATTTTGCCCCACAATATGAAAACACTGAAAATGTCTTAATTCGTATGGTGCAAATGCCAACATCCTCACTTTTCCTACATATGTATTTTTCTATTTGTAAGACACAGTCAACAGTTCCTTAGTCAGCATGTTTAAGCCAACAGGTACAAACTCTCTGCTGTAATGTTAAGTAATGATATTGAGAACACCTGGAGCAGATTGAAAAATGTAGTTAAAGTCCCATCGCTGTGATTGTCTCTGTGAGCTCTAATTTGATGCATTTTGTCCGGTTAAATTACTGTGTAAGAACTAACAGCTGTGTTATAAGCTGCTCTGATTTCCTCTCTTACCAAACACATTTAAAAACCATAATGAGTCGGACAATGTCTTTTACTGCACAGAGCACAGTGATGGGACTCCATTTATTCGCCTGCTGTTTTCGTGCTGCAGGATTCAGGAGGGGCCGGGTTGTACAGTATTCATGACAGACGGACATTTTGGAATTATAAATGAATATTTCATGGCCTGATGGACCGGGATCTAGCCTGAGCTGCTCTTGGCAGTGGATAGCATTCATACTGATGCCTCGATATATCTCCTTCCCTTGAAAATGTCAATGTGAAGTGATCTGAGATTTCATCAATGTTTCCTGAAAGGGGAAACTGAGAAATCGAAGCACAGAGAGGGAGAGTGATTGTCTTACCAATAAGTGCTGATACATATTTTGATGAAGTATTCTTTCAAGGGCAGTTGGAGTACTTGTTGTCTATTTCTCTGACTGTCTGGGCTCCTGGTGGGCTTTACTTCCGCCATGCTGGTCCTCTTGAAAACACGGGAGGAGGATCTCTCAAACAGGCAGGGTTCACCTCTCCAGCACCCCGCAGAGCAGCTGCAAAGGAAAGACCTGTCTGCAGAGGTGGAGCTGGGTGTCTGATATCACTGACGTGTTTCATAACAAGTGTCTGAGGCCGTCTATTACCTGGCCCTCGGGGCAAAACTCTCCTTGTCATCTCTCTGAAGCAGTTCTTCTTTTTCGCCTCTAACTGGGGCCGCGGAGGAGACAAAACCACCAGACGGCAGACTACAGGCAAACGAAGGAGAACACACGGAGAGGGATTGGAATTATTGGCTTAATTAGACCCACAGGGAGTCCAGCTTAAACGGTTTGCTCGAGTGAATATTACTAATGCACAGGTGTAAAGAGGGCAGTGAAGCATGCGTACCTGAAAAGCCCGGTTTTATATCTGCTGTTCAGGTTCACTGCGCTTTTGCCTTTTTAATGTAAGGAGGGCGCAGGAGGACACTGTTATTCTTTTATCCCCATAATGGAGCCTTTGAAAGCTGACCTGCACTGGACTTTAAAGTTAACAGCAATTTAAACACAATCGTAATAAAAGTAAAGAAGGAGTACGTTCATTTCTTTTCATGAAACAGTAATAATCCTCAAAGGGGGAATTAAATGAGTTTTTACTGGCATTTAATTTATTTTTCATACATATATGAAACAGTTGAGTGTCTGCTTACTTATTTTATCACCTTTGTCACTGATATAATGATATGATTAAGACTTTAATTGAGAGAAAAACATTAAATACTGAGTGCAAAATGCTGCTTGCGAACAACAGCACTGGAAAAAATGGGTGAACGCTGTTTAAGTATGTCGCTAATAGAGGAGCCAGCTCTATATCTATGCTGCCATAAAAAGTTTTCTGTAGGATGACATTTGGGCGCAGTGATTGTGAATTGAAAACTAGAAAATAAGACATTATCACGTTTAATTGCTTCATTGTTATAGGTATTTGAAACTCATTCTGCCATAAAACATTGTGTAGTGTTCGACAGATTACAGATTTTCAACAGCTGATGATGGGCCAAATCCAAAAGACGTTGACGTCAACATTTAAGGTGCTTTAGGAACTTCAAACATGTCCATATCTCCCATCACCGACCACCATGATAAAACTGCAGCCTTCAGGGCTTCACTTCAAAAATACACCCTGAAAATCTGACCTTTGGATGAGGAGGAGACCTGGAGTGGACAAATCTTTTTTTTTTTTTTTTTTTCAAAAATTCTTTTTGAGTTTTCCATCGACGTATTTCAACAGTGAATGTCAGGGTACAAGAGATTCACTTCAACACCTAAAATAAATAAATAAAAATAACAACAAGAACAACAACAACTAGGGCCCCGTTGGGGCACTGGCGGGCCCGAGCCGTGTCGCGCCGCCCCCAGCGAGACCACCTCCCCGTCCCATTCGCGTCCTCTGGCCGTCGCCCTCTCTGGTAACGCCCATCACTGCAAAGACCCTTTTCCTTCATCGGTGTTTGCTGTTCTTCCTGCCAGTGCGTGTTGCTTTCACTTACACTTGCCACAGCCAGCCTCGTGAGTGCCTAGCCTATTGGATATCACTGTCACCTACACAGGACAGTCATTACCTTTCTATTAATACTTTGTTTTTAATTTCACATTAATTTCCATATTGTATAAATGACTGGAAAAAACTTGAGCCCCTGCCCCTGTATAATCATGTGCACGTCCCTGTTCTAGCTCCAAGGTGAATCTTCACTGCTCATGTTCTCCTCAGAAGCAGTCACCTCACTCCCCTCAGGTTACTGTACACATGCACCAACTGCCTGCTTCAGGTTTGGATGGAGCTTCATGGTTGTCTTTTGGAGAAATGAGCAGTCAAGTTGTGTTTGAAATTTGATTTTTTTCAGGGGCAAAAGGAGCCTCTGTATTCTTGAGACTCTGAGTGTGTGTGTGTGTGTGTGTGCGTGTGTGTGTGTGTGTGTGTGCGTGTGTGTGTGTCTGTGTGTGTGTGTGTGTGTATATCTTGCAGTACTCTGAGAAGAATAATAAGCATATTTCTGAGGTGAATTTTGAAGATTCATCGGAGAGTTAGGAGGGCTGATCATTCCCTTACCCTTTAGATGTCTATGTCTGTTTTTGTGTGATAATGAAATAATCCCAACTCAAAAAGGCTCTGTTGATGTTTTTTTTTTTGTTGTTCATTCATATTCAAACCACTATTTTATATCACTGCTAATACGCCAAGACCATTTTATGGTATTTAGCTTTATTATTTCTATACATTTTGCAAGGAAAGAAACCAAGCCCTTCACTAAAATTTCCATAAACTTTAGAAAAAAGAAACAAAGAAAAACCACTACAGGAACAACAGGGCCTCGCAGCTGCTTAGCAGCTACGCTCGGGCCCTAATAATAACGACAATGACAACGACAATGACAGTAATGACAGCGACAATAATGACAATGATACTAATAATGATGATAATGATAATAATGATAATAATGATGGTAATTGATGATGATAATTGATGATGAAAATAAGAAATAAGATCATACAGAATCAGATAAAAAAAAGAGTAAAAATTGATTAAATAAAAATAAAAAAAGGTTTGGACAAATCTAATCTTGTGTAGAGATAATCAGCATGGAGGAAAGTGTGTTACATAGGTGGAGAAGCATTGATTGAACACATGATGAGAGAGTGCGTGCAGCTCTGACCTTGGATGAAATCTAAGCGCATCTGCATTCAGTCTGTTCTGATTTATGCTGCATTTTCACCTGAGAAATAAATACTTAACAACATTCAGAGTTTTATTTTAGAGTTAAAACCAACATTTTGTCAGAGTCTGGTCTGAAAATTTCAGTATCAAAAGTACCAGTTAGATACTTATAGTCAACAAAATAGAGTCACCAAAGCCTGAGATAAGTCCCCATTACTTGAGAGTCCCTAGTACCCGAGTCAATGCCTTAGTCCAGTTCCCATTACCTGAGTCTGAAGTCTAAATCACCAAATAAAATAGCTAAAGCAAAGTTATATTCCAAGTCTCCTCTACAAAACAAGTAGTCACCAAAACAAGAACTAGAGCAACCACAGTCACTCCCTGATTACCTGAGTCCGGTTCTTAGTTACTAAAGAGCGTGTTTTAAAGTCTGAGTCCAGTTCCTATGATTTCAATTCTAGCTTGAGACATCAAAAATTCAGCCAAGTCCAAGTTTAGGTTTCTATTTTCTGAGTCCAAGTCCACTGCAAGTCTTCATCCGTATTCAAAGTCCAATTTGAGTCCCAAATGAGTCTTGAACACCTCAGTCACAGTCTGACTTGAATCTCTAGGGCATGAGTCACCATTATGTGAGAATAAGACACTGAATGACATGAGCTGAGTCTGAACTGAGTCACGTCAAGTCCAGAACTGTCTCTAGAGGTTTCCTAGGTGAACTGTTTTGCTGCATAAAATCAAAAGTGAATGAACCACGAAGCTGGAAAACTCCAAGGTGTTGACAAAATCAGTCTAAGGACCCATGAATTACTACAAAATGCAATGATTATAAAAAAAAGAGAGAACATTTGCAGTCATAGAAAGCTGGAGCCCAGTTTTTTATATTTTCATGTGGCTAAAAATCCCAGACAGTGACCTTGCAGGTCTAGGTTTTCTAGTGGAAAACTAAACCCAAAAAACTCACAAACTTACCAAATCTTAAAACAGTCTGTATCAATGATTGAGTCTGAGTCCACCTCCACATGTTTTTGAGTCCTCATACAGTAAATAATGAAGCCAAAACCCAACTCACCAGTGCATGAGAACAAGGACTTGAACTTGACTCAAATCGGAGTCCGAGACAGGAGTGCAAATGACTAAAACATTGAATTTGAACAATTTTTCCTACATTTTTTTGTCAGGAGTCTGATGGGAAACTTTCACCAATACTTTACTTAGACAAGCAACAGATATATGTGATTATTCAAAGAGCTGGTACATAACGTAGCAGCTGGTATATTAAACATTTTAGAGGCGAGGTCAGGGCTCCAGAGATGATTCATTTCCGATAGTTCTCGGATCCTGTCTAACATTATATCTACTTTTATCATGATGGCAGGGGGGGAAGGTAAGGCCTTTGGTATCTGTTACTGCTCTGTTACACAAGCGGGAGAAAGATCCGGAAAATAATGAAGAAATGTGAAGATACTGTGACCGCGCTCGATTCGCTTTAAAGGCTTCATAAAAAAAAGACACTTTTTGAAGCTTCCTCAAAGACACGGACTGTTTAAAGTCTTTAATGAGGAGGTTAGGTTTGCCTTGATTGCTGCAGTTGTGAATCACTTCTCACCACCACAATGGATTAAATGGACACCAACTGCTGTCGTTTAAATGCAGGTTATTTTCCAGCTCATTAGGCCTATTGATAACAGACACACAAATTGTACATTTTAAAGGAGGCATCGAACTGCACCTCCTGTTTGTTTGTCTGTTTTTTTTTTTTTTTAATTTTTCTGTTTACAACTAAAGAGCTCAAAAATCTCCCTTTTCTCCACTCCACGATTATATCAAGCGTTGATTTGTTTTTGTTGATTATTTATCTCACGAGTCACTAAGACGAATTTGGCAGAGCTCCACTGCTTCTTTTAAATCTTTCACAAAGACTGTAGATAGAATGAACGTTGTCTGCCTCCTCCTCTGCCTGCCTCCAGCAATCCCTATGGAGCTGTAGACAAACTTTAGAAATTAATTACACAGAATAGAAATTGTTCTCGCCCCTGGTTGTGATGTTGACATGTAGTTACTGTAAGACTGGTTTGTGCTCAAGTCCACTTTATTCTGTACAGCTCCATTTTTAAGAGTTATTAAGGGGGTTCATGTTTTCTATGATTGACACCTGATACAGCCTATGGGCGTACGAAGATTGTGTAGCTCACCCAGGGGATACGCTGTTTGAGCAGAACGCCATCACAAAGACTTTCCCGTTTAATGCCTATGATGCTACTGCGCAAGTGGTGTTTCCAGGAAGTGGAGAAAATTTCGGAAATACAGAGAGCAATTCGGCTTCAAATTCGTATAATGACGGAAGGCGGAGCCAAGTTGTCCATAGTATATACAGCCTATGGTTTGTAACTTACAACCACCTTGGCTATTGTGGAATAAGCCCAACGATCATAATTGTTGCGAGCAGTTGGATGGATCTAAAACAAGCTTCACAGGTACAGTGTTGCCAACCTAGCGACTTTGTCACTAGATTTAGCAAATTTCAGTCCCCCTAGTGACTTTTTTTTCAAAAAAACGTCTAGCGACCAATCTAGCAACTTTATCTGGAGTTTAGAGACTCTAACCTGAAAGCAGGTATCGATGTCAATGCTCTCAACGGGTGGGCGGTGTGCATCAAAACTACAAGCACAAACACATACGGACACCCCGATGAAGACTCCTCCTTGGCGGCGGTGAAAAATTATGCAAATTAGGCGTTGGCATCATCTAGGAACTTCTTGCAACCTTTACGACAGGCTGTCTTACAAACCAGTGTGGCTTACATACTTTATTTTATTGTGATTTTGCTTCAAGTGTTCAACATTTTGAAGGGAGCAATCGAGGTCAAAGTGTCGCAACCTGTCAAGAAAAGGCTTTTTTGCACAGAAAGGTATCGAGCTGCTTTTTTTTTTTTTTTTAAAGGAAGTTACAGTCCCAGTGGGGCCCTTAAGTGTTCAGGAAGAGCATTCCACAGTTGTGGAGCGGTGGAGCAGAAGGCATGGTCTCCTATTGTGCAGGTCTTGGTCTGGGGAAAGTGACAAGACAGTTTGAGTTGCTGGATCTGAAGTTTTTATTGGAGGTTTGGGGGGTTGAAAGTTCTTAAGGGTAGAAAAAAAAGTAGAAAGAACAAAAGGGAAAAACGGATTAAAGAGTCTGAGGAGAGAAGTTAAACAGAGGAGAGGCAAAGCAGGGCCAAGTCAAGGAGTCTATTTTGGGCATGTACTCACCCTAGCTGCAAAGGCTTCCTCCAGTACCCGTCCAATTAAGTGTGTACAGTCTATCTACTGTTCCTCAAATGAACAAGTGTGGAAAAGCCGAATATTCACTAATTTCTTGTTTATTTTGAAGGTAAAATAATCTAAAACTAAAGATAATAAACAACAACACATCAACCAGTTTCAGTGACGTCTTCATTCTCTGGTTTTATCCAGGTATAAAAGGTCATGTACCTCCACCGCCAGGCAGTATAAAAGCTTCAGATCCAAAGGGTAACTTTTATTTTTTGGGTAGTAGTGTTTGATGTTTGCTTTGCCAAATTGTACCACTTCCTGTGTCCTTTGAGAGGAAGGTGTTGGGTCAGATCCTAATTTAGAACAATAAATTTAGGCCCCTAGCTGCGGGGGAAAGCACTGTCACGGCAAGATTGATTTTTATCGCGTCAGGCCTGAAGTGTGTTTGTGCGAGTGTGTGGGGGAACAAAGGCTGGTTCAGGGCTCCTCAGCCTCCACAGGGACTTGAAATGGCTCTTACCATCTGCTGAAAATAGTCAATACATCCTAAAGCATCATGTAGGGCCTCCCCGTATTCTGATTGACTGAAAAGGTCACTGGCAGCATCAAGAATAAGCAGCCAATCAACATGCATGCTTTTTTTTTTTTTTTTTAACAAAATGCCAATATCTCATCAGGCTTTTTGAACGGTCTTCATCCTGGTTCTTGGTCTTATTTGCTTGAATAACCTGCAGCAAGACAAAGCTTTTTCGAAAGGCGGCTACTTAAAGATCGGCTTGATTTTCTAATCACCTTAAAATAGAACAGCTTTAGATCCACCTGAAGTCTACGTATCGTGCAGTAAAGCTAAATATAGCCACTTAAATAAAGTAAAGGTTCGTAAGAGTCACCGCCACTATTTTTGTCCCACGGGATAGTGCATAGTGCCGTAGTGACTGTCAAAAACAGACACTGCTTTCTGTGGCGCATTTTATACGAATGAATAAATGATGAGAGGTGTGAGGTGTGTGTTTTCAGCAGCAGCTGTATCAGCTTTAGACCTGAGATCTATATCTTGAATGAATAATCTCACATCTCAGGAGGAGTAAAATGAGGGTATTTTTTTGCCCTTGTGAAGCTCAGAGCCGTTGAATAAAAATGAGGATTCAAATCTGTCGTTACTATTGATATTCCTGGTTCTGATTGTATTGTTTTTAATCCAAAAGTGCGTCAGTTTACAGATTTCTGTAGTGCGGTGAGCTGCTTTTCTTCATCAAAGAGCAGAGCATTATTGTAATGAATTCACAGAGATGCAGAATCCTTTCATGATCCCATATGGCGGATAACTAAAGCTCTGCCCTGTCTGGAAGTTTCACATTGTTTGTGATTTACCAGGTTGTTTCAGACGCCTTTGTTCTCTCTGCCATCTGAAAAAAAAAGAAAAAAAAGTTCTGTGCTGCATTACAAGTTGATAAATTGTTGACTTCAGATTATTTTTAGTTTCTGCGAATCGCTCGAAAAAGTGACAGCTGCACAAACAAATGTGCCAAAGGGTAGAAGACTTTCAATTGGAATACTTTTTTCCTATTTCCTTTACTCAAGCTTTTGTTTTCATTAAAATAAAGATGAAATTGTGAGTAATACCTGTCATTCTGGCAAATTTGCTATTTTGCTTTGCTAGATTTTGTTGAAACTTCCCAAAGCACAAGTAACTTTCCTATGTTTCTGTGAATGAAAAATGAGTACAACCCTACTCCACGCTTGGATCACATCATGATGTATGGTTTCTTTTTTTGTGTGGTAGAGTTTTGACCTGCATTTGTGGACTTAGTGAAAAATTGTCTTTACATAAAATGAACCCATGCTGGGATTTCCACTGCAGAGTTATGAGTCTTTTTAATAGCACATCTATCCAGTAAAATCTATCTGCCTTTTCTCTTTTTGTACAGAGATTTCTCCATTTCAGTATCATCTTTTTAATGACATTAGTAGATGATAAATCCTCAAATTCTGATCAATTTTAAGCAAATAAACATTAATATGAAACTGTTTAAGCTAACAAATATTACTAACCTGTTGAAGATAAGTGTAAACAAACGGAAGATGTCACTCCGGGTGTTTTTTTTCTAGTGTTTTACAACTTTTTTGTGTTTCGCCGTCCCTGGTTTGGCTATTTGAAACCTTTGCTGGCATCAACTTTAATTTGAGCCTCCAGCAGGGGGCGACTATAACTACAGGCAGCCACACAGGCTTGAACACCTGAGTGGTAAATCCATATAAATTTGTCATTGTGATGAGTAACTGATGGCTGCATTATTGTACGAGTTTACTGTGGTCAAGAGTGCATGGACTGGTCAGGTTACGATGAGGGCTCCCTCTGCTGTATCGTACGGGAAGCTACTTCTGGCGACCCAATGTGGTGGTATTTTCTAATGTTATTTTCTATTGTTATGAGCTCAATAAAGTTTGAATATTAACTTTCGGATAAAGGTTCGAACTTGGATAACAAATGATAGAAAACAGCAGCTGTTTTGTCCACATGCTTAAAACACCAAATTTGTTCGCCTAAGCCATGAGCTGAGTCATTTTTCAGCCGTCAGTTGGCAGCTGCATTACAACCAGGAGCCAGCAAAAGCTATTAAAAAGACATATTCATAACATGAGATAATTGCTGCACAAACTCTTCTATTTTTCACCTATTGGAGACTTGCAAAATATTCAAAAACTATGACCCATCCTTTACTCATGAATCTAAAATTACTAAGCTTTCGTCTGAAATTGAGCACTAATATGAATCCGCAAAAATGAGCAATATCCAATCATCTGGAGCCGGACCTATGCAACACTCTGTCAGAGGCAAAAACACTGTATATATTTCTGAACATTCAAACATTTGTGCCAATTAAACTTTTGGACTTTGTCAGACGGAAGATGCCCAAAAGCAACAAACCAAACTGGATTCCGCATGACAAGGTGCACGGATGATGCCAGAAGTCTGAGGCTCATCTCAGTCAGCCGAGCGTGAAGGGTGCAAGTATTAATAAACCACCAGAAACAGAGAGAGGAGGAGAAAAAAAAAAAAAAAAAAAACAGGCCGAGAGAATGCAAGAATGATTTATAAGAGAGAAGTGTGGGTAATGGTTTGGGGGTAAACAACAGTGTCCCTCTGGCCTGGTCTGCATTTCATAGGACTGTGATGAAGCTGTCATCAACACGCACCACTCCGGTAATACAATCCTCTGGGGGACGCTTACTTTTAATTTGGATGTCAGAAGAAAATGATGGACTTTTATTGTTTGTTTTGAGAGGGAGTGTGTGTTCGAGTGTGAGTGTGTGTGGGCTCACTCTCATATATCCATACCCGTCTATCTGTCTGTCTATATATTCAAGTGGACTTCAATATGAGATTGGCTGTTATTAAAACTTTAACCTGCAGAATCCCGACTTCTCAAACAAGAAGAAACTTTCTAGCTGTTTGGAGATTAAGTAACTTTATATGTGTGTTAGAGTTCGGGATATATGAAGGACTATTAGAGCAACCTAATGTAAGTGGATCATTTATTATCATTATGATGGTTAAAATGGTGATAATCCCATTTGCCGAAAAAAGCAATGAGGCGATGAAGGTAAAAAACTAGGAGAAATCAATGTTAACATCTTGTTTTATCAGTATTACAAGACTGGTGTCAAAATTTATTGTGTGTTTTTTTTCATTTCCCAGACGCCTCCAACCAAATAGATATTCTTCGAGTATATTAGTACAGACATATTCAGGCTTATTTGGCATTTTTAAGGGGAACTGATGCATAAAAAGAGTTGTCTGAGGTATAAAATCCACAAATTTAACTCTAAAAAGCTGACAGGGTCCCAAACAGAAATATTCATCACCTACATGAGCATTTCCTTTTCTGCAGCATTCATAGCAGAGCTTTTTAAAGTGAGGAAAAAAGTGAGGAAATTCATCACATAAACAGCTGGTAATCTCATTTTAAGTATGGGTATGGGCTGAAAAAGGACCTGGAGTATTATCAGTATGAGCACGAACGAGCCACACCTCTTAAAATTAGACATAATACAAAATACGGACAATATACGACCACTTTTCAACTTAAAAATGGTTTTATAGAGTCATGAGTGTGTGGAAATCCAAACAATTGTGATTTATTGATATATTGTCATGTGGAGACTCTCTTTTACAGTACTCAAACTGAAAGCAGGATGATTTTCTTTACTCACAAACACATGTACATGTTTTAATACGAACAGACCATCACTGCTCTGTGTTATTACATCCTACAGTGAACAAGTTAAAGGCCCTGCCTCTCACTCTGTGCGATAAACTCATCCCATTATCATCTTTGTGCAGTCTCTTATTGACATTAGTGTTTTAAGGTGTAGCTTCACGGAGCTGTAGGTGCTGAATTCAGTCGTCTTGAAGTCCATATTGTTTTACGAACGGCATGAGCTGCAGGAATCGGGTAGAAATGACTCTGGATTTATTAATAAGTTAAAAGCTGTTAGGCAGCATGTGATTGACATTAATTATAAAAATGGGACTCTCTCTCAGCACCCTCAGCCATGACAAGTGTTGGGGAACATTACTTCCTCAAGTATCTTGTATTGTTAGAAGATTAGAAGAAGAAGCAGCATCAGAGTATGTCTGCTCGAACCCCCTGACTCATTACGCTTGTCAGTTATAATGTCCAGACTTGGAAAAAGATGGAGATGATGGACTGTTGATATCAGCAGCATCTCCTCCATTACATCACCAGCTGTAAGCTCATTAATTTCCTCCTGATTGACAGTGTTAGTTGAACTCAAAGTTAGCTGTTACTTTTTCTGAGCTGCTGCACCACCTGTACCTCCTCAATGGGCCTCACCATCAGCGCTGCAGAGCAAAGTTTAGCTTTTGAGACGTTTTTGTCCCCCAGGCACTGTTTTACATTTGAATGTAGTAGTTTTTTTTAACTTAAGATACCTTTATTATTTATCACTCTGTTTATTTACTTTAGGGGTGTCCTGATACAACTTTTTGACTAAGGGAAACCTTTGCCATTCTGTTCTCCAGACTTGTAGTAACAAGTTTTTTGCTTATTTTGCAGCTGGCAGTTTCAGAAATGGTTCCTTCCATCAGTCAAGCACATGAACACATGGAAAATATGGCCCAGGTTGAATTATACAAATGAAAATAGCATCAATTTGTCCTACTGTTGTCAAATCCTTCTGTCCCTTTTAAATATGAGACATGATTTTGTGTTTCTGCCTGCACATTAACATTTAATTATTCCTCCTCCATACTAACCACCAGAAATAGACAAAAATGTGTCCTTTATTCGATTGATAATTTTTAAAAATCGATGCTTAAAATAATAAAATGTTCCAGCTTTTATAAAGTTACTTACAGCCATGTTTGCAGTTAAACTTCATAAGCCCAAGAGCTGCAAAATTAAAATAGTTACAAAAAGTACAAATCGAATGTTCGACTTATGTTAAACTTGGGAAATTATCAGTTTTATGAGATTTTAACTCCACAAAAGTGATTTTGGAATATTTCCATTGTATTTGTCCATGTGTTTATTTCAAAATAAAAGCCACAGATTGAGAAATGTTGCTAATAAGTAAAGGGTGCATTTACAAATAGCTGTAGCATGAGGTGCCAGTGCTGTTAAAATTATACTGAGTAAAGGAAATAATGCATAAGCTCAGAGTGGAGCAGCTCAACAGGAGTCTGGCTCTGATACACAAGCTGGTCCCAAAGTGATAAACAGATGTGACAGGAAGTGTATCCTCGTCACCATCTGAGGAGCTTCTTAGGAGCAAAAAACTAAACATGCGTCACAAACAGCATATCATTAAAACTGCTTTTTACTGTCCCTAAAATAAGAACCAACACTCTTTGATACGACTGTAAACCACAGTCAGCAGAGTGCCTCCCCACATATCTGCTGCAAAAACAACAGAAATTTATACGCGGAGGACGGTGGGGTAATCATGTGCAGCCCATGTCCTGGAAGACGAACACACAGACGGAGACGGCGCTTCTTCATAGAGCTTTAATGTTGTTATTAAAGCTTCCCTGGAAGGCGCACATATCGACCTGAGCGTGGACTCCTTCACAGACCGCTGCACTCTGCCGTCCCGCCCCGCTAGTGCCATCAAATCAATCAACCTTTCTAATTAACTGCATCCAAATAAGGGAGCGTCTTCTGCGCCTCTAAAAAGACCCCCTTTTCCACATCACCTCCTGCACACACAGGATGTTCTGCGTACCCTGAGCTCTGTGCTATTTCTGCTGCACCCCGCCTTCAACCTCACTCACTGAAATCTCTTGCTTTGAACGTGTTTCAAAGGGAAACCAACAACAGCTTGATTATAAACCTTCAGTTTATTGGTGCTATTACGAGTCTCCACCTCTTCTTTATTTGACACGGTTGCTTTGCGAACTTAAAAAGTTGTCTTGCAATGATTCTGCAACCTTAATCTTCAAAGTGATCCATGCATTTGTTTCCTTTCTGCATGTGCACCTTGATTTATCTATATGAGTACATATGATGTTCATAGTTGTGCAGGAAGTACGACTACTGTAGCATAATAAACTCACGTCTAAACACATGATGCAAGATGTCTGATCAATGATTATTGCAAAGTTGAGGAAATGATGAGTCAGAAAGTGTCCAAAGTTTAAGCAGAATGAAAAATGCACCACAAGGAAGATTTAAATTCCAGCTCGAAAGTATAACGTCAATAAAAAAGTGACAAAACAATAAGTAAGTTCCAGTAATTGTAGTTAGATGCAGAGTGCATCCATGCAAGCTAAAGATATAAAACACAGAATCTTTATCCCGGCCTTGTTATCACTCCTCTCTGTCACTAAGCGACACAGCATTTAGAAGTTGGCCTCCAGAACTAAATCAATACGGTGGCTAACTTTGTGTCCCCAAGTTAACATTGTTGTGCTGAAGGAAACAAAGTGAGAAAAAGAGCAACAAAAACATGCTCTGGTCTATTTCAGGAAGTTTGAGTTTTGCACTCATTCACCTCGGCAGCAGTTATGTATGAAATGAGCGTCCATTAAAGTTACTGAGAGGCAGGGTTTGCAGCAAGAGCAGAAGATGCAGCATTTCAGAAAAGCACCTTTTATCTCAGGTGCCATATATATATAATCTACCTTAAAGTGCATGTTATTTGAAGTGCATTTTACATCATCTACAGTACTTTAGAAAGTATGTACTGCATGATATACATCCTGTGCTGGGCAATAGACATGATCTTTTGTGTAATATACTGTCCATTCTCAACAGTGCATTAAAGATTATCTAGGGTGTTAAAAACGTTATCTACTGTACAGTATAGATTACCTGTTGTGCAGTGCACACGCACAGATCTTGTTTATGAATAACCTGCATCACTGAGCATTTCAAAAAACATTATTTAATGCCTTACACATTATTTACAGTGCATTACAAATTTTCTCAGATGTGTTGCGCATTATCTGAGGTGCAATTTACATGTTTATCCAGTAGAGAAACATTATGTTCTGTTCAATATAGATCTCTTACAGGCAATATACTTTATCTTTTGCAGAATCTATGTTTTCCACTGTGCAGTTAAGATTAACACATGATCTACAGTGCATTATACTTTACTTCAGATGTGCTGTGCATTATCTGAGGTGCATTTTACATTTTTTCCAGTGCAGACACATTATGTTCTGTGCAATATAAATCTCTTACCATGTAATATCCTTTATCTTTTGCAAAATTCATGTTTTCCACTGTGCTGTTCAGATGAACAACAGCGCAGTAGACATTCCTACTCTGCATATTGCACCTTCCAAGGTAGATTGGACATTATTTTAGGTGCAATGTAGGAGCCAGATATGTTGATGTGATACCATAAAAGAGTTACAGTTCACTTTGTATGCGTTAGGTGTTGCTGTCCTGTTATCTGGGGGTTCAGGTATAAATGTAGTCAAGTCACGGTTGTGGGCAGGTGATTGACCTGGAAGGGCAAAAGGTTTTTGATCGCTGTGGCGTTTAATGCTGGCATTTTTCTTTGTACAGTGTTGCTCGATGTCGATAGCAAAATAGATTTTGGTAATATTCATCGTAATAAATTTTTGTTTGCTGCATCTGCGTCCGTACTTTCACTGATCATCAAAAACTCATGTTAGAACTCTGTAGTGCGGTGCGTCAACCAGGTTACTCTGGGTCAAGCATCTCAGTAGCTTCAAGTATCGACTTAGCTCCTACATGCAATTTGCATTATCTTCAGTGCATTAACAATTATGCACTGCACGATATAGTCTTCACCTCGCAGCATTAGCTTTATAAAGTGTGCTATGCAATAAATGTAAAGGTCATAAAAATTAAGAACTGTGAAATATTCATTATCTATTCAAGTTTACATTCTCTGTTGTGCATAAAAGACTATCTAAGGTGCGATTTACATCATCCGCTGTGGAATAGACAGAATGCGCTGTGCAAATAACATCTTTATAATGCAACATACATTATCTGAATGACAAAATGCATTATCTATCATGGGACACACATTTTCTATTGTGCAGTATAAACACCGTGCAATATTCAGACCGCATGTTTGCAGATCTGTTGAAGCATTTTAAAACTTCCTTTTAAACTCCCAGTCCGAGTTTTTAACTAAGCAATAAATAAATATATTTTCTCTTTCAGTACATCAAAATTTTATGAACACTTCAATACAGAAAGCTGCGCTGTTTTCTAGCCTGATCTTTTTATCATATTTCTCTGCTACAGGAAATTGCTAAAGTCCTCTCATCTAACAGCTCGATTTATTGTTGGAATAATAGGTGGAATACTCGATTACTTAAACAGTTTGTCGCTGCCGTCTCTTTATAGACACTTTAAAGGAAACTGAATGTGTGTCAACTATTGTGGAGGTATGTGACACAGTATCTCTTTGAGCGCTGATAAAACAGGAAGCTTTGAAAGGAACAGCTGCTCAACAGTTAAAACTCAGACCCTCCCAGCCAATTCTCTCCCTCTCTCCTCTCATGTACTTCCATGTTCTCGATTTCTTCCCTCTTCGTGCTTCTGACAGAGCCAGGGAGTGATGCTCCTCTCAGGGACGCCCCCCTCCTCCCCCCGCCCGCCCCCGGGCACTTGGAGGAGTTCCAGATGTGCTCCTCCAGAGCTGTAGACCGCAGCTTCTCTGGCAGTTTTCCATTCGTTCGACTCGTTTTCACTCCATTTACAATCAGTCCACAGTTTCAAACACAATCTGAGAATCAGCCTCTCTTCCATCCCTCCTTTCTTTCTCGACTATTTAATTGAAAATGCAAACTGTAATCAGATCAGTTGAATAAAGATGAGTGGCTTAAAGATGGGAGATATGAGTGACAATTCACATGGCTCTGCATGAGAAATGAGATAATGGTGAGGAGGGGGCTGATCAGTGGATGAGCTGCTAATGGTCTGTTATGAGAGCCGTTATCGGCTGGTCCTCCCGCCTTCTCAAAGTGATGGCGGTTCTCCAACACAGATTTTAAATCTGATTTTTTTCTGTCCTATGTTTTAAAGCATCGGTTGAAAATGAAATCATTGATGACTTTGATGATGGATAAAGTCAAAATCTAGCTAGCTTTGAGAAATAAAATCAGGAACTTAGTGGACTCACAAAAATGAGCCTTGAATTTTTAATTAGCTGAGGTTCAAGAATCTAGAGACCTACAGGAGGGACATCAGGTGTTAAAAATGAAGCCAATGCAACAGTGCAAAAAACTGCAGTTCCTCAAATGTCCACTAGAGGCAGACTGAGGCCACATTTTTACAGTAGAATCAAGTTTTCAGCAAAATGGTACAAAATTTGGTTTTGGTGTCTGTATTACAATATATATGGGGATTTAAAGGGATATTTTGGCGTAAAATTAATTTAGGGTCAAACACACCGTAACACCGAGTTAGACACCCCGTCGAGAGATGAATGTTGCCGACCGCTTGCTTCTCTAGTCATACCAACTTTAGTAATGACCTCAGATAGCAATACACAGAGCCACTCGTTCAACCAAAAAGCCACTCTATAGCCACAAATAATGCTCAGAACAGCACCTAACTTCATCAACAGGACATAAACCTGTACTGCTCTCCTTTCTCC